TCACGGGTTTGACTCCTAGGCAGGGCACACGCCTGGGTTGCCGGCCAGGTCCCCAGTTGGAGGGGTGTGAGGAGCAGCCGATTGATGTTTCTCTCACACATTGATGTTTCTTTCCACCTCTCCCTCCCTTCGCCTCTCTCTAAAAAAAAAAGTAAATAAATAAGTCTTTAGTAAACAACAACAACAAAGAGTAAATGGTTCCCTTCTCCCACCCCTGAGGGTGAATAGCTGAAACCGCCCTACTTGGGGAGATAGAGGGCAAAAATCCAACTAGTGCCATGTGTGCCAACCCCACCCCAGGACGGATGAAGTTCAGGGAATAAGTCTCATTTTGGTGCATCACCCTAAGGCCTCCCTAAACGGCCAGCCTTTAAAACCCCTCAAAATGAAGGGCGCAGTGGGTGCTCTCCCCGCCAGGAACAAACTGCGCCTTTCCCTTCTCCCTCTTCTTCCCCCACAGGCCACGTCTCCTAAACCTTAGGAACCCCACGAGGCTTGCAACCAGGGAGCAACGGGCAGCGGCAGCTTGTCCTGGGCTCGCCCCCTGACCTGCCCCAAAGCCCCCTTTTTCCTGGACCTCCCGGCGAGCGAAAGCAGGCCCGCCCGAGCCCGCTTCCTTCCCGAAACATATCCATTGAGCCCCACTTGGCTCGCCAGTTGCTTCCAATACCCTAAAGCTGTCCTTGTTTCACTGTCCCCACCTTTAATAAACGGCCTTGAAAAGTCACCTGGACTCCTGTTGCAAATCTGGTTTCCAATCAAGTGTATGAAAATAGAACCACAATTTTAAAACCGGAAAAAGTATGACAAAGGAAGATTATAAGCCAATCTCACTTGTATCTCACTTGTGAATGAAAGGACAAAAATGTCAAGTATGACTCTAGTAAAGCAAATAGAAACATTCTTTATTAAGAAATTATCATGAGTGCCCTGACCGATGTGGGGCTCAGTTGGTTGGCGGTCGTTTTGTAAAGCAAAAGGTCGCCATTGAGTCCCGGTCGGAGCACATGCCTGGGTTGTGGGTTTGGTCCCCTGTTGTGAGGCAGAAGAGAGTAAGGGAGGAGGGAACTCCGGAGGCACCCTGGGGCTAAGATCAAGGGCAACAGCACAAGACAGAGGCTCTGTTCTAAGACCGGTTGTTCCTGCTTTCTGGGAAACCACCTCATTATGGAGAATCAGGAACGCACCTGCGCAGAAGATGCTACAAGACCTCTGCTTCATTATAATAGCATTATAATAACTTAGCATTGTGGGACCCCTCCCCTGGTGGCCAATCAAGGAAAATCATGGGAGACCACATGTGCAGTAGCTTTAAAGTAACATAACTACTTGTGCATGCACAATAAAACCCCGCCAAAACGAGCCAGGATATATCCATCCTGTAAGAATAGAATTCCTCCCGCCCCTGAGGTCAATCTCTGCTCAGAGTTGGCCCGCTCCCATGTTCTGTGGAGAGTCCTATCACGTAATACATCTCTCTCTGCTATAAACTCTCTGTGTGTTTGATTCAGTTCTTTGTCTGCAATCACCAAGAACCTGGTTCCCTGTGCCCACCGGTGACAGCTGGGGTGCCTACGAGAGGCAACCAATCCCTGTTCCTCTCTCACATGGACATTTTTCTCTCTCTCTTTCTACCCTCCTTCCCCTCCCTCTAAATATAAATAAAATCTTTACAAAAAAATTATCATGATCAACTTGGGCTGGTCAGAGAACATAGGCATCAAAAGCCAGTGGGATAATTATCCATTACAACAGGTTTCATAAATTGCCATTGAGCTTAGGCACATTATTATTTTTTCTTCGAGGACCGTAGACTCTATGTTCTCAGGGAATATTAAATGACTTAAGTGACTTTGGCAAAACAAATGGGCAATTCTGGTTAACTCAAAATACTAATTAAAGTTTATTTTTAAATATTCCAAATAATCGGCATGACTCATTTAAAGACATGTTTGGTGTTAGGCAAATCTGAACTAGTTAGGCAACTTGTATAATTATTAGGGCTTCTCTTTGCCTCAGAATACAAAATAATTCTTGGGTTTGTACCAGGAATGCAAATGTGACCACTGCAGATGGAGCAACGGCGTGGGAGCCCCGGGCCACGGGCCCCAGGCGCGCCCCGGCCGCATCTGCTCTGTTCCTTCTGCTCTGCTTGGGCCTGTGAGGCCAGCCTCGGCCGCAGTGCCTGGGGCATAGTGGGATCCAGACAGCTGTGTGTTCAAGTCATGGGTTAAATGATCAATAATTCCAAGGCTCTCTCTATCTGATGAGAAGCAGGGTCACTGAGATGACCAAGTTGGCCAGATCAACCTTATTTATTTGATTAATTGTTCAGAAAAGAGTGATTAAGAAAGCTGGGGATAAAAATAACATATTTTTAAAATAAAATTTTGAATCTCTTCTTTAGAGCCTGGGACAAATATAATGTTTTCATAACAAAAAAGATATTAAGATGATACCATGTGTCTACTTTAGACTGTCCTTCACATCGGTTAGTTTGTGTCTGTGATCATGGGCGCTCAATTAGTGAATTACATCAATGACCAAGAAATCAGAGGTTTTGTCTAACACAAAGCCATATGGCGTTCACAGTCCTAGACAGGACGGATGGTCACTCATGCATCCACCACCCACGTGCCTCGCGGGACTGCGCCTTCTCCCCGCAGGCCTTGAGCACCCTGTCTCTCTCTCCCTCTTGCTTCTGTCTCCTAGAGGCTGGACTCCCACCGCAAACGTGACGCAGTTCCTCCACCTAGTGGACTAGGGCCGCCATCCTTCCGGGGCCCGTCCCAGGATACTTGATTTCAGCTAGGACTCCTTGGTCAATCGTCCAGCCTGGCAAGAATCACGCCAAAGGACGGGGCGGGGGGGCGGTGCTTAGTCTTCACTCAGGTGGAGGAGCCTCAAAGGACAAATTGTAAACTTAGATGCTTCCATGTGGCGAGCAAACCTAACGCCGACAATAGCTCAGTTATTAAAGAAACAACTGTATAAATACAGTATTTCAGTATTACTTAAAATAAATTCTAAAATACACAAAAAAAAAATCATGGATTTCCTATTTGGGGGCCATGTCCAATGTTTAATAAAATAATTTAGTTTTAAGTCTCAGAACTGGAAGAAATTTAGACTGTCTAGTCTTGCCCCTTTATTTTATTTATTTTTAAAAGATTTATATATTTATTTTTAGAGAGAGGGGAAGGGAGGGAGAAAGAGAGGGTGAGGAACATCAATGTGTGGTTGCTTCTCACACACCTCCCACTGGGGACCTGGCCCACAACCCAGGCATATGCCCTGACTGGGAATTGAACCAGCGACTACTTGGTTCACAGGCTAGCATTCGATCCACTGAGCCACACCAGCCAGGGCTATTTTATCTATTTATTTTAACCCCAAAAGTTCAATAACTTGGCTAAGGTCGTAAGTTCATGGATAGGAAAGTGGCTATAAATTCTAATCCCTTGTGGTTTCCTTCAAATATTTTATACCCACAGTGTTTGTATTGCAAAAGTTAAAAAACAAAACAAAACAAAACCCAGCCGTGGCTGGTGTGGCTCAGTGGATTGAGAGCTGGCTTGCAAACCAAAAGGTTGCCAGTTTGAGTCCCAGTCAGGGCACAGGCCTGGGTTGCGGGGCAGTTGGGGCTGCGTGAGAGGTCAGAGGCAACTAGTCGATATATCTCTCACACACCGATATTTCTCTTTCTCCCTTCTTTCCTCTCTCTCTAAAGATAAATAAATAAAACCTTGGGGGGGGGGGAAGTGTAGAACAAAAGGATAGAACTTGAACTTGGGCACAAAGTTCCTAATGTAATAATCCCCCAAACCACTAGGTGTCACCTTAGAACTATTACTACATACCACTCTGGCAGGTCTTCAGCTAGTGGGGAAAACGTAATGGATGGTGGATGGAACCTTTGGAGGTTTGGGGGTTCTATATAAGTTTCACATAAGTTCAATGAGGATGATAGTTATAACACTTAGTTCACAGGATGTTGAGGATTACATACGAGATACACAAGGATTATGTGAGGTATGAAGAGTAAAATATTTAGCACAGTGCTTGGCAAACATTTACAAGCCCTCAATTTTAGCAGTTACTACTTACTCATCACCAGGACATTATGGTCACCTATTTTGATAAATATAGGAGAAATAAAATAATTTCATCATGTATAGGATAAATTTTGCTGCAACGGAAAGCTAGTAAGTTACTGTTACTGTTTACATGGGCGTCTCAGCTGTTGGTAAGTCTCAGTGATTGGTGACTGGGAAGTTTCAAGATCAACTATCGTAACTCTATTGAATGATGGAGTTTTGGAGCCAGAAACAAAACAAAACAACATCCACAGGCTGATGGGTCTAGACTGGAATCACAGCTCCACCACTCGACACCGCTTGCCCACAGTGTCAACATCCTGAAAGGGGGACCACCATGCACGGCTACCATACTGTGGTTGTAAGGAGGTCAGACAAGGCCGCGAAGTGCTCAGAAGGTGCTCGGTAAATGCTGCCTAAGTGACCTTGAGCAAGTTACTAAAGGCCTGGAAACCTCTGTCTCCTTATTTGTCAGATGAGGTTAACAGGCACTTCTCAGGGTTTTAAGAAACAAATTAGATAGATTCTGGAAAAAGGAAAAATGCGGTCCCTCCGCCCTCCCTCATCCATTTAAACTCTGAGTTATTGGACCCTTCTGGGCTGAGCAACCCTTTGGGCCTACAGACTCCTTGGCAGGAGGAGTTTGAGTTCTGCTGGGGACCCGGTACATGGCTTTCAACTTAGTGGGCTGGACCAGAACCTGGGCCAGAATCCAAGGGTGGTGCATCTTGGGGTGAGCGTGAAGCCCAGACATTTTGGGTGTAAGGACGAGGAAACCCAGCACAGAGATGTTTAACGCGTCGAGAGGACGTACGCAAAGCTGGCGGAACCGTCCTGGCCATTCCCATTCTGCCTCAGAAGAGAACTTTTCTTACCGAGAAAGCTGTGCTACTGCAGACTTACATTTTTTCCAAATTTGAGAACCATTTTTTCAGCATTTATGTGGTCCAGAAAATGAGGATGGTGCTTTCTCCTTCGATAATCCTCTTCAGTAAATGGAACCTCAGAATCATCCTATGAAAGGAAGAAGAGGCCAAACTCGATGAGTTAGGGCTACAAAAAACTAAACTCGGCAATGCCAGCTGGGCTGTGTTCCTTTAAGCTCAAATAAAGTGTTCTAAAAACCACTGCTTATTTTGCAGTGATTTAATTTTCTTGAAAATGTTTTAGCTGGCCACATTTTAGCATTTAGACTTAATCTAAACAAAATTAGAAATTTAAATGTCTTTTATTTTGTAGAGGTGGTGCCAGGTTGACCTGTGAATCCACGAAGTCATTAAATGACCCCCTTCTTAATAGTTCTTGCAGTGTAGGTAGTTTTGTTTTGAATCTAAATTGTGATTTTTCCCCTTCTTTTCTACACCACCCCTTGCCCTTGAATCAACCCCATGTGAAGAAGAGCCTACCAAGGCACAAGTTTCTGTCTCAGGCTTTAAAAACTGCTTTCATCAGGTAAGATGGAGTGTCAGCCCTGAGAGCGGGGATGAGAAATCCACGTATTGCCCCACAACACCCTGAGCTGCCCGTCTCCCTCCATCTCCCCCAGTCTCCCCCAGCCTCCCCAGGACCCAGCCTCCTGGGCTACGCCATGGAGGCGTGCGTCGGAAACAACGGAATGAAAACCTCCTGGAGAACCGAAGGGAGCAACGAGTTCCATGATATGGAGTGATTTCCTCAAGTCCATCAGATGCAGAGGTTCTAGTTGGAGGAGGGTTTTATTTTTTTATTTGCTAATATTTTTAAGAGATTTTCTTTCTTTATTTTCAGCCACAGGAGGAGGGAGGGAGAAGGAGAGGGAGAGAAACATTGATCGGTTGCCTCTTGTTCGCCCCCAGCTGTGGACCTAGACCGCAACCCAGGCTTGTGCCCTGACCGGGACTGGAATCGGTTGACCTTTTGGTTTGCAGGCCAGTGCTTAATCCATGGAGCCACCCCAGCCAGAGCAAGCTGTGTTTTAAAACATACTGTTCATGTTTTGGAACCTCTCAATCGCATCTCATTGGTCTAAGTTCAATAACCAGTCCCGAGCACTTGAGAACAAGGCTTACACGGAATCAACCAGAGGCAGAAGAAACAGGCCCCCGAGGAAGCGCAATTGTTGGCAGGTGTGAACAATAGGAAGCGGGGCCCTGGTGACGGGGTCCAGGCTGGGACTTTGCGGGGGAAGAGGCAGGTGATAGCCAGGTCGCCAGGGCTTTGGCCCGTGTGGAGGACTTTAGGTTGATCCTCAGGGCGTTGGAAGGCACTGGAGGGAGTTCGCAGGACACTAACAGGGTCTGAATTCTGGACAAGGTCGCTTAGGCGGTTCCTCGGAGGCTGACTGGGAGGAGGTGGCGGCAGGGACCAGTGATGCGGCTGTGTCAGTAGTCCCTCGACACAAAGGGAACAAGATGGATTCGCGATACATTTTGGATGATGAATTGACAGGCTTTACTGACGCGCTGGCTGTGGGTGGGAGGGAGTGAGGGGGAGCAACTGAGACGATACCACTGGGGAACAGACTGGGGGAGAAGTCGTTCTAGGGGGGACGATCGCGTCAATTCTGGGTCCGCGGCCCACGCTCGATGAGCACGTGCTACCTAAGAGATGGCCTCTGAGACGTGCCCGGTGGCTCACGTGTAGGGCTGCCGGATAAATTTGGGACACGCAGCTAAAAGTGAGCTTAGATAAACAGATTTGGGGTAGGTCTTACATATCGTATGGGGTATACTTAGGCTAAAAACTGTTGGCTGTAGATCTGAAATTCAAATTCATATGGGTGTCCTGTGCTTTGATTTGCTAGATTTGGCGAATCCCACTCACAGGGTGTCTGAAACAAGTGTATTCAGTCCTGACTTCGAGATGAATCCGTCCTGGCATCTCCCTAGTCCTGGCTAACAGGGCGTGGTGGCTGGTCTGTGGAATGACGTTCCCGTCCCTGGCACTGGCTGCCCAGCACCCCTCTTCTGAAATTTGCCGTGCCCTCGGGTTTTCCTCTACAAAAAGAGCCACTTCGCTAGCACAGACGGCCCCGCAAATTACCAGGTGGAGAATCTAGGCCGAGCCACTGTGTGTGTGTGACAGATGGTTCTGTCATGCCCTCTTATTCAGAACCAGTTACTGTTTATCGTGAAAACATGCATGTCACGGGCTCCCTCTGTTCAGTCCCTTTGTGGACGGCCTGTGCGGAGCGTGGCACCCGCTCTGATGTTTAGTCCATAGCAAAGTTGTTCTCTTTCTCTATCACCTCGTGGAGAGATTTTCTGGACTGGGTGGAGATTTCATTTTTAATATATCTCCCCAATGGTATCCACGTGCATTTTTTCTGAACCACTTGAGAGTAGGTTGCATACGTCAGTCCCCTTTCTTCTTTAATATCCAGTGTGTATTTCCTTAGGACATTCTCCTGCATAACTAGTCAACTTACGAAGTTCAGGAAGTTTAATATGATGCAATGCTTTTATCCAATCTACGGTCCATGCTCCAGTTCTGTCAGTTGTCTCAGTAACGGCTTTCTAGCACGTTTTCCTTCAGAATAGGATCTAGCCTGAGATCATGCATTGCCATGTCTCTTTAGTCTTCTTTATCTGGAACCAGGTTTCAGCTTTCTTTGTCTTTTATTGCCATTAAAAACATTTATTTATTTATTTTTAGAGAGAGAAGGGAAGGGAGGGAGAAAGAGAGGGAGAGAAATATCAGTGTGCAAGAGATATAGCGATCAGTTGCCTCTCCCGTGCTCCTCAATGGGGAACTGGCCCACAACCCAAGCATGTACCCTGACTGGGAATTGAACCAGTGACTTTTCAGTTCACAGGCTGGCACTCAATCCACTGAGCCACACCAGCCAGGGCTATCGCCATTTTTAAGGCATACAGGCCAGTCGTTCGACAGGCTGTCCTTCAGTCTGGGCTGACGTGAGGGTCCCACATGACTCGACACAGGTTTCTGCCCAGCAAACCTCTTTCTACTGTGCTCCCGCTGCCTACGCATTCCCTTGGATTGTTCCCCTGCCTTGGATTTTTTGGAAGTAAATCTCAGACTAGTATCACCTCATCCATAAACACTTCATTAATTTCACTGCAGTTGAAAATATCAATCTTTAAAAAAACATTTAGTGTTACTGGATCTTTTTAAAGAAATTCTTCCCATGCTCAGCTTGTATATCTCTCCACACCATGCCTTTCTCCTTCCTTGGGCAGTGAATAAAAACTTTACTCTTTAAAAAAGAGAGAGAGAAAGAAATCCTTCCCATAAGTTCTATAATTTTTTTAAAATTAAATTATGCTTTTTTACTTTTAAATATGTGATCCATCTGGAGCTGAGTTTCTGTGTGTGGTGTGAGGTAGAGAATCTTAGCAATGGAAATGTTCTCTAGCTTCATTGTTGTGGCTACTAAATCAGATGCATTTGTCAAAACTCATAGAACTCGACAGTAAGAAGGGCTAACTTTACTGTATGGACCATAGTTTGCTGTGTATAATGCACGCACATGTTTTATGCGCATTATACATGGGATTACTATACCCATAGTATGTAATGACTATAACCTTGTATAATGCGCACCCTTATTTTTCCCTCAAAAATTTGGGCAAACAGTGCACGTTAGACACAGCAAAATATGGTCATTTGCACCTTAATAAACCTGACTTAACACCGTCGTGAGCCATGAGGGAAATGGAAGTTAAAACCACAGTGAGAGGATGGGGCCATGCCAGGGCACGGGAGCCAACGCAGGCGCCACCTCCCCGTATTTTGGGGACAGAGGCACCTCTTCTCCACTCTCAGCCCATCCAGCTTAGGGGGCCGAGCATCCCTTCCTCCGGACATGTGATGACGGCCGAAGTCCGTCCGCGGACTGCCCCGTCAAGTGACGCAGTAAGTTCCCACCTTCCTACAGTCCGTGTGAGTTGGTTTACACCTGGAGACAAGTCATCAGGCCAGCCAGGTGACCCAGGCCGGTTGGATAGCAGACACTTCCCTGGATACCCTGGAGCAGTAATAACGTGTCGGGCCTGCTCCTGGCGGCACCCAAATGGAGCAGGGGGCTGACCTGACAGCAAAGAGCTTGCGACCTGGCCCCTGCCCTCGGGGTTTCCTGGTCCTCCGGGGGAGAGAGGACTGAACAAACCAGTGTGGTTTGATGCCAGGAGTGCGATAAATGCCTAAGTATTTTCTTGTGATAAGTAGCGTATTCTGTTGATTCTATCCTGTGCACGTCTCCCAGGTTAACATCTCTGATATTAAATGTGTCTGGTAATCAATGGCTTATTACATTATTAGTCAGCGAGGAAGCACTGACGCCGCCCTTGCCGGTGCCCCAGTGACCCTGGCAAGGACTATGCATGTCGCTGTCCCTTCCCTTCACTTAGGTCCTGCACAGGCGGCTCTAATTGCCTTTTGAAATGTCTTTGAAAAGATTTGCTGGGATTCAGCGCTGAAGTCAAAGCTAGTTCATGGGCCCAGAGGTGCCCAGCAGCGAGAGTCAGTCTGACGTTGGGAAACAATGACGCTAAGCCCGCATTTTCTTGCAAAGTAGTAACCGCGTGCTTCATAGAAAAGGGAAGTGCCCACTATTAGAGGCATGGCTCAGGTCTGGTACTGAGTGTGTGGAGGCAGAATGCAGGTATGACTCAGAGCAGTTTTGGGGAACACCTTAACCACTGTACCTTGCTTCTATTTTCCTTTTAATGTATGCACAAGAAAATAGATGACCGAAATATAGGTCTGAATAAGTCTAAAAGAGAGCTCTCTCAATACTTTTAAAATAAAAAGTGTAAGTGATGAGCAAGCGGCGGGGCCACTTAGAACTGAGTGGGCTTGGAGTCGGTGAGCTCTATTGAGTGCTTATTATGAGATTAGGTTCAGGAGTGGAAGAGCACTGGATCCACGGGAGAAAGTCCTCTTCGCACACAGGCTACGAAGGACAAGATAGTGGCACTACTTACAGGGTCCAGGGGTTTGGATCGCGCCCAGGTCATCACTGTGGAAACCAAAATAAACACCTTTCGCTTCTCAAAGTGCCCGATTTCTTCATTCAGCGCTGTGAAGCCAAAGAGTGAGCGGTTACTTGGATCCGCGCAGAACACGCATGTACTGTTAGTGAGACTTAGAGTTACCCCTTTTTAAAAAAATACTTTATTTATTTATTTAGAGAGAGGGAAAGGGACCTGGCCCACAACCCAGGCATGTGCCCTGACTGGGAATCAAACCAGCAACCCTTTGGTTTGCAGGCTGCTGCTCAATCCACTGAGCCCCACCTGCCAGGGCAGAGTTATTCCTTTTTCCGGGAGCAACCCAACACCTGGGGGGCGCCCCCTCCGATGCCTCGCTGTCCATCCCCATCACTGGTGTTGGCGCCCTCCCCCCAGCCATCTGACCCCCTCCGCGCCCAGCCGAAACCGCGAGCCTCCCTACCTATGTCAGGCCTGCAGCCGGCGCCTTCACCTCCCTGTGGGCCCGTGATGGGAATGACCATGGAGGACGCGGATGGGCACAGGTCGTGGGCATTACTGAGCTCTTACCGTTATGAGACACACACTACTCTGGTCTCTGTTTTACAGGTGAGGGAGCTGAGGCATAGCGCACCAGGAATCCCTGAAGGAAGGTGGGGGCAGAGGGCCCTGTCGGGGCAGCCTGCTGGTCAGGCCTGGACGCTCCCCCTGTGCTGCAGGGTCAGCTGCGGGGGGTGGGTGGGTGCATCTGGGGATGGGGCCGTGGGCACCCCTGAGCGGAAGGTGAGGCCCTCTTAGGGACTCACAGAAAGCAGCCCGAGGTAGCCTACGCCATTGGGGAAGGCAGTCATCGGGGGTGTGTCCACCCTTCCCACTCCCCTGGGTGGGGGAGAGCGGCAGGCGGCCAGGGGGCTGGGGGCAGGGTGGGGGGCCTAGGTAAGGTGGACTCTCAGTTAGGAACGACGAGCCGGGATTGGAATGCAGTGCGGTGCCGGCCGGAGGGCGAGCGTTTCATTTCCGAAGGCTTTTCCCTTCCCAGGAGGCCTGGTCGCACACCTAAGCACGGACTCTCCGTGAATGCTTTAGACGTGTGGTTCTGCTAAAATATTTTTCATGATGTATAAAAGTCCAGAAAGAAAAAAATCTAAAGCGAGGTTTAATCACATTGTCAGAGGACCCGAGCAACACAGGTAGTCATGGTATATGACTACCAGGTATCCTGAACCTAACAAATGCGTGGGTTCCTATGGGAAGGTGAGAAAGTATCATTAGGCCTAGGAGCAGTGTGTGCACACGTGAGTCCCAGCTCAAACGCTAATTTTAGCTTCTATCTTTATTCTATTAACAAAGGTGCTCTCTTTGATTTAATTGTGCCCTTCCTCCCTTTCTGCCTGCGCTGTTTCAGATTGGCCTATTTTGTGAATGCTGGCACGTTGAGCGGTCCTCTAACTGGGTTATCTTCTTTATTTATAATTTTCATGGGTCAAAAGTGATCTGCTTGTTCAGTTGTGGACAAGCACATTTTATCCGTATCTGCCAATGTTTTCCTCTCATTTCTAATACTTTCTTTCCTTCTCCCATGTTATTTTACCTTTCTTTGATAGTATCTGAAAGGCAAGATAGGAGAATTCTTTTCTATTAAAACATGCTAAAATAATCAAACATGATTAAGAACTAATACATATCCATTGTACAACCAAAATTAAACAAAACCCCTGAATCTAAGAATGTGCTTCAGGTGAAATGACGAAGTTCTCCCCGCCCCCGCCACCCTCCCCCCGCCCCCGCCGAGTCCATAGCCCCAGCAACTCCACGCCACCCAGGAGACCCTGATGACAGACCAAGGGCCTCTGACTAAAGTGCAGTTAAAGCCTTTCCACCCAATGGAGAGGTGACATTTTCTTAATTATATAAAGCCCTTTATTAGAATAAAGGAGGAAGCAGTAAAACATATTCCACATTTTAAAGTTCATGAAAGGAAATGCAGTTATCCAAGTTTGAGAACCAATTACATTCCTGCGAGGGGAACTTGGGGAGGGGCCCTACGAGAGTCTGAAGGTCATTTGTCATAGGAGCAGGTCAGTGGTTAATGTCTGAAATTCACAATCAAAGGACATCAGTGCGGGCATTCGTATGTATTGAAAGGAACAAGTGCGCTAAATGAGGTTCCTTTGGGGAGCAGAGATGGGATGGAAAGAAAATGTAGGGAATTGTTGCTTTTTATTCTAAGCCCTGTTATGCTTTTTAGTTTTCAAAACATGTCCAGGTTTTATTTCGGAAAAAAGTATTTAAAAATTTCGAGAAAACTGCAAGTGTACATTATACAGAAACATCAATTTCTAAAAGCCTGGCACAAACAAGAACTCAATAAGCATTAGCTCTGATTACTATTTTAGGCTGTGCGATTATTTCAGAAGGTGCAATTATCCATCATCTGTAAATATTTGCAAAGGGACAAAATGCACAAAGCAGGCTTATAAAATCTCTGTTGCAGAAGATGACACAGTGTTCATGTTTTTGATTTGTAGCTTATTGAATGAAATTTAGGCCCAAAGTTATAAATGAGAAATGAACCATTTGAAGCCCCCCAGGAACCCCACACACCCACAGAGAGTACTTTTTCATCATGGTTTCCCTAACAGGTACAGTCATTCCTGAGGCTCTAGTCCACTTCTTTAATGTAAGCCAAAATATGGCTTTGCTGTTGACATTATTCAGGGGTTGGCAAAGGTACTGCCTGCTTTTTAAGTACATTTTTATCAGAACCAGACCATTCACTTACATATTGTCTATGGCTCTGTTCTGGCTACAAAGGCAGAGAAGTGTGCTCAAAGAGCCAAAATATATTTTCTCTCTGGTCCTTCACAGAAAAAAAATTTGCTGACCCCTGATCTAAACTGCCTAAAACAAAGATAATGCAGTGTAAAAAGTATAGGAAAGGACGGCGCTCTGTGCTTTTTTGGCTTAGCCTAGAACGGCGACTCAGATAAGCTGATGTATTTTCTTCTTTGCTCCTGCCTTGATGAGGAGACGAATTTACAAAGCGCCAAATTGCTAAACGTCACTTCGTCCTCCCAGGCAGGAGAGCCTTAGAGTCCACCACATTTTTCAAAGCCTTTGAAGACTACAAGTATTTCCCACAGCCTCCTGGACCCTTGTTCTCAGGGAACCTTTGCTGAGCCCTCATAGTCAGACAGAATGCCTCTCCTCATCAACTCCCACCCCTCCTGTGAGAACTCTGCTGAACCTGCCATCCTCTCTCCAGCGTTCACGTTTCTGCACGCGCCTTAGCTCTCTTGCAGGCCTCCAAGTGCCTAAAGGGGGTGTGTGTTTTTTTCTTATTTGTCCCTGTATCTGCCCAATATATTTAACCACGCTTCTGTAAGCAGTGCCTGCAGCATGAATAAAGGTCAAATTTGGGGAGTTAATATTTCATTTCTTTTAATGATTAAAAAAAATTCTATTCTTTGGAATAGAATATTTTGTTAAAATAATTAAACAAGGAGGCCCGTCAGACTAGAGTAGTTCTGATGCCTTCGCAGCCCACATCAGTAAACCAAACCTAAGCCAGTAAAAGGCTCAAGGTTAAGAAATCAAAATGTAAAGTCAACCAATCACGAACAGCCAACTAGGCTCTTCCAAATAAGGTGACTGCTTAAGCTATAGCCAATCAAATCATTCCTTTGCGTTGTTCCCAGCTTTTCTCTATAAAAGCCCTCTCCCTAGCTCCTGTTCATGGAGCGCTCCTAACCACTCCAGGTGTGGCACTACCTAATTTGAATTGATTTTTTGCTCAAATAAACTCAACATTTTTAATATGTTTCCATTTATCTTTTTTTTTTTTTAATCCTCACCTGAGGACATACTTAATGATTTCAGAGGGAGGGGAGGGGAGGAAGAAAGAGAGGGAGAGAAACATCGATGTGAGAGAGAAGCATTGATTGGTTGCCTCTTGTATGTGCCCCAAACAGGACTGAATCTGTGACGCAGGCATGTGCCCTGACTGGGAATCAAACCGGCGACCTTTTGCTTCGCAGGATGATGCTCCAGCCAACTGAACCACACTGGCCAGGGCTCTGTTTATCTTTGAACACGATTTCCAGGCATATCCATTAGGCTGATTTCAATTTGTGTTTTAGGTAATTTTCAGATAATATCTCCTAATGGTCCTAATTTGCTGAGCGTTTCTTAGATGACTCTTAGGTAAAGTAAATTACACAAAAGTGGTGCCCCCAGAGATAAAAGGATCACCTCACTGACCAGAGACTGCCCAGATGGCTTCTTCCACTTGCTGTGGATTCTCAGTGATGTTATAAATAATAACATCACACTCCAGCAGGTGCATGAGAAGTTCTTCTTGAGAGAGGGCCTGAAAAGAGAATTGACAGGCATTTGTTCAAGAAGCTAACAAAGTATCCTTAATGTTTAGACGGAATGACAATTTTCAAATTAGATATTCTGTGTTGAAGAGTCCCGCAGAAAACATTGGCAGAAGGATTTCTATTTAAAATGAAATTTTGGCTCTCTTGTGTGTGTAGTTTTCAAATAACAAAGGAGTTTATGAAAATAGCTGGGAATAGATGACTAAAAAATTGCCTTGTGATCTTAGGTATGCTGTTAACATCCCAATTCAGAAGGGAAGAATTAGAACACACTGGAAAAGATTGTGGGAGGCATTTAAAACTCACTCCAACTCTGTGGAAGATTATTTGAGCAATTATATGTCTTGAATCACTCCGAAGTGCTGATGAGTGATTTATGGGGATTGTTTCAGAATCCTCTAGATGGAATCAATTTGTTCTCCTTCTAGATGTAAGGTATCTTATTACAGTTGACTGTTGGGAATATTTTATTTTCATTTTTATATATTTAAAGATTTTATTTATATATTTTCAGAGACAAGGAAGGGAGGGAGGGAGAGAGGGAAAGAAACATCAGTATGTGAGAGAACCATCCATCAATTGCCTCTTGTATACCCCCAACTGGGAGCCTGGCTCACAACCCAGGCATGTGCCTTGACTGGGAATCGAACCAGAGACCTTTCGGTTCATAGGCCATTGCTCAGTTCACACTAACCAGGGTGGGAATATTACAAAAAACGCAGAAACTTTCAATAGTTAAAAATATAAAGTTCTTACATTAGACAAACGTAGTTGTGGTGGTCGTGATGTTTAACTAGTTATCTCTTGCTGCGTGGATGCCAGCAGGTTTCCCAGTAGAGCAACGTTCTGGGCGGGGCTTAAGATGACCACACAGGAACTGTGTGTTTTCCAAACCAGCATTTGCATGTGTCCCGAGAATCAAACAGCCCCCACAGGCCCTTGACGAGGTGCATTAAAACAGAACCTTGCAGATCAAGCTTGGTTTCTTACAACAACTGGTTGGAGAACCAAAGAAAAGTGGATACCTTTTCAAATGAACCCTGGAGGGAATACCTTGGTGAGGTGAATGCATCCAGGTCAAGTTCCACAGCGTGGACTGCTGGTTTCTCCAGCTTGAACCCTACACTCTTTAGTATCCAGCTGTAGTAGTGTCCTAGGATGGCTGTAACTAAGTATCACAAACTGAGTAGTTTGAACAACAGAAATGTATGTCTGAACCATTTTGGAGCCTAGAAGTCCAAGATCAAGGTGTGGGCAGGGTTGGTTCCTTCCGAGGCTGAAAGGGACAATCTGCTCCATGTCTCTCCCCGAGCTTCTGGGGCCTCACCGGCAGTCTTTGGTGTTCCTCGGCTTGTTGATCCACCCCAACTCTCTGTCTTCATCTTCACATGATCTTCTTCTCCCTGGCTGATGTCTGGGTCCAGATTTTCCCTCTTTATGAGGACACCAGTCATAGTAGATTAGGGGCCCACTCTAATGACCCCCTTTTAACTTGATTTCCTCTGTAAAGACCCTATCTCCAAATAAGGTCACATCTTGAGCTAGCAGGGGTTAGGACTTCAACATATCTTTTTTTGCAGGGGTGGGGGTGGGGGTTGGAGATGAAATTCAACCCACAATACCATCCATGCGATGTTTTTTCCCAGTTAAATGTGCAGGAGGGAAGATACTCTGAGAATGCTGATCCAGACATTGATTTTTACTTTGTCCAAGGTGTGACAATGTGAGAGGACACTACTCTCTCGGTATACCTGGGGCTGAACTAGATTCAGGAACGACACATGAAAGAAAGGAAGAAAGATCACAGGAGAAAGCGAAGACCTGTGTTCCAAATGCAGAACAAGAGAAAGAAGATAAAGCATCTGTGATTCCAGCCTGTAAGAGCACACGAGAGAGGAGTCCAAAGGAAAATGTGCATGCTTCTTAGATCGCAGCCTGATTGATTTCGGAGGACACACACACATTGTCAAGAGCAGTTGTCCTGACCAGACGTTGACTGGCCATGTTCATGCATTCACTGGTTCACACATCAAACATTTGTGGGTCCTGTTTTTGACCCTGAGGATAGGGGCAAAAATGAGTTCTATGAGGTTGCTGACACTGCAGAGCAAGCTGTGTGTGTGTGTGTGTGTCTTGTTGAGAAAACTTTTAACCAATAATTATAACCTATAATGTAGGCAAGGACGTAAATAAGCACATAGAAGCCCTCTTACAAATTAGATAAAGGCAACCTGCTCTTGGTGGAAAAATCATTGGGAGGCAGCCACCCTGGCGCATACTGGAGCCAGCGGAACAGGTTGCTTGTCAGCCCCTACTCCTGCCCTTAGCTGGGCCACCTGCGCAGCATGCAGCCCGTGGGGCCTTGCACAGCAGCCTCCAGCATGGAAGGCGCTGTCACAGAGGCACTGAGCACTGGAGAGTCGAGGGACCTGGAGGAACACGTGCTCCCGGCTCACAGGCGCTGCCACTGGGGCTGGGTGGGAAGGGTGAGTATGCGCTCGCGCAACAGAGCCTGGGATGCTCAGGGAAGAGAAGCTGGTTTGCTGGGCCAGACAGAGGCACCTTTCACAGCCCAGACCAGCCTAAGGCTCTGCATCCTCCACTCTCTCTCGCCTCACACCACCCTTGCCTCTTCCCCTTGGCTCTTGCAATGCTGATGCCTCCTATGAAAGGAACGCATTCCTGTGGTTCCCCTTGGGTGGCATTCCTCGACCCCCTTATCTACCTGGCAAGCTCTACCCAGTCCGAGGGGCCCAGCCTCAGTAGCAACTTCTCTAGTAGACCCCAGGCTCCTGAAAGGAGGGTCGTAGGTGGGATCTCCAGACCCCAGGAACCAGGGGGCCTCTCTCTGGGAGGGAGGGAGCGGCTTGAAGCTCCGTGTGCCTGCTCTGCAGATAAGACTGAGAGCTTGGCGACTGCCCTTTCTAGAGGGCTCTGGACGCTGCCGCGTGCCCACCTCTGTTGTCACATCTACTGCGCTGCTGTGGAGCGAACAGTCTGTGCCGCAGAGTCCCTGTTAGGCTGTGAGCTCTGTGTTCAACTGCGGAGACTTCGGAGGCTCAATACGCCTGCACTGCTTCAGATTCAGGTGCAAATGGTGAGAGGTGATGGGGATCTGAACGAAGGCAAATGGCCCTGGGAAAGGAGGTGCCCCTAGGGAGATGCTAAAGAGAGGGGGTTGAGGACCATGACCAAGAGGGTCTTGGAGGTGGGAGGAGCAAAGGGCCCACATAACTCTTAGCTGTGGGGGGGGGCAAGTCATGGTAAGCGGGACAAGGACACGGGTTGTCTGCAAACATCCATTTCCTCTTTCTCTTTTCCAGCAGAACCCCAGTTTTGTTCAGACTCCCCTTCTCCCCTTCTCAGCCTGGGGGAACTAGCTCCATCCTCTAGCTTAAGGGATGGGCCTTACGGGTAGGTGACCGGTCCAGGAATGGACATGTGACTCCATTCAAGACAGTGAGGTTGAAGGGGATGCTTGTGGAGCGCTACTGGAACGCCCATCCTCCTTCCTCCGTGGCCTTCCGGAAGTTCTCTTTGTCAGGGGTTGCTGTGCATGAATTAAGGCCCTGGACTGCGGTAGCCTTGCTCATGGCTCCATCCTGAAGTCACCCCCGAGGAAGGCAGAGCCCAGGAAGGGGCAAGAAAAGGAACGGTAGCCCCTGGATCACGCCAGCCCTGAAGCTGATGCTTTCTTGAGACCACCAGCCACATAAGCCAATGGATTTCCTTATTTATTAAGCCAGTTTGCATTGCTCTTTTTTCTGTTACCTCAAGTCCAAACTGATGGCGGCAGCAAGGTCCTTAATAAAATGTAGGAGCACAAAGGACAGAGTGGATTTGTAGGGGAGCCTATTTTACTTTGGGGAATATTAATTTAGAGTATTATGCAGGACACCTGGGAGAGAGCCAACCAGAAGGCAGCTGGGTTTGTGGGTCAAAGGGCTGGATACAGATTTGAAAGGTGTTGGTTTGTATTGGGGCAGCTGAAGCCAAGGTCTGCGTAAGGCTTAGGAAGGACAACTATTATAAGAAGGGAGGGAGCTCTGGGGAAAACTGTATTTATTTTATTTTTTAAAAAATTTATCTATTTTTAGAGAGGGAAGGGAGAGAGGAAGAGAGGGAGAGCAACATCATTGTGAGAGAGAAATATCTATTGGTTGCCCCTCATACGTGGCCCCGACCGGGGACCAAACCCACAAGCCAAGCGTGCACCTTGACCGGGAATCAAACTGGCGACCTTCCACTTTGTGGAATGACACCTGACCAACCGAGTCACAAGGGTCAGTGCGAACACTGCATTTAAAGGCTGGAAAGGGGAAAAGGAGCCCGTGAAAGAACCCATGTAGGAGCGCTCAGGTGCGTCAGGGGGGTGGGGCGGAAGGTGACAGGAGGAGGGGAGAGGAGAGGCTCCTGGGAAGCCAGCCAAGGTAGGCCCGTGGGAACCGGGCTCACGGTGAGATCGGCCAGGCATTTCCTCTGGAGTGGTGGGGACGGGGCTGCTGGGACGAACAGGGACTGGGGAGGGCCGGAGCGAGGCCGGCCACTCCCCTCTCTGAAGGTCACCGGTGGCAGGGGCCGGGGTAGAAAAAGAGGGAGACAGTCACCAGGGAGGACACAGTAAGTGTGCCTTGCAGTGGGAAAGATTTGAAGATACATGTGGGTGGGAAGAGAGAAGCCGCTGGTGAGTAAAGACCCCGAAAAGTGTGAAAGGGGTAAGTGGGGAAGACAGTTCCCGAAGACAGGTCGGGGGGTGGGGGCGTGGGGGGGGGACGGACTCACGCGTTCATTTCCCAAACGCTCATGGAGGGCCACTCTCTGCCAGTCGCTGTGTCAGGTGCCCAAGATGCACAAATAAGCAGGCGGATAAGTAAGGCACCATCTCTATCCTCACGAAGCTGACAGCTATAGTCAGCGAGACCCACGACTGATAGATAATAACAACAAAGTGCGAAAAGCGTTATGACCGATGTGGGTAAAGAGTGCTATGGCTGTACAAGAAAAGGGCTCAGAATCCAAGCCGGTGCTGGGGGAGGGGAGAAGTAAAAATGACAGAGGGCTTCCTGGAGGCGATGCCACCCTGAGTTAAATCTGGAAGGATGGGTGGGGCTGGCTGGGCAGGGAAGAGGAGAGCCGTTCCAGGGTACAGGGTGTGCAAAGCCGTGTGGCAGGGTCTCGAGCGTTTCAGGCAGGGTGGTGGGGGGGAGACAGTCGGGGAGGGACACTCCTCTTGGGGCTACCGGAATGTCTCAGGAGGGGGTTGGGCAGAATCTGCCCTGTGCCAGCAGCCCCGTTTCTCAGTAAGACAGTATAATGGCGCGTTATTCCTGAGCGGCCTATGGCCAAAGGAGGTTCTCCGTTCACAGATACCGCCCCCCCAACCCGCGGCCCCGAATGGTGTTGGGGTCATGCAAGGCAGCATAAAGTCCAAACCAGGTTCATACTTTCCAAAAATGTCTAATTGCAATTCTTTCAAGTAGCGACAACGGTGTTATTCTCCTTCAAAGGACAAAGACTGGCCCCCACCTGGTCCCCCACCTTCCCAGGCCCCACATATTTGCAGAAGAGAAGCCAAGAGTAAGGGCATGTATGTGGGGGTCGGAGCGGGGAGGCAGCCCTTCCCTCTGTTCTCAGGAGAGACCCCGCACTTACAGAATATGTCTCCACGGCAAAGTTGGGCCCCGGTACTCCGGGCGCGGAAACTGTGCCCACGATCTGGAATGTGCCTTCCTTCAGCTTGGACGAGGGGGCTTCCTGCAGAGCCGACTGGCTTTCATCTTCCTCTTCCTCTTCTTCTGTAATTTCTTCAAGCGAAGCCCCGGCTACGCAGTTAGAGAGAAACTGCAAGACAAGAGAAATTTCCCCGATGCTAAGAACGACTTGGAGTGAGGGCAGCCAGTGCAGGGTGAGTCTGGAGACGGGCCTTTAGTGAGGGCTGGCTCGAGGGGCCGCGCGTGGAAATGAAATACATTCTTTAGGATGAGCACCACCGTGTAGAGCTCAAGGATAACTTAGCTTATCTGCACCGCTGGAAATTCCTTCCTTGACTGCTTCACTACTTTTTTTAAAAAACGGTTTTTGTTATTTTTTTAGAGAGGGGGAAGGGAGGGAGGAAGAGAGGGAGAGAAGCATCATTGTGTGGTTGCCTTTTGCACGTCCCCTACTGGGGTCCTGGCCTGCAACCCAGGCATGTGCCCCAACAGGGAATCAAACTAGTGACCCTTTGGTTCACAGGCCCGTGCTCAATCCATTGAGCCTCACCAGCCAAGCCACCTTCTTTGACTTCTTAGCACCAACAGAAATTTCTTCCCCCTGTTCACATAATCCTTCCTCCTCTCCCTTTCTCATAAAACCCCTTTGCCTTCATTCTCCTAATCAGAACACCGTTCGGCCTTCTCCCTAAATAGGTGATTCCTGTAGAGCTACTCTTTTTGGATCTTAAATAAACGATTGTTGCGTCTCACTTGGTGGTTTTTTTTTTTAGGTTAACAGTACAGACAACAGCGATTACTTACAATTTGAGAAAGAGAGGTCCTAGTTAGTTAAGGAATAACCAGAAAATTCTGTTATTGATAAGTTTTTGAAAAAACAACCTCTGCAAATGAAAAGCTTTATTTTAAAGCTAGCTGTTAAAAAATAATCAGAGATCAAAAGGAGATAAAAAGTTAACTTCTCTTCCTTCTCTCCTTCTGATCTTAACCAGCACACCTCCCTTTTTCAAGACTTCGAGGGTCTTCATGGGATTGACAAGGTAAGCCCAGCTCGTGATCTGGGCCTCTTTGCCCGACTGGCCCTCGTTAATTTGCACAACAAATAGCGATGGAGCGCTGGGCTCCTGTGGGGCACTGTTAAGTTGCTGAGCAGGGCCACACTCTGGTTTCCGTGGGCCCTTCCCTCCACAGGAAAATATTAAAAATATACTTTACATGTGCTTTGCTGTAAAGACAAACATAATCTTTGACCCTCAGATTTCAGGTGCTTCCTTCTGGTTTTCAAAGAAATGGAAACACTTTTGTGGGTCCCCCAGTCTCGGGGGCCCTGGGTGCTGTGTCTGCCACAGCAAGGAAGTCAGCGCTGGAGCTCCAGGTCACTGCCCCTGTCCTGGGCCACTCTGTCCTCTGAAAACACCAACCTGGCTCCCACCTCAGAACCTCGGCCCCTGCCGTGACCCCTGAGGACTAGCTCCTCCGGCTTGACCCTCTGCCTGTGCCAGATTAGAGTCCTTTCCTGCAACTCTATGTAAAGCAGACAGTTGACATGTGATGTCCTCTTTCCTCGAGTGCTTATCACACACCCGAATATCTTGTCGATTCTACAAATGAGTGACTGCTGGTCTTCTGCCAGGAGAGGCGGCGTCCCTGAGGGCAGCAGTGTTGGTTCGGTCTTATCCCGTATGGGGCTGTCCGTGCCTGCTAACTTGTAGGTGCCCGTGAAGGAGCCCCGCCCTCCAGAAGTGATGCTAAGTAAGTTTCTTGTGCATCCTCTGAGACATTTTCTATGTATAGATGATCTCTCTCTCTCTCTTTTCTATATCGATATCTATCATTTTGAAAGACACAAAGAAGTTCATATGACACCTGTGTTTTTAATGTTTCTTTAAAAAATTTTGTGATTATATTGTTTTAGTGTTGTTTGTCCTTGTCCTTTCTTTTTCTCCTTTTCTGGTCATGTGTTTTTAGTCTCTCCCAGTAGATATCTATCATTTATAATACATAGAATGTCATATCTATTGTTTCTCATAATGCCATGCTGTATAAAAATACTATTTTTACATATAAATTATATACCTAAATCTATATATATTTTTTGTTTCTTTTTCATTAAAAAAGTCTATATATTTTTGACTGGTAACTGCAGATGACATACTGGGTTGAACAGTCCTTCTGCGCCCTCCGCCCCCAATTTCCACCCACCTGGAACATGTGACTCTGATCATATTTGGAAATAGGGTCTTTGCAGGTGTAATCAGGTTAAATGCAGCTATACCAGGTTACAGCGGGCTCTAACCCAGTGCCTGGTGTCCTTACAAGAAAAGGAAAGTTCGGGCCCAGAGATGCTTGGGGGAGACCACGACGTGAAGGCAGAGGCAGAGCTGGGAGCCTGAGTCTGCAAGCCAAGGCGCGGCTAGGACGGCGGGTCGCCACCGTGCTGAGAGGGACGCGAGGGACGGGTTCCCTCCCGGGGCCTCCAGGAGGAGCCAGGCCTGCTGACACTTTGATTTTGGATGTCTGGACTCCACAACTGGGAGAGAATCCATTCCAGTGTTTTAAGCCACCCAGTTTGTGGCGATTTGTCACCACAGTTTAGAAAATCAGTAAGCCCTCCTCAGGGAACAATCAAATCACTGCTTTCTTTCTGCAGCTGAGCATTTTAAGAGGAACGGCCCCCAGGGTCCTCTTTCTGAACATCTTCACTTCCCAGGGGGAAGATGGAGAAGGGCAACAGAGCCAGAACAGTGCCTGGCACGCGGCGTCTAGATGCTCAGACCGTGGGCCGAAGGGGTGGCTGAATGAAAGTGCTTTGTGGGTGAGGCGACCATTGAGCTTGTTGAGTTTGTCCTTCAGTTCCCGTTTACAGTCAGTGTTATTTTGTATTAGGTTGACTTGAGCTGTACAGTGGTTAGACAATCGCATACTTTACAAAAGTGTTCCCTGATATTCCCAGGGCCCCTGGCACCACGATACGTCCTTATCACCATGTTATTGACTGCATTTCCTGCGCTGCACTTCACATGCCCGGGACCCTTGGGGACTCTCTTTCTCACCAGTGCCGCGGCAGGTGCGGTGGCGGGGTGACACAGGACCCAGTCAGAAGGCCAGAGACCTGGGCTCCGTTTCCAGGTTCTGTCTTCAACTCGCTATGTGATCTTGGGCCGGTCCCTTCCTTCCTCGGAGCCTCGGTTTCCCCTTATTGACAAGGGAGGAACTGGGGCTGGACCGGGGAACTCGTTGGGGGCTGGGTGGGAGAGGAGACTCCCAGGTGGGGCGGTTGTCTGGCCTGGATTCGGCTTGGGGGTCTGCGGGTACTGGGCGCGCCTAGGATGAGGACCCTTCCTTCGGAGAGGCCCCGACGGCGCCCCGCGGCACAGGGCCTCGCCGGGTTCGGGGACTTGGGGCGGTGGAACGGGAGCCGGGGACCCGCGTCCCGCCTGGACCCGCCGCCGCTCACCTTCCCGATGTTCCCGCTGCTGTAAGAGTCCAGCAGGTTGATAAACACCCGCTGGACCCGGATAACTTTCTCCGGCCGGGCAGCGGCTTCCTCTTCTTCAGCCATGGTGGGAGCCGCCGTGGTTGCTAAGGAGAAAGCGTCCCTGTGGTTGCCAAGGCGGCGGGATCGCGGTTTCGGGGAGGCGGGGCCGCGGCCGCTCCCCGGGGGCGGGGCCTAGGGTGCAGGGCGGGGCGCCCCTGGGATGGGCGGGGCTACTGGCTTCCCGCGCACGTCGGGCTCCGCCCGGCCCCGGAAGCACGCGGCTTCCCCGCGCAGGTTCGCTCCGCCGCCGCGCCGCCTGCGGGCAGCCAGGGCCCCGCTCCGCCCTGCTGCTCGCTGGGTGCCCTCGCGCAGGGCGCGTCCTCTGCTTGCTAGTTTTTCTTTGGAAACTCTGGAGACATCCCCGTGTCCACGTGACAGGGACGACTAAAAGTATTGATGAAGTTGGTGTGGGAATATCTGATCAGGAGGACGTGAAATAATCCTCTTCTGCACAGAGGAGCCGTTGCCTTGGAATTTCGGGTCCTGGACACCGGACGCCAGCGTGGGTGGTCCTCGCTGGGCGGCCCGTCGCTGCCTGGCTCAGCTGGTGGAAGGGTCGTTTCCTAACAGTTCCGGAAAGACCCCTGGGAGTGGCCCGGGGAGGGCGGGGGTGGAGGAGGCTAGAGGCCACTGTGCCGGGGACGCTGCATCCTCATTCACAGAGGCATGGAATTGAGATTCTGACCTTTCCAAGGGAGATTGTACCTGCAGCTGCCGGGAGAAACGGACAAATGAAAAGATGACGCTCAGCTTCTGTCAGTGGGCGTCACATCACAAAGGCCGTGGTGGACTACGAGAACGTCTTGCCATTTATCTTGGAATAGCCTGATTCTTTGGAAATATTTCCGGCTTGGCCCTGAGCTTTATAGCTCTGCGGCCGCTTGTTGTCGACTGGACCCATCTATTAACCTTTCCCAAGCTGTTCAATAGGCTGTAAAACAGGAGTGAACCCACCAGGCTACAAGGCTGGTAGGACGCGATGAGAAAAGCATGAAAGCATTTTCTGAAGTGGTCTCCAAAGGTGGAATGGCTTTTTATCCTGTAAACCTAAGGCACAGGGCTACAAACAGGGGCCTTATCGTTCCGTTTTCTTTTTTTCTGTCTGCACCCCGTTTTCTTTCTTTTAAAAAAAATAAGTATTTATTTATTTTTAGAAAGGGGAAAGTGAAAAAGGGAAACATCAATGTGTGGTTGCCTCTCGTGCGCCTCCTAACGGGACCTGGCCTGCAACCTGGGCGTGTGCCCTTGACTGGGAATCGAACCGGGAACCCTTTGGTTCAACAGGCTGGCACTCAATCCACATGAGCCAGGCCCCCCTTTTCTTTTTCATATGTTTCATTAAAACTTGTTTTGATAAAATAATTAACATTTTGAATTTTGAAAACTCAATTTTGGGAACAGCTTGCACATAACATTCTATAAGAAAAAGGATCAACACTAAAGTGCTGTCAACTTAAACATAAAAATATTTATGCAGGACCAGTACAAAACTTGATGGGATAAATATTTTCGGCATTCTTTCAAACGACTTGCTAGATCAAATATTTCTAGAATTCACTAGATTCCTCATTTCCGGATTTTGTTTCCCTATTGATATGAAGTAGGTAGGTACTTTGAAAGCTATCAACTGGTCACGCTACTATAAAATATTTCACCTTTGTTTCACATTACTCACATTATTTGTAAGGGGAACATGTGCTAGTGCTATGGTTACAAGGGGTTGGCTTCTGGAGAATTTTACATACTGGTAGATTAGGAAGAGATCGTTCATTCTGTTATACCAACCATCCCATCTTTTATTGTTACTCCTTCCCTCTTTCAAAATCAGGCTGGGCATAACCAGAGTTCAGGACATGCTTTTATTAACACACACTGCATGGAGTGAGCCGGTGGTGTCAGAGGACCCGGGTTCTGCCCAACTCGGCTGTTCACAGGTGGGCTGCTGAGCAAGTCCCTGTAGTCTCAGCTACGTCATCTCAAACTAAAGGGGCGAGAGGCAGAGTCCTGAAGTCACCATGTCATACTGAACCTCAGTGTTTTCCTAAGCTGTTCTCCCTTGACAACACATTTTGTTTTTGAACCCTGGAGAGTGGTGCAGTGTGCAATGGAAGGAGCTATGAGCGTGATCCCACACACACTGATTTGCTGCTGTAAGGGTAGCAGTTGATTCTGGACCTGGAGGAAAGGTGGGGAGGAGTCACGATGAGGAACGAGGCATGCCCCGGTTTCTCAGTAATACTGCCTCCTCAAGGATCCCGGGAGCAACCACAACTGAGCCAAGCCTGGTGCTTTTTGCTAGACAGAAGAGTTCTTTAGCTGGTGTGCCCCTTTACCTCCTGCATTTCCCCTTCAATTAGTATGGTATTTTGCTGTGTATAATATGCACTTTTTTGCCCAAATTTTTGAGGGAAAAATAAGGATGTGCATCATACACGGCAAAATACGGTATATACAAGCAAATGCAGAAAATGTGAAAAAGCATAAAGATGAAAATTACCTATCTTACCACCTAGTGAGGACTATGAACATGTAGAATATTTTATTTCATTTTCCTATTACATAGAAGAGTATTTTCCAAAATTGGCTTATTTTTTCATGTAGTTTAATTTTTCCCCATTGCCTTTTCATGACTTTTAATGGCTGCGTATTTTTCCACCAAGAGAACACAGCGTAACACAAACACTTTCAGAGCCACTCCAAGTTTTCATTAGAGAAAATGAACATCCTTGTAGTACACCTTCTGCCGAATCATCCCCCATGCTAGACTGCTAGAGTGTAACCAGGACAGAAGTTACGAGCTTTATGAGCTCTGTAAAGGCTCTTTTACCAGTGTTCTCTGGAAAGGCTTCACCAATATATCCTCCAAAGATACGAGCGCCCTCTCACTAAATCCTTACTGGTATCATTTTATTTATATGAGACATTATTGAATTATTACGTGAAAAGACTCCTATTTACCTTTGTTGAATTACTGGTCAGGATGACTACCTTTCAAGTGGATAGTAGATATCTGTATTATTTTTTTGAGTTGTTTGATCATATTATTTGCACATTCTCATTTTTTTTCTTATTGATTTCTAAGAGTTGTTTAGAGCGCCCCCCGCCCCCGCCCCTTGGAAGTATAATAAAGGCCTGGTTTATCTGGTTAAATTCTTCAAGCAATCTAGGTAAAATTGAGGTTTAAATATCTGTGTTTTACTAAGCTTTTCTATTTCTCTATCATAATAATAAACAATGCTGAATTCAAAAATGGAAACGGAAGCTCTTGGAATCAATCATTTATCACAAAACAATTTCAATTTTTAAACATACAATCACTTTTTCTTCATACTTAAAACTCAAAATGAGTAAACAGAATTTTATTCAAACTTTACAAATATCGTTTACAGTTAGCCTGAGATTAGCATGAGAAGGTTCAACCTGAAGTTAAACTTCATTGCCCAAACAGTGAAGCGTCTGACAAGAAAGCTGAGAATGAATCTGTGTTGCCAACCGTAATGAAAGCATTCCAACGGCGTTTGACAGTGAACACTGGCCTGAACCGAACTCCCATTTGCTCTGGTCTACCTGGTCTTCAGAGCCTAAAAGTACCTAGTATTTAATGATTAAAAAAAAGCCTGCAAATGACAAATTTCTTAAGGTGTGTCGAGATGTAGAATTTTAGTTCATTTCTACAGCTGCTACTTTAGACTATTATTAAAAAAACAATTTCCCCAATCCTTACTATTCAACATGTTCTTGAAAACATGAAGCAGCATGGTATAGTTTATTAGTTTATAAATATTAGTACCTGTAATAAAATATAAAATACAGATTCTGCCTTTTTCAAACATTAAGTCTCGGAGTGCTTCCTTCATCCTTTGGTTTCAAACCCATACAATGCACTCGTATTACATTGTGGATTTAGCATTGAGACGAAACACTGTACATCTGTTGGGGAAGGAGGGACACTGTAGGAATACCAAAGCATCACATTATAGAAAGTAAATGTTGAAGCAAAAATACTTTCTGAATATATACTGTACATCATGTAAACAAACATTCATAAGAAGAATCAACACAGGCCAAAATATTGTTTTTTTAAGAAATCAGAGTCTTCTTCCTTTTAAATCCCACACATTGAAGATGCTTTTTGTTAGGAAAAAAGAATGGAGCCTGTTCCTCTATTTGCTTATGTGCTTCAATACCTTGGAAAAAGTAATTATTACATTCATTTTCTTACAGTTTGTCCTCTTAGTTGGCTGGTTGTTGCAAACAAGGAATACAGAACTATTTCAGTCCCTGTTGTTCATTTAATACTAGTTAAGTAATATATAATTAATTCATCTTTATCAGTCCATATTAGTAATATAAATAGATTAAGTGAAGCAGTGAATTTCAAAATTTGTGCAGGGGAAACTAGTTGATAGTTTGTTTCCAGTAAGGCTAGTACCAAAATAATGACTACAACGTTAGTCCAAGCTGGTAGTAAACCCCTGATTTAGCAAGCTGAATCCAAGTTTGCCTTTAGGTCATTTTAATTCCTATATTACTGTGCAAATACAGAATTTCCTATGTAACAGAGAGTGCTGGCAGCATCAAAGCCCTGGAGTAACAGAATGAAGTAGTGATGCGGGTTTGAAATGCAGATACCAATGGAGAAATCTGAATGCCTTACTGATGCTACCACAGCAATGGCCTCAGGATTCCCTTAATGAATCAGGAGCTAGGACAGATGATTTATTAGTTAATAATGTTGAGCCAAATTTGAAGCAAGAAACGATAAAAACACAAAACCAACGATGCATTTTCTACCATGACCATACGCAAGAGCTTCAAGCTTTATGCCCACATTTTGTACCAGCAGTTGCTCCCTCTAAAAGGAAAAAGCTTAGTCACGACTGTCCGTCTCTTTTCAAAGCTTCCAGTCTTCGAAGGAGTGCATTTCCAAAGGCATCCCGGTAGGCAGGGCTGAGCGTATCCAGCAGGGAGTAGACTGTTTCATGGTAGGGAGTGTGTAAGTGATCATCCACTTGGTCAAAAGCATAACCTACTACCTACAAGAGAACAGTGAAGTCACTAGTTAGATTTCCTCTTGGTACAGACAGCAAAAACCAGTTGTTTACATGGGTTATTCTCTAATGACACTTTTTCAATCAACAGTTAAAATACGCATTTTTAAATCAATCTTTAATATTTAAGCAATTTACAACTACAGAAACAACCCCTGCAAAATGCTCTCTTCATAATTTTTTCTCTAAATGTTTTTTTCCACTATGTACTTCTATTTTTTTTCTCTAAATTTTAATGGTTTCATTGACCTGCTCCTGGTCCTAAAACAAATGTAAAACAGAGTAAAAATTTAAAAAGCTACACAAAACAGGGTTTCATTTTCATAATCTAAAACATGCATCAACTTAATTCCACATATATTGAGGAATAAAGGCACTATAATAGATAATATATTATTAGTCCACATTTTTATCACTATTTATTTGGATTATCTTTATAAAGAATTCTGGCAAGTGTCTATAGCTTTGATCCTGCTTTATAACTAGCTGCCTGAAAAGCCACTTCGCATCACTAATACATTATTTATCTAGAGTGAAACAAACACACAACTCAGTAAAATAAAAGGGAATGTTATTCTGGTTTGTTTTTTTGTTCCTTTAAATGCAGCTAAAGCTTTTCTCTCCACAAAGATTATGACATATCATAGTTCACCAGCACAGTATAGGGCAAATTATTTTAGTTTTTGTTGACTACACTTGTGAGTTCCCTCTATAAATGCTGAGTTTTTATGACATCAATTCAAGCCACAGAAGATGCAAGTTGATGTTATCAGCAATAGAAGTGGTGGTGGTGGTGTTTTAATGAAAAGCAGGGGCCAGCACCGGAGGATGGCCCACACCTCCTCAGAGCCAGCTTCCCTGCAGCACCTCCTACGGTGCCTGGCGGCCCCCTGTCCACAGGGCTCTGTTCCAAGACCCGCAGTGGATGCCTGGAACCACGGCCAGTACCAGGCCCTATATATGCTATGTTGTCTCCCACAGAGATACCTGTGGTCAAGTTTAATTTACAAAGTAGGCACAGTAAGAGATTTTCAAAACTAACACTGAAACAGAACAATGACAACAATATCCTGTAGTAAAAAGTTATGTAACTGTGGTCTCTCTCTCTCTCCGACGATGGATCTGGTAACTGAGGTGGCCACTAAGAGACGAATGGGCGGGCAGTGTAGCACGGACATGCGGGACAGAGGGATGACCTCAGTCTTGGGTAGTACGGAGCAAGATGGCGCGAGATTTTCTCACACGACTCAGAAAGGCATGCAATTTAAAACGTATAACTTGTTTATTTCTGTAATTTTCTTTTTTAAAAATTTTTTAAAAAAGATTTTATTTATTTTTTAGAGAGAGGGGAAGGGAGAGAGGAAGAGAGGGAAATATCAATGTGTGGTTGCCTTTCGCACATACTGGGGACCGGGCCTGCCACCCAGGCACGTGCCCTGACTGGGAATCGAACCAGAGACCCTTTGGTTTGCAGGTTGGCGCTCAGTCCACTGAGCCACACCAGCCAGGGCTATTTCTGTCATTTTCCATTGAATATTTTCAGACTGTGGTTGACCACAGGTAACTGCGGATGAGGTGGGGGCCCACTCGCTCCAGTTGTTTGCCCCGCTCTTGTCCCTGCGGCCGGTCTCCTTAGTGGACTGGATCACACCTCCCTCATCGTTTCCTTTCTGATTCCTGACACAGGGTAATTGCTCAATGAATGTCAACTGAATCAGACTGAAAAATTATTTAAGTACCTGCATGGCAGGCTTCATATTAAATGATCTTGATCTTTCTGTATGCTTTACTCATATAATCATCCTCCAATCCTTTTTAGCTTTTAAACTTCACCTCCAGGTTATGGGTAGAGACTCAGGCAGGCTGACTAACTTCCCCAAGCTCACTCTAGTTCACGGGTAAGATTTCCGACCCGATCAGAGCCCTTCCTACCTCACCACAGCCACCTTAGAATTAGTTGATGTGAAATAGAATTAATTTATCCAGGGTCATGTATCTCTATTTTTGACTTGCCTATTTCTACTTAAGATCCATTTCTAAAGACTATAAGCTTTTAATATAAATCAAGGGGTTGAGAAAGGCGTATACAAAAATTCGTTATTTCAGGTACCGCTCCCTTGAGCAGCAATCTGCACGGCCACTGTGAGGGGACTGAAGGTAGTGGAGCTGCTGGCTTCGCAATTTGCTTCAACGCAAGTGATCCTCTGACAAGGAATGTACAGAATACGTGATTCACAGACATCTCAAGGGAACCGAATCTCATGAAATAAAGAAATATACATGTAGCCGTTGAACAGATTATTATATGACATTCTTTCTTGCTCAGGCCTTGCCCTCTACCTTATAACTCTGTGCAAATGTTGGGGTTTACTCTTAACATATAAAGAAACAGAAAAGTCAGAGAACTTTGACAAAAATTGGCTATCAATTAATTAGTAAAGTTAAAACCAAACTATGGATCTTAGCTGGTATGGCTCAGTGGATTGAATGCTGGCCTCTGAACCAAAGGGTCACTGGATCGATTCCCAGGCAGGGCACATGCCTGGGTTGGGGGCCAGGTCCCCAATAGGGGGTGCTCAGGAGGCAACCACACAGTGATGTTCCTCTCCCTCTCCTTCTCCCTCCCTTCCCCTCTTTCTACAAATAAATAAAATCTTTAAAGAAATTAAAACCAAACAAAACCCTCTAAATTTTGGAGTTTCTAATTACTATTCCTTTGTTCAGCAGGTCAAAATTTTTATACTAGCAAGCTTTTTTTAAAATAAAAAGTTGGTTTCAGGGGGTACTTTCTACTATTCTAAACTCAGGATTCTAGTTCAAAGGCTGTAAGGTAGTCATTCAGCCTAGAAAAGCTCACAGGCAATAAAGAGCTACTTGCAATAAAGGGCCAACAGAACACTCCTGGCAAATTTGGGGGAGCAACTGTCCGCTGAGACTTAATTTTGATCTAACAGTGGAGTCAAGTATGTTGTTTCAATAGAAGAGACATTTATAAGAGGTGGAGAAAGATACTCTTAATACAATAACTGTAAAACTCAGCCCATGCAGGGGAAATGTGTAATTTTGGTGGACATATTTAGCTAAAGAAGTAAATTAATTTTGGGGGTGATAATTAAAGTAACACTGTCAATCAAAATTTTTTAAAAAGTTCCATTTGCCCATGTTGACAAAAGACTTTAAGGTTATTAAAAATTCCTAGATAAAAGTTTTCCTTAAAAATATCTTGGAAGCTACTGAGTGTTGAGTTCTTACTTAATATTCTTTTCCACTCCCTGACCCTTCTTTGATAAAGTGGTAAAGATACAATTTCTCTTTTTCATAAAAGAAAAGGCACTTACCTTAAGCCCTGCTTCAGTGAGCTCCAGGCAGTATCTGTTCCTTTCTCGAGTTTCCACATTGATGTAGGCCACATCATCTGCGCAGCGCAGGTTTTTTGAGACAAACATGTTGTTAACAGCAAAGAGAACATCATTTACAACTGCTTCAGCTTCTAGCCTCATGTCTTTCATATCAGTTCCTTCAAAACCATTAATTTCTGCATTTTCTTCAAATCCTGACATACTGCTTAGCTCCATGGGATTACAGTCTGTTTCCATTCTGCAAAAAAGTAGACATAAAACTTCTTTACAGAAAGACATTCCAAGTATTACTGTTTGATTAAAAAGTACCCATGCCTTACAACCGCTACTCAGTAGAAAACACTAACAAGTTAACAACTTTCCTGTAAAATAGTGTTTAAACTCATTTGTAATAGTTTTTCACTGCAATATATCAGACACCTATAGATTTTCAGAAAAAAAATAGTCTCTGTTTTCCATTTTTCCCCAAAAGGTTAATTTCCATATTGATTGAAATGTCCAGAATTGCAAATATTAGTTTTTGGCTATTTCCAACAATGCCTCAGTAAAAATCTTAATACGTACTTTTTCCCTAACGTGTCATTTTTCTAGGATACTTGGAACTGGAATTGCTGAGTCAAAGCACATGCTCATTTTAACTTTCAGTAGATAATGCTGATTCACCCTTCAACAAAAAAAGCTGTATTGATTTAATCTCCACCAAGAAAACCTGAAGGACTGTTCTCTCTCTCTTTTTTAACCACATTCTTTCCAATACTTCTTAATATTTGCCAATTTGAGATGCAAAGAATGATGGCCTCAGCCATTTACCCCCTACCTCAGAGAAACGGAATCAAAATATCTGGGAGATTTTTCTGGGTTTTTTTTCAGAGCTTCTGGGTGATTTTACTGTATAATCACTTTAAATTATCAGCAAAAATATTAAGGAGCTAGAGTTCCTATAGCTGCATGTCATTTACACATTACAAGTCAAAACTATTTGCTAAAGAAAATTAAGAATAAACAGTGTAAATCTATTTTAAAAATTACATAGCAAATGTGCAAATAACATATTCCTCCAGTCCTAATTCAACTGATGATATGTTTTAAAGATCCTTTGTATCAACCCTCCCACAGCACCTTCCAGGATTAGTCACTCCTACCAATGCATGTTAATTATAAATTTATCAATTTTTGCTGGAGCAATTTGTCAAAAAACTGAAATATAATATTGACTTACTATAGAAGATATTGAAAAATATGTTTTCTAAAAATTTCTACTTTACTATAAAATAATCATTATATTCCTTTATACTTGGATTTATTTATAAAAAAGAGGCCCCCCCCTTTTTTTTTACAGAGCCTGTTAGAAGACTTTGAAATGTGACTGTCCACTGTAAATCTCTCAACATCATGAATACCACACGTCTTTATTTGGCTTAAGTAATCAAATACCTCATTCAGTGATGTCTGAAATAATAATCATTATATGAAAAAGATGTTTATATGAGACAGCTTAACAGTATATAAAGTTTTTAAAGCAAGAATCTAGTTCACTGCAATTAGGACCTTAATGATGGAGAAAGATGAAGAATCCAATACTAGGATGCAACGAATCCTCATGGGTTAGGAAGTAGGTCATCCAACTGTTGTTGTAATAATTAGCACCAAGGGGCAAAACAGGGAAAGACATTTCCTTAGACTGAAGATTTTTTCCCTAAAATGTCTTTGAATGACAGAAAAAAAGCAGACATTCAGAACTTCTGATGATACATATAGATTATTGAAGCATTATACAAATTGGTAGCATTTTAAACTCATTATTTTAAGGTATTATTATACTCCTTTTGTTGGTTATAACAGGCTGTTGTTTATCAACAGCCTTTTCCCTTCCTAAGAGCACCTGGATTTTCCAGGGGGAATCACAGAGCCCTCTTCTGCTACCGAGTAAGTTCTCTGCATGAGACTGATGCCAGCCTGTTACAGGGCGCCCTCGGCTAATCAGTGCACGAGATTCTTTCCAGTCATTTGAACCCAGAACGGAGCTGAGTCCCAGCTGCTCCTGGCAGCCTCCCTGACGTAGAGGAACCAGCCCAAGACGGTGCTGACAATGGGGAAAAAAAGCCAAAAGGTTCACTGAGAAATGCAGCCAGAGCCCTGATGGCTGCCTAAAATCTGCACTTCTCAGTTACTGGAGCCAGAAAATTCCCATTACTTTACTGGCAGCCGGAAGCATCTTAACTGATTGTGGGGATTACTAAAAAGGAAAAGCAATGACAGCTCCAACAGCTTTATAGAGGTAAAGAGGTTGGGGGGAAAAAAGGAACCCTGATATTTTTGTGCCTGTCATATAGAAAGTACTTGTAAAAGCTTTGTAGAATTTGAATATCATTATGTCTGCATTAGTTTCTCATTGCTGCTGTCACAAGTCACCACAAACTTAGTGGGCTTAGGACAACACAAATTTATAATTCTGGAGGTGAGGAATCTAAAGTTTGCTTTGCAATATAAGGTAACATGTTCAAAGTTTTTGGGGATTAGGACATGGGTAACTTCTGGGGGGGCAGGAAATGTTCTTCTGTCTACCACAGTGTCCATAGCCTGTCATTTAAATAAGAATGTGAAGGTAGTTGAAGAGACTTCATTTTCTGTCCTTTCTTTTTGGAACTGTCATAATTTACTTTTCAAATTTTTTTTAAAATTATTTATTTATTTTTAGAGAGAGGAAGGGAGGGAGAGAGGGAGAGAAATATCAATGTGTGGTTGCCTCTTGCACGCCCCCTATGGGGAACCTGGCCTGCAACCCAGGCGTGTGCCCTCACTGGGAATTGAACTAGGGACCCTTTGGTTTGCAGGCTGGCACTCAATCCACTGAGCCACACCAGTGAAGGTCATAGTTTATTTTTAATTAACATTTTGGATGGGCAATATAAACAAGCAGTGCAGATGGTTCCATCAAAAGGGGGCCCAGCGTACTTGTCAAGTTCACTGCCGTCTTTGGAGAGGCTCCTTAACTACAGGCCTCACGCTTTGCACTCTGTAACGCCAGCCCCATCATCACAGCACAGCATACTGGGGATGGGTGTTTCAATTAACTAACCATCTCAAAGCTGGCAAGGGGCTTATGAATTGTCTTGAATCAAGAGCTCTGTTCAACCACTTGATGCTGGGTGGTAACTAGCCTATCCAATCAAATTTTTTTGCGAGGAGTTCGAACACAGAGCCAAAAACCATGAGGTCAGTTGGTGATAACAGGAGTTACAGAGTCCAAGCAGAGAGTAACTGGGTGGCCTTATCAACAAGGCACTAGCAAAGTGGCATTGGCTTTTTTGATTATGCATCCCATTAACTAAAATTTTTTGAGCAGATGCCTCATTATGTATACATTTATTTGTATAGATATTCAACCACAACTAAAATATTAAAACATAAATTTAAACAAAAGGTAAAACAGGAAATGTGAACTTATTTTCTCCTTGCTTCTCAGTGGATTATCTTGTGTACCTACCTATGGAAGGCCTGCATATTGAGGACGAGGAAATACATGCCCATTTTGGTGAAGGGACACCTACTACAATTACTTAAAAAAAAAAAAAAAAAAAAAAAGGAACGCTTCATGAATTTGCGTGGCACCCTTGGTTGGGGGCCTGCTAATCTCTGTCTTCTCATTTTAGTACATGAGCTGCTGAAGTGAGCGCTACAATTCCCGCTGACCCCTGCGGTCAGGTTAACAAACTGGCGACTCATCAATGTGCAGCCTGTGAAAATCCTTGATTTTCCTTTCTGTACAGAAAGCAACTTACCGTCATATAAGAAATTCTATTATATAAGGTAACATGTTCAAAGCTTTTCTGTGATCTTTCTGTGATGACAGAAATGTTTTTTATCTGTGCTGTCCAATATAGTCGCTACCAGCCATGTATGGATATTAATCACTTGAAGTTTGGCCAGAGTGACCGAGGAACTAAATTTCAAATTTAATTTTCATTCCTGTAAGTTTAAATAGGCAGGTGGCTATTGTCAGTGCAGGTCTAGACCTCTGTGAATGTTTGTGGATAATACAATAATGTACTGAGTTTATATCATGGTTGAAATTTAAAGGTAATGAATTAAACTCACCATATAAATGAGTAGCAAGATTTACAGATACATGTTAGAAAATCTATTTTGAAGTTTAGCTAATCTATTAAGGGAAATTAACCATCATTGTTTCAAATGGTAAAAACTAATGAATTACTTCTTATATTTTGTAGTCTTGTCAATTAAGACTCTTAAGTTTGTTAGTCAAACATCATAATCCACTGTGTAACTATGTACCCAGCATTTTTCTAAGCACTGGAATACTAATTAAAGTTGTCTACTGGTAGCTTTCAGCCTAACTGGGCATATAGGATGGGTACATTAAATATGTACACAAATATTAATGCCATGCACACACATTATAATTATAACCTGAAAAATGTACTTAATTGTGAGTGGCAGATAATTAGAGGAAACAGTATGTCTTGGCTCTGCTAAAAACTTACCACTAAGCTTGTATGGACTTAGGCTGGTCATGTAACTTCATTGGACTCATGGTTTTTTCATCTATAAAATAAGGGGAATGTATAGAAAATTTTTTATGGTTCTTGAGACCTCTGATATCCCATGATTTAGGACAAAAGCACTGATTATAATAGGGCTTGACTCATGAAACATGTCAAATCAAATTGATTTTGAAGGAACACAACAAAAAGTTATAGTTAAGCTGAAAGGACTCGAAAATTTTGAAGAATTCTTCACAGGGAACAATGCATAAGCAAGAGTCTGTACAGGACTCCCTACAATTCCTGAAGTAGGGATTGTAAGGAGGAGACTAGGCTAGCTAGTCTACTACAGGAGAATGTTAAGGGAACAACAGGGCTGACCTAATTTGACAGGGTGCTGATACCTAGATTGGGGAATTTAATTTTGATACAATAGGCTGTTTTAAGCTCCTTAGAATGGAAATAAAAATCATTTTAAATTTAAAGTAGGTTTCTTGTAAGCAGTTTGGTACTGTTTTTTAAATCCAATCTGGCAATCTGTCACTTAATTGGGGTGTTTAGACCATTTGTATTTAATATGATTATTGTGCTTATTGATATGATTATTATAATTGATTAATGATTACTATCTATGATGCTGTTTATTTTCTCTTTGTCCCATCTGTACTTTATTCCCTTTTCCTTATTTATTTATTTTTGCCTACTTTTAGACTAACCACTTTTTAGGATTCTAGTTTACATCCTTTGGTGGCTTATTAACTACAATTCTGTGTGTTTATCGTGGTTGTTTTAGAGTTTATAGTATACAGCTTTAATTTATCACAATGTACTTCAGGTGATATTATACTGCTTCACATATACAGTAAGAACCTTACAAGAGTATACTATAATCTCTGTGCTATTTTTGTCATACATTTTATTTCATATGTTAGAAACTTCATAATATATGCTATTTTTGCTTTAAACAGTCAATTATTTTTAAAGAGAGTTAGGTAATAAAAAAGCATTTTACTTTTAACTGTATAATTACTCTTTCTGGTGCCCTTCATTCCTTTGTGTTGATCCACATCTGTATCTATGCTCTGCATCATTTTTCTTCTGCCTGACAGGTTCCCCTCAACATTTCCTGCAGTATAAGTCTGCTGTTGTTAAATTCTTCCAGCTTTTGTATACCTGAACAAGTCTTCCTTTCACCTTCCCTTTTGAAAGGCTTTTTTTTTGGCTGGGTATAGGATCCTCGGTTGACAAGTCCCCCCCCCCCCCCTTCAAGATTGTATAATAAAGATATTTCTTATTAGCATCTTCTTTGCATAGTTTCCTATGAGAAATTTGATGCCATTGTAACTTTGTTCCTCTTGGTATAATTTTCTTCATGTTTCTTTTGTTTTGGGGTTCACTGAGTCACTTGCCTGTGGGTTTATGGTTTTCAGTAAATTTCAAAAAATTTTGGCCATGATTTCTTCAAACACTTATCTGTCCCTTCTCTCTTTGAAGACTTCAATTTCACCAATATCAGTCCAAGTGAAGTTGTCCTATTCCTTACTTTGTTCCTATTTTTCAGTTTCTTTTCTCTTTGTGTTTCACTTTCAATAGTTTCTATTACTGTGTCTTCAGGTTCACTAATTGTTTCTTCTGTAACATGTAATTTCTTTTACTTGAGTCTCAAAAAAAACCCACAAACATTTTCCTTGTCTTAAGTAATTTGCCCAATCGTTTCTCTAGCTTTTCTAACACATGAATAGCTACAATGTGTTTTAATGTCCTTGTATACTAATTTCATTGTTACTTCTAGGTTAGTTTCAATTGATACATTTCCCCCCCCTCACTATGAGTTGTATACTGCTGCTGTGCATGCCTGGTAATTTTTTATTGGATTCCAGACATTGTAAATTTTACCTTGTATAGTGCTAGATATTTTTATATTCTTATAAACATTACCGACTATTGTCCTGGAATGTAGTCATCTGAAAACAGCTTGATCTCTTAAGTCTTGCTTTTAGGCTTTTTAAGGTGGTATCAGAGCTACACTTAGGGTCTGGTTAATTTCGCCCCACTACAGAGACAAACCCTTTCTAAGTCCTCTCCCCAACCTTGTATGAATTATGAGGTCTTCCATTCTGGGTGACAGACACAGGAACTGTCCTTGTTCTTTTCTAATTTCCAAAAAGCCCTTTCTGTCCCCAGCCCAGGACAGCCGGCTCCTTCACAGCTCTGTGTTGATCCCTGCGGAGTTGCAGGCCGCAGGGTGACCTTCTGTACGTCTCCACAGCTCCCACTCTCCAGCTCTCCACTTTCCAGTGCTCCGTCCCAGCCGCCTATGGACTCCTAGTCCCACAGCCTCAAGTCAAGGAGGCTGCCAGGCTCTACCTGGGTTTCTCCTCTCCATACCATTCCTAGGAATTCTCTACAGGAAATAAACTGGGACAAGAGAGCCACCTCGTTGGTATCTTGCCTCTCAGGGATCACTGTCCTTCACTGAATGACGCAAAGTCTTAAGAACAATTGTTTCATATTTTTGCTCAATCTTTCTAAAAATTGCAGGTGAAAGAGTAAATCTGGTTTCTGCGAGTCCATCTTAGCTGGAAGTGGAAATCCCACTAGCAAGTTTTAAGCTAACTTTGCCATGTTATTACATCAGTTCTTTCACTGATTTTGTCTCTCCTGTACTACTTTACATCAACTTTAATATCTTGTTGGTTCCTCCACTGGTGAGTTAAATACACTTTGACTTGCGATTACTCTATGTCTGTCTGTGGCCCACTTTCCCTCCACTCCCTCCCGATACTCCTAGAATCTGTCAAGAATGCTCCGGTCATAGGACCTTGCACTTGCCGTTGCCCCTGCCTGGAAAACCACTCTTCCAGGTACTCATCGGCCTTGCTACCTAGCTTTCTCCGGGTCTCCGCTAAAATGTCACCTTATTAAATGAGAGAGGCCTTCCCTTACCCCTCCACGGAAAAGTGACAAATCTCCATTCCCTTTATTTTGCTTCTCCCCCTCTCCCCCCATGTCACGGTATCACCACAGGGCATACAATTTATTTATTGTTTGTTTACCCTGCCTTCAATAAAATGTAAACTCCGGGACCCTCACTGGCTCAGTGCTGTATCCCCAGCACCCAGAACAGTTCCTGGCTCATGCAGGAAGGAGACCAGGAAATCTTTACTGAGTAAAGGACTAGATCGTTCAGTGTAGGACATATGCTCCCTGGAGGTTCTGCCAGATTCTTCTTTACCCTTTTCGCCTCAGCAGTTGCGAAGACTTTCATTTAACAGGCCTTTAGCAAGTACCGTTGAATGTACGAAGAAGAGCAAAGGAGTCGACGCTACTGAGAATGCCTGGGACAAATCCGCAAAGAAGGAGGGGCACCAACAACCCAAGCCACTCCACACTCTGGAGAGCACACTGGTTCTAAAATGAAAAGGTGGTGGTGGAAGCGAACCAGGGCTTTCTCGACCTGACAATTATTTTGGGGCTGTCGGTATATATTTCTAAGGCATTCGTGAGTTACCAACAATGAAATCTTAAACAGGTCGTCTAATTGCCTATGCTCCATGAAGCCACATGAATTAGGACGCTGTTGAGGTTCGTTCCTCACTCCTGTCATTTAATTTTGCAAACAGTCCTCGGTGGTTCGGTATTAAGGCGCTCACGGCTGGCAAAGGCTCCCACGGCAGCGCCCGGTTCAGCGAGGCTCGGCTAGGTGGCAGCGTCAGGACTGCAACCCAGACACACCTGGCTGCCAGGCCAGGGAACCCCCCGCAGGCCCTTCGGGGTTGTCTAAGTTAACAGCCAGCGCGGCCTCTGCAGGAGCCGCCTCCTCCAAGGCGGCAATTCCAGGGCGCAGATGCCATCGCCCACCTTTCCGCGGGGTCGGGAGGCCCGGGCATGGACCAGAGAAAGCAGTTCTGTCCACAAATGCCTCGAAAACTCAAGTTTCCCGGTCACTGGCGCAGTATACCCGGAACGCAGAAAGCGCTCCGTAAGCTGCCAGCTGTCACACAGTCACCAAGAGGAAGCTTTGGAAACAATACCTGCACGAGCCCGGCGACGAATAACTTGCGGACAACCGGCAACATCGGTCAGTACTCGGGGGCGGCTGGGATGCGCGACAGCGGCTGCAGCCCTCCCCGCGGAGCCCACGGCGCCCCGAACGCCCGTTTCCCGCGTCGGGGTGGGAGGGGAGCGGGACCGCCCGGGCCGGCCCCGCCTCCGGAACCCTCTCGCCCCTGCGGCCACCGCCCCTCGCGGCCCGGCCCGCTGCGCCGCGTCCCGCTCGGAGGGCCCCCGGCCCGCCCTCCTCGTAGCCAGCCTGGCTGCAGCTCACCTGAGCGTGCCCGGGGGCCTCCCGGTCTCCCGTCCCGGTCGTCCTGCCGGGGCGTCTGGAGCCGACCTGCGGCGCCGCCCCCTCGCCTCCCCTCCCTCGCCTCTTCTGAGCCGGAACCGCTCGCTTCCGGGCCCTTCTTCCCGCCCCCGGCGGCCCCAGTGTGGCGTCACTTCCGCCAGCGCCCGGTTGCGCGCCGGGAGTTCGGGTCTCGCGAACGCGCTTGGGAGCGTCGCCAGAGTCGGGAGCGCGCCCTCGGATGACAACAAATTCGTCGCGCGGCGGCGGTGGAGGTGTCCGCCTGAGCCCCTGCCTCGGGCCCTGCTGCCTCCCCTCGCACTGTCTTGCGCCCCATCTCTGTGCGGACTACGATCTCCCCGGAACCTCCCAGGCCTGGGGCGACAGGGACTCCTCCGCCCCTTGTCTGCGGCAGGCCTCGAGCGAGCGGCGCGACCCAGGAGATGGGGTCGCCCTGAGGGACGGCTGGTGCCAGGCGGGCATGGAGGGGCCGCCCCGGGCTTAGGCCCCGCCACGGCCTGGGGACGCCGGCCGGGACCCGAGGCCGGAGCCGCCACCGCGCGCAGCCAGCGCCGGCCCAGCGCCGGCCCACCTGCCAGCCCTCACCATGCCTTGGCCGTTTTCTGAGTCCATCAAGAAGAGGGCCTGTCGTTACCTCCTGCAGAGGTACCTGGGCCACTTCCTGCAGGAGAAGCTGAGCCTGGAGCAGCTCAGCCTGGACCTGTACCAGGGCACCGGGTCCCTCTCCCAGGTCCCCTTGGACAAATGGGTAAGAGCTGCCGGCGGCCGGCCGGGCGGGACCCGCTCCCCTCTTTGGGGCGAGGCGCAGGAGTGTCGTCCAAAATTGGTGGCATTCAGTCCCTCCCCGGGAAGTGTGGCAGGGCTCAGATACACGTGCTCAACTGTTGTTTGATCTGTTTCTAGCAAGTTTGCGCCCCCGAATCACATGTTCCAGAAACTTAACAGAGGTGTCGGCGTGTACGCTGTGGGAATCTGTTGAGTCAGTGGCTTGGGGGGCTGTGACGGGGTCCAGGAGGGAGGTGACCGTTGCTGCCCCTTCGCGGGAAAGGGGTCGCGGGTTTCCGTGGCAAATCAACCCCATTTCATGGGATGACACTCCGGAAGGATTCAGGATGAGGAGGACCTTGGGGACGTCGGCAGTCCTAGTTATTCGCTTGTTTATTTTGGGCTGGCTCCTTGCACACCGCGGCCTCCCGGAGCGTTTGCCGTCTGGGAGAAAGCTCGGGGAAGGCCACCTCTGCCGGTTCGCCTGCTTTTGCTCGATGACATTTACAGGGCCAGCCTGTGAATGATAGCGTGGCCCTGGTGGTGCTGTTTGCTTCACGTGACAGCGTAAACGCAGGTGTTGCAAAAGCGCTGAAGCTGCAGTTTTCAGACATTTAAAATGTTGTTTTCTACTTGTCATCCGGAGGCCGTGACTTGACTCATTGTGTCCTACAGGTGCTTCGTGTCTGTGTGTTTGAGCTCACCACATGCAGCAGAGCCTGCAATTGCACCTTCGCTGCATAGTGTTTTCCTTAACGCGTGCTCGGCCTGGGGTTTGACAAAAATGAAGTGGCTCTTCCGCTTCCCCCCAAGCTGTTATTGAGTGCACTCCAGGTCGCTGCCTTCAGTTTGAATTGGTTGTACCATTGTAGAGTTTTACTATTCTAAAAGCATTCCTATGCAGTTGGAATTTAGGAAACCATAAATACAGGTGACTTTCCTGTGATAATTGTGCAAAACAAAAGGAAACTTTTTTTCTCCCCGTATAAGCTGCGTAAAAAAAGCTGTGCTTTTTTCTTTTATGTAAAAGTATTTTAACAAAGTAATGACTTCCTTAGCCATAGAAACCTGAAAAGCTCCAATTATGCTAATACTGTATTATGACCCTTACATTGATTTGATAAATTGATTTGAATTGATTGAACTGATTCACTAGCATGAATATCTGTGAGCAGATGGTTTAAACTAGGGAGGGTACGTAGGGTAGCGGGGGAAAGAGCCCCGGTCTGAGCAGCAGAAGACCCAGTCCCACACCAGGCCAGCCCAGGCTGCCACAGTTAAGCCTGCTGTCATAGGAAACAGTAATTCCCCCCGAGTTCAGGAAACGCCAGTGGAGCACCCAGTCCGTGGGAGGCACCTTGGTAGCGGACTATGCTGCTGTAATTCTTACCCGCAGATGGGCGTTGCGGTGGACGTGTGCAAAATCATGGACGCGTGAGTCTATACTTTTGGTACAGCTGTGAATAGGCTGTCTGGAAGGAGGAGGGTTGGACATTTATTAACTTTTTTTGTGGGTCAAATGACTTTGTACACACTATTCTTTTAAAAAACACTTTTTTTATCGTTCAGTTATAGTCGTCCCCGTTTCCCCCCCATTGCTCTCCCCTGCCCTGCCCACCCCCGGATGCATTATTCTTTAATGACTTTTCACATTAACCTTAATAAGGTGGGAATTTATTATTTCCGTTTTACAGATGGCTTTTAATAATTTTCTCCAAGTGACACAGCCAATGAGTGGCACAGAGCTCAAGCCTGTCTAATTCTCTAAGGCCATTATTATTAACATTTTTATTAATCCTATGGCCTAAAGGCAAGGAAAGGACAGTAAATATTTATCAAGCATCTATTTATTTAAGGCATTGTGCATGGCGCTCTCAATTCGTGTGGTTTTATTTAACCCTCATGGGAAATCAGAGGTGGTAATATTTGAATATTACAGTTTGACTTCAAGACCCTTGGCAGAGTGACTTATGGCTAGACTAACTCTGAAGATCATTTTGTTCCGTTCCTTGACGGTGAGGGATATAACCAACTGAAATGATAATGTCAAATAAAGCATCCAATAAACACTTGCTGTTGCTGTTTATTTGTTTATTACAGCGTTTTCTGTTGATGACCAAGATAAATCTTGATGTGACACTTAGATGTAGCTCTACACACTTCTGATTCCCAATTCAGTTGCTTTTGACACTTGATTTGAATGACTTCCATTCCTGAAGAAAAGGCAGCTCACAGGCACACAGGTCTGGACGGAAGAACCGCACCAGTGGCGGCATCTCTAGGGCTCCAGTTCCCAGCTGCACTCACGCACAGGGCCGTGCTGAGGCTGGCAGCGACATCCTCCTCTTCCTTGATCTCGGTCACTTTGCTAAGTAATTGGGAGCTGTTGCATATTTATATAAATATACTAAAAAATTAATGTCAAAACCCATTTTTAAAACCTCCGTTCCGCAGACTTTTGGATTCATTGGGATAATTTTCCATGCTTTCAGCCTTTTATAACCTGTGTAGATTATGACTTTTTTTAAAAAGTTTTTTTATTAGACATTATTTCGGCAACAAAATCATGTAACAGTGGAAACATTTCCAAATATAAATTTTCAAAACATTCTCCCCTTAGTACAAGGAGTCCTTAAAAAGCTGTTACTTTCTTACTCTTCACTAAAGTGTTATTGCTACTTTTAAAAGATAAAGTATGTTTTGTTTTTTTTTTTGGAATAAACCTGCCGGGTAGCATATACTATTGACAGCCATCTGTCATCAAGTAAAATAGTCAACATATTTAGAATTCTGTTTGTGCAGAAGAAAATTGCTTTTCATCTTTAAATCTGACTCAACTATTTAGCCATAAGAAAAGCCAGGAAATCAGAAAGTTACTGTCACTTTCTTTTTACAGAGATTCTACTGCTTAAAGGTCCGCTTTTATTGTGCAGAACGATGCTCAAGGAAGTTGCGGTGTGCGGAAAGGGGGTGTCCGGCCCAGCGCCCCGCACTTCACTCTGTCCCGCCGGGAGCCGCCAGGCTCCCCTTGGGACCGGCCAGCCACGCGGCCGGAGGGAGGGCGCCAATGCCCTGTGCATAGTGCATTTTTAGTACAGCTTTTAAATCTAAAAATGCGGAACATGTAATCGAGAATGTCTCATTTTCTCCTCACATCCCTGCTGGATCGTTTGTTATACTCTCCGGGATAGACGCGTTCTGGAGACTACCGACTTAAAAGGGCTTGCGGTGGGAGGGAGGAACAGAGGCAAGGAGCTTCGCACTACCCTTCAGGGGGAGTGGGCTGTCTCTTAAGGCCGTGAGTGCTCTTGCCGTTGAAGCAGTCAGACATGCTGCAGTGTCGGAGTGGAGGGGGAGCTGGAGGTAAAGGTTCGGAGTCCTCAGAGTGGCATAAAGGGCGTGGGCAGTTGTAGGTGAAACTGAGACACAAAAAAGGCTGAAGATGAAACTTAGATGAATACTGTCATTTTAAAGTGGTAAAGAACTGGAAAAAGACTGAGCCTGAAGAGTCTTACGGAAACCAAGGAAAGTTCGAATTTCAAAATAAGAGTTAATTTGAGATGAGAATTCAAGGAAGGCGAGGACTGAACGCTGTTCATTGTATGTGTCGGCCTGTTGGCAGTAAGCAGTTTCAGAGGGGCTGAGGGTTAGAAGGCAGATGGTACTGGCTTGGCCAAAAAGTCTGTCGTGTTTTCCGTAAGATGGCCCTAGCAGTGCTTAGTTGTCTTTAACTTCGTTTGAAACAATTTTGTTAGCTTGTATTGCGACAGCTGTCATATCAGCGTGCATTTAAAAACACTTAACAAAATTGGTGGATAATTGTGCAGCCATTTTAATATTGGAGGCGGAAGAAAATATGCAGCATTTTCAGCATATTATGCAACTGAAATGCAAAAAAAGATTTGTGCAGTGTATGGAGAAGGTGCTGTGACTGATCAAAAGTGGTTTGCGAAGTTTCTTGGTACTATTGATACTTTAGCCAAATAATTCTTTGCTGTGGGGCTCTCTTATGCATTGGAAGGTGTTTAGCAGTAGCCCTGGCTTCTGCCCTCTAAAAGCCAGTAGCGGGAGATAGCTGATAAACTCAAAATATCCAAAGCAATAACGTTATCGGTGAAAACGAATAATGCATCTTTTATTTTACAGAAAAAACCATACGGACTTTTTGGCCAACCCACTAGTTGGTGGTTTGAGCAAATAGCTGCCTTGACTAAAGAATAAGAAATGAGGTTGATGACTAGAGAGGCCATGGTGTCGAGGTAGAGGGTTTTAGTTTGCTTTTGAAGATAATAGTGACCATTAATTAAGCACCTTATATCTCTCTATGCTGGTCAGGGTGCTTTTAGACACATTTTCTTGCCCTCAGTTGGGTGCTACCACTTCCGTTTTACCACACGGTTGAATAACTTGGGCTTAGTGTTAGCAGTGCAGCAAGATTTCAAACCTAAGCCTTGCTGACTCCTATGGTCTTTCTGTACCCACAGTGCCTCACGAAGATTCAAGAAACCTCGGTTTCTCAAACATTAGCTGCATGGGGTTCCCCTGAGCAGTTTGCTCACAGCAGACTTCTGGCTCCTTCCCTATAGACTCTGGCTCTAAAGACCCAAGAATCTACATTTTTAAGAAGCCTCCTAAGAAATTCTGATGGTACCTGCGGTCCGTGATTGCATTTTCAAAAGCACCAGTACTAAAGGGATTGAGCATTTTTTCATTTAGTTTTAAAAGCTTGTTCTAGAAGTCAGCTCCCAGGCCCAAGAACTACATTTTTGAAGATTATGAGTTTAGCACATGATTTTACTTAGTCTCCTGCAAAATCTTCCATTGTGAAAATATGTTTCTCTTTTGTAATTTTGTTTCTGCAGTGACTAATTGAAGACCTTTTTTAAGTTACCTAATTTTTCTGATCCTCAGTTTGCCATACATGTAAAAGGGGTGCAAAAATACCTAATTCAAGGGCTAGTTTGAAGAGTTAATGTAATAATGTAGGTATAAAATAGTATAGTGTGGCGTCCTGTATGTAGCAAGTGCTAATTATATGGTACTCGGCCTAAGTCAGTTCTTGCTCAATTTTATCTCTATTTAAATTCTGATGCCTTAGTTTAAACTAATAAGGATATATTCTTAGTTCTGTGGTACTTATTCAAGAGAAACATAAGACGTAATATTGGCCTTCCTTCCCACTGTCAAGCACACCTCGATACCCTAATAGCGCTCATCATTGTGCTGGGCAGGCGCTGTGGGAGACAAAGGACAATGGTCAGCGTTTGCCAGGTGTTTACTCAGGATCAGGAACTTGCTTGGTAGCTTGACTTGTTCACAACCACCTTATGAAACAGGTACTTTCCTTATATTGAGTTGAGGAAACTGAGACTCAGATGTTAAAGAACTTGTTCAGAGCTGCCTCGCTAGTAAGACACTGAGCTAGGACCTGAATACATGCTGTGTTTTAAGGCAATGTTCTTTAAACATGTTTGCCCGATTTTCTCTTAAAATTTTTTGAAAAATGACTGTATTCCTTGTACATTGAAAAACCACCTTAAATTTTTTTCATTGTAAGTGTAAATAGATATAGAGAATAACTTTTGTTGTATTGTAAATATGGATGTAAAAATACAGGGTTTTTTTTTTGCCCAGTAGGATCAAATTCCCACCTTTATATATTTGAAAATTTTGAACATGCTCTTCACTTATAGTTGGAAACTTAACACTGTATCTTTTTCCCATTGAATTCATTTATCCATCCTATTTCTTCAAAATTTTATCATTATTTTATACCTAAGCCTTTTATGGATCATGCTATCACTTTTGACAATATATAACTAAATTGAAATTGATTATATTTAAAATTTTTCTTTTACCATTAAGCTTTCCTTTGTTTTAAGTAAATATTTTATAGCACAACATTTTAATTCCTTTAATGATTTCTTCACTGTTTGTTTGTTTGTTTTTTAGTGGTTTCCTTAGAGGTTGTTCTAGGGCTTATCATATTGATCTAAACCGATCAGTATCTCCTTCAGATAATCATTAAGCTTTGTGTTAACATTCTTCCTCTGGATTGTGTTATTATATTATAAGTGTGCAGTTGATCAAAACAATAAAAATACTTTATGCATTTGAATAGTTAAACATAGAAACTTCTATTGGAATGCATTTCTTTCTTTTAAAAAAATAATTATTTAAATAAAGATTTTATTTATTTCTAGAGAGAGTGAAAGAGAGGGAGAAAGGGAGAGAAACACCAATGTGTGGTCGCCTCTCATGCACCGCCCCCCTGGGGTTCTGGCCTGCAACCAAGGCATGTGCCGTACTGGGAATTGAACCAGCAGCCCTTTGATTTGCAAACTGGAGCTCAATCCACCAAACCACACCAGTCAGGGCTGAAATGCATTTGTTAATGATACGAATAGGTTGTTTCCTCCTCTTTCCTGATTAGCTCATGCTTATAGGCAAATATACTTACAACTAGACTTTAATAGGGCTCAGCATAAAGCTTATTCTAAATTTTAAAAATAGTTACAAGCTTGAGATACGCTGATGTCATAAGTAGATGAGAATTGAAGGGATTTTGCAGTAGCAATATCACTTAGTTCTTTGAATTTCTTTAAATGCTATATTAAAAATATGTATAATAAGATAGGGAAAGAACAGAAAACTTATTGCTGGAGATTTTTATACCCTAGGTAGTGTGTATGGGAGGATTCAGGAGGGTTAAAAGACAGGTCCTTTTTTTTTGGCTAAGTGGGAGAAGGGAGATTATACAAAAGGATATGGGAATATGAGAAAGGAGACCCAAGATGACGCCACTATTTTAAGTCCATTTAGGGGAAGAATGTATTTAGAGATTGAGGATATGAGTGTTTGTGCCACACCCATGTACTTTTTAGAAAGTCCGTAGGGTTACAAGAACACCATCATGAAGAAATCCTTCAGGTAGTGACCTCTGGTAAAACATGAGCCTGTCTCAGTCTCTCACTCAGTGCTTGGCATTAGGCTTGTAGACAAAGAGTTACGACTCTGCCTTTATGCAATATGGCGTCCCGGACGGAAGCACCCTACCTATGAACTGGCATTTAATTACTCTTGTTATATTAATTTAAAAAGTACAGTATCTGCCGAAAATGCACTTAATTATTCTGCCAACTGCATTTACGTGCATTCTGTCTTCTGCGATAGTCTGGTTTGCCTCGCCCTCCCCTGAAATTTCCCTCAGCGGCATCACCAGCACCCTGAATATCACTGGATCCAGTGGACATGAAAAATCTGTGACTCCTTGTTAGCTGTCGCCGCATTCGGCCATTCTCTTCCTTCGTATTGTCTTTCCATGATTTTCTGGGACGTAATGCTTACTTAATTTTCCTTCTTTCTGTTTTTTCGCAGGTTTCCCTTTCTTAATCCATTTCTTAAATACTGGCGTTTATCAGGGTTCTTTCCCAGGCCCCTTGTTGTTTTACTCTCCGCAAGTGGCCAGGGGTTGTCTCTCCTCACCCCCGGGCTTCCTTTACCCTCTGTGTTCATAATGCCCTTGTTTACCTCCAGCCCCCTGACTCTCCTGAGCTCTAGACCGGAATTTCCAGCTGCTTCCTAGATGGCGCCATCTAGATGTCTGCTCAGATGTGCTCTTTGGGGCCGAGCACCCCATCTTCCCCCTGACCAGCTTTTCCAGGTTCCCCGGCTCTGTGAATGGGGCGACTGCCTGGGCAGCTGCGCAAGGCAGCCTCTGGGAGACCCTTTTCATTCCTTCTTCTCTTTACCGCTCACGATGCCAGTTAACTTTGCTTGCTAAAATGTTACAAAAGCCATCCGCTTCTGTTTGCCGAACCCACTTCTCTAGCTTCTCTCACTGTAACGACCGTCTGCCTGAGATTTGCTTTCCTCCAGTACCCGCCCTACCTGGCTGCAGGAGGCGCCGCTCTGAGTTCAGGCCCCACTGTGGGGCCGTGGCTTAAAGCCATTCAGTGGCTCCCCCTGGCCCTTGAGATGAATTTCAGACTCGTTAGCATGAGTTACAAGGCTCTTTGGATTCCACTGGCCCTTACCTGTGCAGCCTTATGTCTGGCTCATCACTCTGGCCTGGCACTCAAGCTAAAGCAGCTTCTCTCTTCAGATACTCTTATATCTTAGATATGTGTGCTTGTGCTCTCTGACCTCTGCCTTTTTGTTTGTTTGTTTGTTTGTTTGACTCCTTCCCTGTGCCTTGGTATCTGCCTGGGCGTTTGCCTGGTTAGCTCCTCAGCCTTCCGGCCTCAGCTCTAAATGGCACTTCCTCGGCAGGCCTGCCCTGGGTCTCCAGGTTAGGTTCTTTCCATGCTCCACGAGCACAGGGCTGTCTCGCACAAAGGTAAGCTGCCTGTGGAAGCTTAGTGAGGAATCCTCCAACGAGGTCTCTGCTTCCTTTATCCCCTGCCCCGACACACATCGGAGCATGCTCAGCACCTTTGAATAAGTTAACCGTCTGAAGTTCTCGTGATTCCAAGTTGCATCTGGTTTTTCCCTTTAGTGTCTCAATGAGATCCTGGAGTCAGCCGATGCGCCTTTAGAAGTCACGGAAGGATTCATACAGTCGATTTCCCTGTCAGTTCCATGGGGCTCCTTGCTGCAGGATAACTGCGCACTGGAAGTGAAAGGGCTGGAAATGGTCTTCCGACCTAGACCTCGCCTAGGTGGGTGTATCATGTGTTCCTGATTGTTTTATTTTTTTAGATTGGGGAAGTAACCTAATTGCATTAAATTCAGTATTTAATTTATTACTTTGAATTGCATTTGTGAGATAGGTAAACTGTTAGGATTTGGGTCTTTATAGGGTGTGAGATTGTAGCGTTAGTGTTATTTCTCTCCCTATTTACACAGATGGTGGCTTAATGGTTCCCAATGTTCTACTGTATTTTAAAGATTCAAAATATTGTGCCACAAAGCAAGAAAGTGCTCAAATATTGATGGAGAAATGTTCAAAGGACAAAGGACTGGGCTTGAAGGGGCTCCCATTGGCCAAACCTGGGAAAGCTTGAGTATCAAAAAGAATAAAGACAATAGAGGATTATAACACTAAAAAAAAACCAACCCCAAACGCCCTAAGTCCATACTATACAAATAAATACATAAATATTTAAGGGGGACAGGGAGAGGGAAAGCTCTTCATTGTAGTAGAATACCTACTTACAAACATAATAAAAAGATAGAATTCACTGTTTTTTTTGGCCATGACAGTAAATGTTGTTACAGAACAGAATCATCAACAAATGCTAATACCATTTGGTGAAGGGTTGTTGAGGAGCTTAACATCTAGACAGTACCAAATTATCTCCCACTGATTACCTATTATTTACAAGGGAAAAAGTTTCTTTTACAGTGGAGAAAATTGACAGTCACCACCATAAATAACCACATGATCAAACTTAACCTCATCAGTAATGGGTCACACTGACTTGTGTGTCTCGATGTGATCAGCGGAGAAGGACCCACATTAGTTACATACTTACTGTTCCTGCTAAAAGTACTTAATCTGAATCACATCATAAAGCAGCAGTCAGACAAATCCAAAATAAGGGAGATTTTATAAACTAAATGGTTGGTACTGTTAAAAAATGTCAATGTCGTGGAAGATAAGAAGAATGGAGGAACTGGTCTAAGACATGAGTAACTAATTGCAGTATAAAATCGTGTTCTACTTGTTTGTTTGTTTATTGTTGTGAAGCGTGTTGTAGGGGTAGCTGGGGCAATTTGGGTATCGAGGAATGTAAGCGACCATCGTGTCAGCGTTCTGTCTCTGGGGTGTCTTTTGCAGGAGCATGTTCTCGGTCTTAGCAATTACCTGCTGAGGCATTCAGGAGTGAGGGCTGTGATGTCCACAGTTTACCTTCGCGTAGTTCAGCAAAAGCGTGAGAGTGTATGTGTGTGTGCGTGCGTGCGTGTGTGTGCGTGTGTGTGTAATCTTGATGACTGTAGGTGAAGGGTGTGCAGGTGTTCATTGTACAGTTCTTTCATCTCTTTCATAGGATTGGCTAAGTGGGAGAAAACTTTGAGAGGGGAAAGCTTTGAAGTTGTAGTAATTGCTTACAAGTCTATGTGTGTGATAGTTTTAATTACACATATGATATTTTCTCATTTACTGACACATACAAGTATATAGTGCTTCTTGCATGCCAGATACTATTCTTAGTGCTTTACAAATATTATCCTCACTATAACTCTTTGAAATACTTGTTGAATGAATACATGAACTAATATTTGGCAGATATATATCATGTAATCAGAGCACATGTCTCTGGACTTTTTTCTGTGACCTGTTATTTTTATTTTCCCATCTCAGTCATTATAACGTGATGTTTAAATCTCAAGGGTAATTTGTAGAATATTGTATCCCTGGGTAATACTCTGATGCTAAATATCTTGTGGAGGATTAAGAATTTATCGGTTTGAAATGTGTTATTTTAAGAAGTAGCTTTGTAGTAACTATGAAAAATCATGTAGGATTAATCTGTATCTTCTGCAGCAACTGGTTCTGAGCCTATGTATTGGTCAAGTTTCATGACCAGCAGTATGCAGCTGGCAAAAGAATGTCTTAGCCAGAAACTCACAGACGAGCAAGGAGAAGGATCCCAGCCTTTTGAAGGACTTGAAAAGTTCGCTGAAACCATTGAAACAGGTTTGGTATTACCGAGTATTTAAAATAAATTGATATTGTACTTGGTACCTGTATTTATAGTACGCCTTGTATAAGGAAAAGCCATTAGAGTGATTTTTAAATGAACTGTTCTCACTTCAGAACTTTAGAATGGAGGTTCTTTAAGTATTGTATTCAGTTTCATTTCATGTTCTTGGGTCACCTGGGATCTGCTTGGTTTCCTTTATTGAGCTTAGCCCTGGGACCGAGCCCGCAGGAGGGCGGGGCAATGCCCTGGCTGTCTATTGAGGTGTCACGTGGGGAACGCGCCCAGCAAAGCAGAGCGTTTATCCCAGAACTCAGGAGGATGGGATTGTTAAGGAAAGGAATCGGATCCCATTTTATTTTACAAGTTTATATTAAACTAATTCAGTATTCTTTCATTTAAAGTTTTTATGTATGTCTCTGATGTTGATGGTTCCTTGTTTACTCTAGTGCTAAGAAGAGTAAAAGTCACTTTTTTAGACACTGTCTTGAGGATTGAACATGTGCCAGAAAATTCCAAAACTGGAACTGCACTTGAAATTCGAATAGAAAGGTAAGACTTTTTATAGCTGAAAAAAAATGACCCTATACTATTCATTTATGAATAACAAAAGTCTAACTCTGGCATTAGATTTCAGAATTAGATTAGATTTCAGACCCTATGCTATTCATTTATGAATAACAAAAGTCTAACTCTGGCATTAGGAGCAATGATATTAAAATAATCTATTGCATAATTTCAGAGTAAAGTGCTGTCCTCCAAGTTGTGTTCTGAATCCATTAGTGAAAACTTAAAACATCATCTGGGGTAGAATTATATATACTACTATGTTGAATTCAAAGTAAGTAATTCTCTTTTTGGTTACTACCAAATCAAAACAAGGAATATTCAAGCGCCACTGTGCGTAAGGCACTCCTGTTGGGGTTAGCGGACGCTATTTAGGCAGCGTGTCTCCTTAACTGGAGCTGCACATTTGCTGCTTTGGTGAGAGAGGCTGAAACTACTGTTTTCTTCGAGGATTCTATGAGGGCATCGTAAGGTCAACATTTGCAGTCGTGATTTATGTGAGAAATCACTTTTGGTTTTCAGTGTATGCCCAGTCGGAGCACCTGGAAATAGCGTTCAGCCAGGGATTGACCTCCACGTTCCCTCTTGGCTGTTGATTGGAGTTCGTGATTGCTCCCCTGTGTCTGGGTGCCCTGTGAACCGCTGACCGAAACCAGCAGAGTGACGGGCGCACACTGAGCGCCGGAGACTTTGTATAGGGATCTGTGGGGGACCTTTGCGCAATCTTAAGCAGATGTGTTACGGTTTCTGTCTTTTCATTACATGTTCCTATTAGGGGAACAGTTATTATTAACAGATCTTTGAAATTATGTTGCATTACCTGAAATAATATGGTAAAAAAATCTAAAATCTCATGCATGTAGAAACACTTTCCACTGATTAAACTGAAGATCAGTCAAGAATTTATAGCATAGTCATGAGAACTCAAGAAATGTCACTTACATCAGGCTTCTGACTTGGAGACAAATGCCGCCTCGCTGGCATCCAGAGATGTTTGGCGGGGGAGCAGGGGTTGTTTTTCTCGCAGCCAGCTTGAGGAAGTTGTTGGCTTTCCCCCTCAAATTTAGGAGCCGCGTAAAGTTTCCTCTCCTGGGGGTACGGTCTCATGAAATATTTACTGTAGTAAAGTGTGGTAATGCTGGCCCATGTTCTAGGCATATTCAAAGGTGCTGACACTTGAAAAATCCCTTCAACTTAAAAACCTGCGTGCATTTCTTATCATTGCAAGTAGGTTCTCTGAGGAGTTCTATGCAAACGCCCTTTTTCCTGCTAACTTTCAGAACTGTGTACTGTGATGAGACTGCGGACGAGTCTTCAGGAATTAACGTGCATCAGCCCACAGCCTTCGCTCGCAAGTTGCTTCAGCTCTCTGGAGTCTCTCTCTTCTGGGATGAGTTTTCTGCGTCAGCAAAGTCTTCCCCAGTGTGTTCAACTGCACCAGCGGTAGGAAAAACAAAACAGAAAAACCAATACTAAATCACAGATTTTGAAAAGGTTTAAATGAGAGCTATTACATTTTGCTAGGATATATAATGTGTTAATAAGTTTCCATCTGATCTGGAAGTTAACACAAATATTTAGTGATGGGGACATATTTCAGAGAATTTAAAACATTCACATTTATAATTAATGTCTTTCCTTTTTGCTGTGTATTAATTTGATAGAGGAACATTACCTTTTGTGTGTTGGAGAGAAATGGTATATTAACATCTAATGTCCTTATACAATAAACACAGGAAATCAAGCAGGATTCACATTTACCTAACATAGTGATTGTATAGCTGAACATTTATCTTACAAACTGTATCTTTTAAAAAGTATATAATTAGGGAGTCCTTTATTAATTCCTTCTTTGAGTAGAGAATCCTTTTATGTATCAAAATCAGTTATTCTATAATCTATCATTTTATGTTATTTCAAAAATCAGATTCTCTTAATTATAGAACATCTATTAAGTTTTCTTATTACTGTAATTTGAACAGATGTTGCACTCTTTTTCATAAAGTCCTTTCCCATTATTTGTCTCCATTACCAAGGTACTGTGCTAACATACAACTGTGTTTCATACTAGCTATAAGACACCAGTTTATCTGTTGCAACATAGTACAGTGTCACATGTCAAATATTTTATTCTTCTTAAGTTGACATTTGTATTTTGCTTTTTGATTTATTTACAGTAACGTACTTCATTCTTATTGCATTATTGTAGGAAACTGAGCCAAAGCTGTCACCCAGCTGGAATCCTAAAATTATTTATGAGCCACACCCACAGCTAACCAGAAGTTTACCAGAGGTAGCGCCCTCTGACCCAGTGCAGATCGGAGGGCTGATGGGCAGACTGGAGTTGAGTCTCATGCTGAAACAGAATGAAGTACTTCCGGGAGCTAAGGTAAATGTTTGTTTTATTCCCTGTCGTGAAAAATGAAATAAAACTACCAGTGTTCTTTAATTTGTGCATTGAGCCCCTGATGGTCACAGTAGCTCAGCCTGAAATGCGGGACCCGATGCCTGGAGTCAGCGTTGGCCCTTGGCCGGCCGGCCAGCGCGGAGGCCGCAGGATGCCCGTGCCCTCGGCCGGCCAGTGTGGCGAGGCCACAGGGTGCCCAGGCCCTGTGGCCGCAGCTCGGGGCTCAGAGTTGCCTCCTGCACCCGCTTTCCTGCCTCCTGCAGCTCCAAACGCTCCTTAGCTCTGATACCTAGGAGTGTGCCATCAAAGAGCATTGCTCTAGCATCACACAGTGAAGTTTAAAGGAGGAGAGATTTGGAAAGCAAACTGGCTGAAGATGTTTAATTATATATAAGGATATCCACCGTAAGTGTATTTTTAACCAAGTGACCATTTTTATAGTTGTATAATATTTATGAAAAGAGATTGATTTTTTTCGTGATGTCTTACAGCTTTCTGAAGACTCTATAAAGGCAATTGTACTTGTTTCTTAGGGGACAATACTGAGCATCCTGTTGGAGAATCAGGAAACGGACATTTATTCAGTCAGTTAAACATGTTTGTCAAGCGTTATTTTCAGACTTGGGAGTGAATTTCCTGTACACTCTGTAAAATGTAGTCTCCATGGTGAAGATGCTGGGACCTGTTCACGTGCGCGTTCACTGGCCTCCCTGGCCCCGGGGGCCTGAGGGAGCGCTGTGTGCCAGGCTCTGGCCGGCCTGGGGGGGCCGACGTGAGCCCGCGCAGTCTTGGCCCGCTAACGAGAGAGACGCTGTGCGGGGTGGCAGTCGCTGTGGGACCACCGGCGAGGCAGCCCCCGGGGGCCTGTGAACGCACGTGGGAAGCTTTTCAGAGGGTTGAAGGCTCCTGGAAGCCCTTCCGTCGTCGGCTGGAGCACCCGACTGGGGCTGGAGGAGGGGAAGGAGGTAGTTAGAAAGACAGCATTCCTGTTAGTGATCGTCCCCTCGGCCATTTGTTGACTGCTGTGTCCATGGTACAACTCCTCTCCCCCGGCCTTAAGCCCCTCCTTATTAACCAGCTGGAGCGGGGCTGCGGCGGGGAGCTGTGGGGAAGCCCTGTGGGGACTCCCGGAGCGGACTCGGGCCTGAGGCCGCCTGGGACACGGCGGCGGCCATGCCTTGGGCGGGCGCTTGCTCTTCCTCCGGGAAGGAGGAGCCACCGCAGTAGCTTCTGTGGTTCCGTTTTGATCAAGTACAGATGGTCCTCAGCATTGGTATGTGTGATATCTGTGCTAACCCAAAGTTTTGCACATTATTTATTGGCCTGTATAAGTGCCTTATAGATGTTCCTTTTGGACACCTGTGTGTGAGGTGACAGGTGAACATCGGGAACTCTGGCGTGGTGCCATTGTCTGCCAGCCAGTGTTTAATGTTTGGAGATGTTACTATCCCTGCCTACATGTTAATTTTTATGCGATAGTTTGAATATTTGAGTGTATTTTGTTCTTCTTTAATGAAAAGGAGTACTAAATGGAAAAATAAAAGTTTTAGGTATCAGCATAGAAAAACATAGGTCTCATAAGCTCACTACAGCACCGACAGAGATGGCACGACATGTTAGGTCTTCGGTCTCTTTTGGATGTTCGTTAGACCTACGTCTTCAAACTGTGGGTTCAGAATGTCATGGAAGATTCCATGTTTTTTTAGTTCTCTGAGACTAGTCTTCCCCTAAAAAAGAGTGTAAATCTGGTGTTCCACATACTCCGTTTTAGCATGTTTTCAAACATGCATTATGTATGAAACAGTGGACTGCCTCTGCTGAATTTACAGCCATTTTTGTTTCAGTTACCATGTTACACTGATTTGGAAATTTATTTTAGTGTTAGTTTATTATAGTTGTAATGTGTTTTCAATGCTAAGAAATAAAAACCCAATTTTTAAATTTGGCATATACTCAGAGGTTTTCCCACTGTCCCCAGCTCTAACTCCTTGGTGATTTACAGCCTGTGATGTGAGCGGTCAGTAAGGAGCCCTGTAAAACAAGTCCCTGTTGACATAAAAAGCATTCAGACCTGTAGGGAATTTTTCAGAGTTTATCTGAGCCCAAACAGATGACAGCTTCTGGGAAGGAAGGTGTCCAGTGCTTCCAAGAGTGACAGTTTTGTTGTTTCCTTTGTGCATTTGAGATTGAGGGGACCTGAGGGCGGGAGAAAGTGAGGCAGGGGTTGGCTCACAGGAGCGGTGGCGTGGTTACGCTCTCTCAGGAACCAGGGTCTGTGGCTGGGGAGCAACGGCCCACCGTGACCGGCCCCGTTAGGGACTTACGATCCGATCCGTGCAGCCTGTGAGTCCACCCTCCGGCAGTTGTCCATAATGCGTGTTCTTTGGGTTAGTTGTAATTTTGATCTGAGCCTCCTTTCTGTAGAGGCCCTTTCTGTCCATACCTCCGGGGACAGGCGGGAGAGCAGTGCCGGGGAGAAGTGGGGGCTGTCTGTCTGCGTCCGCACGGGGTGCCATCCTGGCCCTGGGTCTGCCAGGGAGCATTGTGCAGATCCCGCGATCTCTGTGAGCCTGGCTTGTCACCTGTAAAGCAGCAACAGCACTCGGAGGCGGAGGAAGTAGGATAAAGACGCTCGGCATGGGCCCTGATGCTCAAAAACAGTGAGGAGGAGGAGGAGGGGAGTTGGAGAATTTTAGGTTCGATGGTGGAAGTCTCTTGAAGTCACTGTGTCATTTATTTTATTTATGTTTCTAGAATCAGAAGAAATTTGTTTTTCTCTTGGGGAAGGTGCCATTTTTTATATATAAATGTTTTATTGACAGAATTCTTTTAAAGTTGCAGTAGGAGTCAGTGTGAGCATCAGAATGGAAAAGAGGGGAATGAAAAGTACAGCAGGCCTCCTCCGCTCTTTAGAACCTGATGTACGGGGCAGCGTAATTGATCTCTTTCCAGGATGTACTCCGCAGAAGCAGGGTGAGGGTGGGATGGGGCTTGTCTTTCCGCGAGACGGAACGCACAGAGCTGGAACGCACAGAGCCGGAGAGGAGAAGGCGGTGCCCGGGAGCACGGCTCAGGGGGCAGTGTGGCCGTGGTGCTCGCACGCCAGGCTGAGCTGAGGGTGGGCTTTATGGCCCACGGGGCGGGCGCGCCGGGAGGGGCACTCCGTGGGGGAGAACAGGGCTTACGTGCTCCGCTAGGGAGTGGTATCCGTGGGCAAGCTTAGGAGAGCCAGGTTTATTTGCCATTGGTTTAAAGTAAGCTTTAAGGATTATGATTTGAGTCTTTTGCAATCATGATAGGGATGAATATTCTGCCGCTGCTATCTTAATATTCTCTCTTGGAGAATGTTTCTTAAGACCTCCTCGGAAACCTTCAGTACCCAGGAGACGTAAACAGACAGGAAAGTGTGACATTGGACTTGGCAGCACAGCCTCTCTCAGGAGGCTTTTCCATCTGTGAATTAGCAGAGAGAATCTTAGCTGAAGGAATTCAAGACTAAAAAATCAGTACTCATCTCAGTGTGTTAAATATACCGGGATTTGTGGTGATGAAATTATGAAGGTGTTTATCCTGAATGTCCTTTTCTTTTTCTTTGAAGTTGGATATTGATGGACAGATAGACTCTATTCATCTATTCCTGTCTCCAAGACAGGTCCACTTGCTTTTGGATATGTTAGCGGCTATTGCTGGACCAGGCAAGTATAACTCTGTTATTACTATTTTTAATTCTTTAATACTTTTTAGTTAAAATATATAACATACATAGGGGACATTTTGTTACAGAGGAATATGTGAAATTAAAGATGTATCGTAAATAGGAATCCTAAATATTTAAATTTGATTGGATCTTTGAAATTGTGTTACCATGGCACAAATTAGCATTCAGATTATTTATGGCACTTTAATTGTTTCAAAATTGTCTGGCTGACATCCTTGGTTGGGATAGCACTTTATATAACTGAGAAAGGATAACTCTTTAACATAGTAAGTAGCGCACATCTTTTAATGACTTACCTATCAAAGAAGATGTTTGTGATTTCTAGCTTTGTGCCTGAAGTTACTGCTTAGATTGCTGATTAATGTTGAAACAGTGGTGGCTTAGTGGTGACAGTGGCATTTCATTGCTGTGGTATTAAGATCATTGTGAAATGGGGTTGGTAATGAAAGAACAAAAGATCTATCCCCGTAAGAAGAGTTGAATTTCTTATTTTTTCTTCAAAGTTTGATTTACCTATTTTTAGAGAGAGGGAAAGGGAGGAAGAAAGAGAGGGAGAGAAACATTAATCAGCTGCCTCTTGCGCGCCCCCTACTGGGGACCTGGCCCGTAACCCAGGCTGTGCCCTGACCAGGAACCAAACCTGTGACCTCTATGTTTGCAGGCCGTTGATGTTGCTCCAAGCACAGCCTCACAGCGATAATTGCAGCACTGGCTCGCATGCTACAGTGTCTCTTTTGGATGGTGTACTTTCATTTTATCAATTGTAATTCTTAGGAAAGTTACTTTACAAAAATGTTGCCATTGATATTGGATAAGTGGGTGTTGAGAGAGAAATGATTAAATAACTCCTAATTTAATTGCTGTGTTTTTCCCTTTTGTATACTTGTAGAAAATCCTAGCAAAATAGGTTTAGGTAATAAAGATAGGAAAAATCGACCCATGCAACAGGAAGAAGAATATCGCATTCAGATGGAATTAAACCGGTATTATCTGAGAAAAGATTCCCTCTCTGTGGGTGTATCTTCAGAGCAAAGCTTTTATGAGACAGAAACAGCTCGTACACCTTCTAGCCGTGGTAAGTAACACAAAAAGTTGACACCAGAATCATACATTGTCATCACAGAGCAAAGCAAACTTAATTTAGGCCACTGCGAAGTGGAGTTAGTAACGAAAGAACAGAAGACCCATACTGTAAGAAGGTGTAAATTTCTAAGTGTAAAATCCTAACCCACCGTTACAGTGGTAACCACAACATTACAGTGACATGCTACAGTATCCTTTTTTGATTATGCAGTTTATACAAATCATGATTTATTCTAAGGAAAGTCAATTTACATAAATGTAGATTTATTCAAGAGATAAATGGGGGTAATTCTTCATTTTGTCAAATTCTTATGAGCTCACATAGTGACTTATAGATTCCTTTAAATAGGAACCTTTCTCTATTAATCTGTCAATTATATGTAAATACAGTCTTTATCTAGTTTATTTTGCATTTAGAGGTGTTTTGGAATGTATGAGTACTAATACCCTAAATAATAAGAATCAATTTAAGTATGGAATATTGAATGAAATAGAAAATTTAAGTCAACGTAAGAACTTTTGGCCTTAACAAAGTTTATTTCATGAGTGTAAAATAATCTCCAGAAAGAAAGAAGTGAAATGTAAATAGAATTCAAAATAATACATGCAGTTTTTTATTTTTTAAAGAAATAACTGTATCCATATGAAACCAGAGGTTGCAAGATATATATATACCATTTTAATCTGAATTTTAAGTTCTAAATTGTAATATGACACTTAAAAATATACCAATTAATACTGCATATTATACATCAAAGTTCTCCAGCAAGATAGCATAACCTTCTGTTAACCTATGTTCAGGTGAGTTTTTACTGTACCATTTATATCTTAGATCCAAATAAATTGCACCATTGGAAGTAACAAAATTTAGGGTATCACTATATCTGAGATAACCTGAAGGAAGAATATTAATGCATATTTACTTAATTTAAAGATGTAGATTTGTGTAATTATAATACAATTGACAAAGTTTAATTCTCCCTAGAAGAAGAAGTTTTCTTCTCCATGGCTGATATGGACATGTCCCATAGTCTCTCTTCTCTTCCACCCCTGGGGGACCCCCCAAATATGGACCTTGAGTTATCATTGACGAGCACGTATACAAATACCCCAGCAGGATCTCCATTAAGTGCCACCGTGGTAAAGTATTGTTTAATTTTTCTTCTGTTGTTGAAATCTTGCTTCTAAAATTCATGACTTCATTCATGTGCTTGAACATAATTCTTCTGTAGCTTCAGCCACCGTGGGGGGAGTTCCTCGATCGCCACAAAGAGCCGCCGGCGAGAGGGCCCGCACCGCCCTCCAACTTGCTGCACCCGCCGTCCTTACAGAAGGCTCGTAAGTGAGAACACGGCATTGGTGGACGGTTCCCCTGGATTTAAAAAAATTTGAAATTAAAAAAATGCCATTATACTGCTCCTTTCCTTTTCCTTCATAATTATTTTTTTTTTTTTGGTCTAGACCATTTAATAAAGTTTAGAAAGAAAATGAAGCATTGTTGAACAGTTCACCATGAAGTGTTCTAGTATAGTTGCCCATTCACTGTATTTTTTGCATATTTAAATACTTAAGTATTTTTAGTAAAAAGATCATCATAAGTTTCTTCTTATTATTGCAGTTTAGGAGTCTGAATCAACCATCTGATTTTTGTTTCACTGTTTAATTGACTTGAAAGTGAACCTCAGGTTTCTTCCCTGAAAAATTTAATTGGGATAGACACAAGGCTTAGAGGAGCGTTTGGTGAGCAGCGTGGGTTAATCTCTGACTTTCCCAATACTTTTTATTAATGCAAAGTTTTGTTCGACGTTTCTCACTGCAGCATACTCTTTTGTACTTCAAGTACCAACGATCCTTGATGTAAAATGCAGAAAGATAACAGTTTAGTTTATTTAATATCACTCAGATTGTTGGGTAATCACCTGTTTTTGAAAAGTAATACATAAGTGTTTCATAATTTTGATATAATGGATTATTTTTAAGTGTTAAATTTTACGTATGTAATTTTAACACATGTGTTTCAGCTCTCCCGTCTAGGTCTGTTTCAGTGGATGAATCCAGGCCGGAACTTATTTTCAGACTCGCTGTGGGGACTTTCTCTGTCTCTGTGCTTCACATTGACCCGCTGTCTCCACCCGAAACGTCATTGAACCTTAATCCACTGACACCCCTGGCAGTAGCTTTCTTTTCTTGTATAGAAAAGATTGATCCAGTGAGGTTTTCAACAGATGATTTTAAGTCTTTCCGAACAGTATTTGCAGAAGCTTGCTCACATGATCACCTTAGGTAAGTTCTCTCATACTTATTAATGATCCTTGAAAAGGAACCAAAAGTAGACTTTTGCTTTTATCTATCTATCTAACTCTGTTTGTTTTTATAATTCACATTTTATTTGTAAGTGAGTGGAATGAATGAGGTTTTCTTCCAGTGCTGCAGTGACGTTTACCATAGAGTCTTTCATTCAGGTTATTTGGCGCCTGAAATATTCCGATACAAGCTCCCGATAATCTGGCATTTGGAGGTTACCTTTTGTTCGGCTCCCTGCCCTGCTCTTGCCAGATTTCTTTGACCACATTTGCCATCATACCCACCGACACCATTACAATCATAAACACAGCTGTTGTTGCTACTGGCTTAGCAGGGGTGGCCGGGGGGGTCAGAGTAAAACGAGCCTACGAGGGGGACTTGGAAATGGGCCGGACGCCGCCAGTGGTCGGGGGGCGCCGCCAAGGCCGGCGGAGCGTGGGCGCCGCCGTTTTCACCTTCCGCTTGAAAATCCCGCGCTGCCCGGAGAGCCCATGATCTCTTCCTGGGTTGGGTTCTAATAAATGAGCTAATTAAATTTGTAAGTAGATTATTGTTAATGTGCATACGCTGTTTATTTTAACATGAAAGTGACCTATGAGTTGTTGCCATGCTATTTTATAAATACAATGATTTATATAACGTATTAATATTTTTAGAAAATATTTTGGGCTTTGAATTTTAACTTTAACATTTTTAAGTATTAAAATTAATATATAAATTAGTTTTTATACTTAGCAAAATAAACTCTGCAGGTTTAGAACCATGGTGTTTGTTTATCATCAAACTGCAAAAATGTTATTTTCTTCCAGTTTTTGACAAGGTTTCAAGTATATGTCAGGAGGAAATATAAGAAAAGCAATACAAACTAGAAAACTACCTTCATTTGAACTCCACTGAAGTTTTAAAAATATTGCATGATACTTTTAGATAATTTTAAGGAACTATTACATATGTATATATTATTGATATTAAAGGTTGTTTCCCCTGCAGTGTAAATTGCAGTGGATAAAGAAAGGAGAAAGGGCAGTTTTGGGAAAGAAATATATCCTGGATAATTTCCTGTCAGCAGAACTGGCTTCTTTATCTTACATCAGGGAACTTTGAAGTGATCTTTCTGGTTAATATCCTTAGGAATATTATTTAGAAGTTGAATTTGTCAGAATAGGTAGGTAATCGTTATACTTTATTAACAATTGTGTACTGTTTACACATTGTTTAATCTAGAAATAAGTGGATACTCTTAAATGCTGCATTTCTTATGATAGATTTATAGGTACTGGCATCAAAGTATCCTATGAACAAAGACAAAGATCAGCTTCCAGATATTTTAGTACGGATATGTCCGTTGGGCAAATGGAACTTTTGGAGTGCCTCTTTCCAACGGATTTTCATGCTGTTTCTCCTCACTACACAGAGGTAAATGCTAAACACCTTTCCTTTGTGATCATTCTTTAAATCTGTCTTGCTTTTTAAGAATTGTATGAACAGCAATGGTTTTCTTTAAAAAAGGGATAGAAGTTATAGAGGAAGAGGGAGGTGTGTGTGTGTGTGTGCGTGCACACGCGTGTGTGAGCATTTGAGTTTTGTTGAAATAGATTTTTAAGTGTGGCATTCAAGGCCATAAGAATAGGTTTAAATTTTAAATTTAGAGTTGACTTTTTATAGAGTGGCAGACAGGTTATGGGACAAATGACTTCATTTCACTCATTTTTTAAGCATTCTTAATTTCAGAAGAATTCCGTCCATTCCACAGATAGCTGCTGTGTGCTAAGCCGTGTTCACTGCGGAGGACAAGTGAAATGTCTTATGTTCCTTTATTATTAATCTGTTTTTATTTCTAACTTAATAGTGTGTCCTAGAGAAACTTCAAAGCTATCAAAGTGACATTTGTTGCTTTTACCCTGCCCTTATGTATTGTTTTATTTCAAAGCACTTCTTGGGCATTAATTTACTTGCATACTTCCCTACATTTTGTAGACGAAATACTAAGTATCACAGAAGTTAACTCACTCCTCTAAGATTCTCATTGGCAGTAAGTGACAATGAAAACTTAAAGCAAGGTTTTCTGACTCCAAAAAATTCTTCCCAGTATTACATTAGCAGCTCTATTAATTCATGTGATTAAAATTATAGCTTAATATTTTACATTTATCTTCATCTTTGTTTTTAAGCTTTTGATGTTCCATTCCAAAGAACGGAGTGATTCTCATGCCCCCGCGTGTCTCCAGCTTCACTACAAGCATTCGGAGAATAAAGGAGCCCAGGTCAGAGGCCCTTTTCTGTGATCACCACCTGTAAATTGACACTTGGTATATATGTTGTCACAATCGAAAGGTTTTACCTTGGTTTCATACTATTGTTAGTGATCCTATTAATGCTTTCCTTTTTTCCTAAAGGGTAATCAAGCAAGACTTAGTTCTGTTCCTCAGAAGGCAGAATTACAAATTAAACTAAGCCCAGTGTTTTGTGAGCTGGATATCAGTATTGTGGACAGGTTAAACTCCTTGCTGCAGCCACAGAAGCTTACTACAGTGGAGATGATGGCATCTCACATGTATACTTCATATAATAAGCATATTAGTTTGGTAAGTGCTCAAAAGTTCAAGTCCCAATCAGAATTATTGCTAGCTAATAGGCTTATTTGGATTATTTCTGAGCTTACTCATATGTTATAAAAACAGCATCCTTTGTAATAATGAATAAATGGAGACCTGTTTTATGTCTGGATACTAGATTGGTAAATAAGTTTTGTTAATATACTGAGTGAAATTCTATGTATCATTTTATTTATTTAAAAAATTTAAAAAATATTTTAAATTTATTTATTAGAGAGGGGAAGGAAGGGAGAAAGAGAGAGAAACATCAATGTGTGGCTGCCTCTTGCATGCCTCCTACTGGGGACCTGGCAGGCATGTGCCCACTCAATCTACTCAGCCACACCAGCCAGGGCATCTATGCACCTATTTTAAATGATGGTTATACAGATAGTGCTGTGAAGAAGGCTCAGGAAGAAGTAAACTTTCATTACAATGCTGTGAATAAAATTGATGTATAGAAAATGAATGGATAGAAATATACCAGTTGGTAGCAATAATCATGTTAGAGTGATAAGACTGGATTTCCTGCCCTCTTCTTTGTTATCTGAATTTTACACACTGTGATATAATATCTTCACAAAACTTTATTCACGCATTTCACAAAATACCTGAGCCATCTATAAAATGTAGCCCATATAAGTTATACTTTTGAAAATGGAAACATAATATAATAGATTGTGTTATTGAGTATCACATTATATCGCTTTTACTTAGATTTGGTGCCTGGTGTCTTTTCTAAGCAAATCACATAAGTCAGATTTGCTTCTATTAGGAATTTTGGGGCTGTAGGACCAGGGATAGAGATAACATAAGCTGAAAAGAAAAGGGAGAAGATATGTATGTATTTTTACTTTATTTGCTTCTCCCTCAATTAGTGATGATATTCACATTCAATCAGCATTCTTTATTTTTTGTCACCAATTGCTTGTTAGTTTAAGTTCTGTTGGGGCTAATGTCTCTAGTTGCTGTTTGCCGTAGATGTATGGGGACAGTGGTTTGATCTATTGGGTCATTTGTGCTGAAGTCCTGATGGTATGTTTCAATACATTTTAGAGAAAGAATAGACATAGGCTTTTATCTGAAAGGTATATCCTTTGAACTTTTTATTATACCATGGCTTTGAGTAAAATGGTGCATATGTGTTTTGGTTTCTAAGGGCCATTTGATTTGATCATACCCTTGGGTTGGATGGGAACTCAGTAAGTCATTTAATGAATGTTTATTTAGAACCTGTGATTTGCTAGCCTCTGGGCTTAGTCCTTGAAATATAAAATGAATCAGGGATAGGCCTTTGCAGTTGGCATAATTGATCTGATTTCACATTCACACTGAGTCTTTAAAGTAGCATGTTTGTAGATAAAGCCTTCAAACTGAATATTGGGTACTAGAGTGATTTTTAACTATGGAATTTGTTGATGAGTTAATTTACGTGATATTCTTTTTTAGTCTATGGTAAGATATATATGCATCTATGGTGCCTGAGTCTACACTTTGGTTCAGATTTTATTTTTATTTATTCGTTTATTTTATATGAGGATTTGCCTTTTGCCAGTAGTCCTGGCTTTTGTTCACAGCTGTTGGACTACCAAATTTCATTACACTAAACTAATATGGTAGTGGTTATTTTGAATTGTATTTTAATGTATTATACTGAGTGAGGAAATAGCAAGTATACATATTGTAATGTTGAATAATACTAAGGTGATTTATATTTATTTACTTAACATTTGGCCTTTTTTGTGATGCTTCGTTTTTTAGCACAAGGCTTTCACTGAAGTATTTCTAGATGACTCACATAACCCTGCAAATTGTCGGATATCAGTGCAAGTTGCCACGCCAGCATTAAACCTTTCCGTTCGCTTCCCAATACCCGATCTTCGATCGGATCAAGAAAGAGGACCATGGTTTAAGAAGTCGCTTCAGAAGGAGATTCTTCATTTAGCATTCACAGATCTAGAATTTAAGACTGAATTTGTAGGAGGATCAACCCCAGAACAAACTAAATTGGAGCTCACCTTTAGAGAACTAGTCGGTAAGATTGAATGTGCCTGCAAAGGCGCCAGACTATCAACACACAACTGCTACTGAAACTTAGAGCATGAAAAGTCTTTGACAGCTGCAAAATGTCATAAAATTAAAGAACATTATGTTAGAAAACAAGAGTAACAACTTTTTTCCCGCATTGCCTACAACTATGTGATATAGGTCAGTTTTTGGAAAGAAATGACCAAGCACGATGATTCAGTCGCTTAGCTGATACGTCCTTCTCCACGGGCGTGCGCCGCTGCCGGCTCCTCACCGAGCGCCAGCCACGCGCCCCCTCCCGTGCAGGGCCGCGGCCGCGGGGGCCTGAGCTTCACCGCGCCCCCTTGTTCCCTGTAACCGCCATCATAACGTAGGCTTATTATCTCCAGTCATTTCTGTCATTCGGAAGTGAGGGATCCGTAGGCTTCAGAGGAGGGACCGCCCCAGATCATGTAATGAGGGGCAGAATCGAGGTTCTGACCCAAGTCTGACACTGGAGCTTGAGCTTTTTATCACCACACTGCTCTCGAGTGACTTTTCTCTGTAAAACCTGTTTTAAGTTTTTCTGTATTACTTTGCTTTTGTCAGCTAATGAAGAGTATATATACACTCAGAGTGAATCGAGTCCACGAAGAACTCAGGAAGATTTTGATGTGGGTTTTGTGTGTGCGTGTGTGGTTTCGTACCAGCCTCCCTCTGCCACTCCGCCCTCCGCCCACACCTTCCTACCATCCCCCGCTCTGCTTACCTGCAGCTCTGGGAATAGGCTGCACAGTTTCCCTTCCCATCTTCTCCGAGTTTTACAAGTTCTTAGAGATATTGGAGATTGACTGTTGCCAATTATGACTTCATGAAAGGGCGTTTAGAGGTCATTGAACCTTTCCTTTTCTCCATCAGTAAAAACTCATTATTCTGGAGGAAAGTCAGTCTTTGTAAAATGGAATGAAGAGACATGTATAGGGTTATTGTGAATAGAGGTAATTCTTACAGTGCTTGACATAAAATCGACACTTAAGACATGTCATTATTATCTGTGTTCCTAGATTAATTTCCTAAACTTTGAAGAATAATCATTCAGTGGCACTTGTAAGCGGCACCCGCTGTATTTACTGTCACGATCATGCCCGTGCACATTAAACACTGGTACTTAAACATTTGAGTATGAGCAGGAAACGACATCTTTAATTTACCTGCCTGTTCTGTCTCCCCCATGTACACTGGAAACAGGAACAAACGAATAAATGCCGTAGAACTTAATGTTGCGCTATGTTCCTGATTTAGAGGATCTTTGTTCCCCTAGGGAGGAAAGTACCTTTCAACCCTTGAGAAGACATGCATTTCAGTTAATCAGCCTTGTTTTAATAGGGTCATTCCAGGAAGATAAAGGAGGGCCATCCATTAAGTTTTTCCACGTGTCTAGTGGAGCAGATGGAGATACGACGTCGTCGGATGACTTTGACTGGCCACGGTGAGTAAGCAGGTGGATATGACACATACCTGCAGTGAGATTTTCCTTCCAAAAATAAATTACTATCGTCTTTTGAACCATCATTTTGGCTATTGAATTTAAGCTAAAAATATCCAGCCCCGATGAGAAAACCCAGAGGGAGATGGACAAATCAAGTAAGAACTGCATATTGAGAACTGCTCTGTGAAAGGTGTCTGTTAGGTGCTGTGAGAGATGGAAGCGTTAGCGGTGTTCTCTGGTCTCAAGTTTCCTAGTCAAAGCAGAGGGACCAAAGAATCATTGATCATTTTAAAAACAGTTCAAGGCTGCAGCAGAAGAGATAGCACAGGGCACCATTTGGTTAGTTGTCAAGTGAATTTTATCGTCAGTGATGCTTTGGAACAGTGCTTTTCCAATCTGGGTGCTTTTACAAAGTACTGGTTCTTGGGCGGAGAGAGCCTGGGCCCCGGGGCCGGGTGGGAGTTACAGCAGGTGGTCCAGGGCGTAGAGGGCGCCGCCCTTCAGGCAGCGCAGGCAGCTGTGCCGTTAGTTACAGCACGGTGGCCTCCTTCGGGCTCGGACTGTTATTGAAAAGAACTTAGTTTACTTGAAATAAGGATCCATTATCATATGGAAGACTAAGCACTTGAAGCCTCTCTGTAAGTGGTCTTTTCCTGTGCTGGTTTGCTGCCGCCCTCTTTTACTCTCGCCTCCTGTGCCTCAGACCTGCCAGGCTCCTAGGCCGGGCGTTATCAGTGCCCGCCTGGCAAAGCCGCAGGAGTTCAGAGCATGGGCTCTCCTTGTAAGATATGGATCTTCTTTAGTTATGTAATTTGGAAGCACAATGACATTAGCATATCTATAAATTAGGAAGCAGTTGTGATAGTTTATAACTAGAACCAACTGGTGCCATCCGCGTAGGGAAAAGACAAAGCCCTGGGAGATGCCACACAGGTGTCTGTCTTATTCGGGGTGGCCACGCTTCCTCGTGACAGTGGGCTGAGGCGGCAACGAAGAGACTGCAAAGCCTCGTGCCAGCGACGAGCCCGCAGGGGATGAGCGCAGCCTCCTGTGACTGAGCCCTACAGGCTTCGCTGTGGCAGCTCTGAAAACATTCCCTCACCGGGCTCTCCTTTGCCATTTGAACAACTTCTGTGCCCAGGGTTTCCGAGGTGGGCGAGTGTCCCATCAGAGCACAGGCTGCAGGCGGAGGGATCCGGGTTAGCAGGGCTAAATAGAACTCTCAGGTAGAACTTGCTGAAAGGTGGTTTTATAAATATGAAATTTAAAATTAATCTTTGTATCCTCAAAAGATCAGAGTTTCAATTAGCTAAGAATAAAATGTTAATAACTTTCTTTTGTTTACTTGTCTCATCAGTTCCACACTTTTAAGTTTATAACATGTCCAGAAGTGGGGTAGATTAGATATAATTAGACTTTGCGAAGAAGCTGGATCCCGTCATTAATGACTCCATCAGCGGTCTTTGTATTAATCTTCATAAAAATTAAAGTTTTGCAGTTAACACGCAGATCTCGATTTTTAAAATCGTCCTTGCTCTCAGAATCGTGCTGAAAGTGAACCCCCCAGCCATGCATTCCATCCTGGAGAGAATCGCGGCGGAGGAGGAGGAGGAGGAGGGGGATGGCCGCTATCAGGAAGAGGAGGAGGGCGGCGCACACTCGCTGAAGGACGTGTGTGATCTCAGGAGGCCGGCGCCCTCTCCCTTCTCCTCTCGCAGAGTCATGTTCGAGAACGAACAGGTACACTGCCGGTGTGAGCGAGCCACGGAGGGATATCCCTGGGCACGTAGCAGTGGCTTTCAATCTTCTTAAGGAAAAACAACGGAGTATTCTGTTTGTGCTAGGTTTTTTACTCCAAGATTGCATGTCTATATTTTTTTCTTGGTTAAAAGTTAACAGTTACATGCTTGCTTATTTATTGATGTACCAAGTTCTATACCTAGATTACTAGAAAGAAGATACAGTTACTACTTTAAACATAAAATGGTTATTTGATGCATTTTTTTTTGCACTAAACTGTTATGTTTTAGATGGTGATGCCAGGAGACCCTGTAGAAATGACGGAGTTCCAGGACAAAGCAATCAGCAATTCTCACTACGTGCTGGAACTCACGTTACCCAGCATTCACGTAACGCTACCGAATAAAAGCTTTTATGAGAAGCTTTACAACAGGTGAGTTTAAACACGCTGAGTTGCTTCCTTGGGGCGGGCTCTCCTGCCTGCCTGCCTCCCTGCCTCCCTCATACCCCGCCCCCCCCCCCCCCCCCCGTCGCCCTTTCTTCCTGTGCCTCGGCCTTCTCCCCGTCGTCAGTGTCAGTGTGCTCTGTGCGGTGCCGACCGCAGGACCCTTCCTGTGGCTGCGCGCCGCTGTTACAGCGGGGCATCCTGAGCAGTGTGTCTCGTAACTGCGCTCCTTGGGTGTGTGATGTTTAGTCCCTGTGCCCTCCGTCCCCTCCCCGTGGGTCCTGAGCACGTACCTCTTCCCTGTGTGCCGTGGCACGGAGACAGCTGGGGCGGGTCCGCGCGGAGGGCCGGCAGATCCTGGGGTGGACTCGGGTCCTGGGGTCTTTGTGCAAGGAGCATCCCTTCTCAGGGTTCGAAAAGGGACCTCCTTAGGATTATGAGCTCTAACTTAGAAACTGCAGTGGAAAAATTCAGATTTGACATAAATGGCACCCTGGAGGGAAGAGCACAGCCGGTGAAGGGCTGGGCAGTTTGCCTGGCCTCCAGGGCCAGCCTCCCGCTCGGTGGCGGAGGGGGCGCTCGGTCGGCCTGCGTGGGCTGTTGGGAGGATCAAGTGGGACGAGCCCTGGGGGTTCAGGGGATGGCGCCTGGCACGCCGTGAGCTCGCGGGAGCCAGCTGTTACCGCGACCGCTCCTGCCGTCTGCGGCAGCCGCTTCTGCAGCGCGCCCGAAAGGCGCTCACGCGCGGTTCTGGGTAAGGGCGCCTGGCGTCTGCTGTCACCAGCTTCCCACGTGTGAGCGAGTTGCTCTAACTTCCGTTCACATTCAGGGACTTCAGACTGGCTTCCGCTGTGGGTTTACTTGGTATCAAATATCACTGGCCCTTTGTTCCTGAACTGTTAATAATAAGCTGGGTCTTCTCACTGACCACCAGTGACCAGGACTGTTGGTCTTAGGATCAGAAAATTAAGTTCCAGAAAGATCTACTTAGTTCAGTAGTCTTGAAGATGAGATTCGCGGGGTAGTCCACTGACTATAGGGAGAAAATGTTAGTGCTTCCATTTAATTTAAAAAAAAACTTTAAAATTTTATATTTACTTCATAATATACATAATCTATAAGTCATAGTTGCAAAAAGTTTATAAATTTACATTAGACAGCTTCCATAATTTTTTTAACTGTTAAGTCTAAAGTTTGGAAACTACTGACGTCTAGACTGTTGTCCTTACTTTGTACTTGAGAAGCGTGTCCAGGAGCGTACGAACGTGCGAGGCGGGGAAGACTGAGCCGAGTGAGAGGACTAGCTCAAGGCCCAGCCCGGGGGGCAGAGGGCTTCATCCCTAGTTTGGTCTTTCTGTGGTGCCTGGTTGCTGGTTAAGCTGGGATGCTAGAGCGGTGATACACACCTTAAACGTGCACTTTACAAATGCAGTGTGATCTACCACTTCTTTTTAAAATATAGGAAAAGGCCTATTTTTCAATATGAGTCACCGGTTGGAATTTTTGCATCATGTATATCCAAAAGGCTTTGTCTACAATTTTCAGATTCCGTTTCTTTAAAGTAAACAAGAAAAGTTTCAAAGCAATTTGCGTGCAGAGTCTTAGGTTTTAGGATTTTTCCACCTCGGTCTGAATAGTCAGAAGTTATCGGTTAGCACAGCATTTAATTAAACTATCCTTACAATAGTAAGCGCAGCTGGGATGAGCAGACCTGAGGCCAAACGCCGCTGACCTCACGGTGAATACAAGGACAGGAGCTCAGCGGGGGTGCGGCTCTCGGCCTGCGGGAAGCAGCCTGTGCCAGCAGCCCGTGGTCGGCTGGCGGTGGGCTGGCGGTCGGCTGGCGGTGGGCTGGCGGAGGGGGCCACCGCCCGTGTGACAGGTGGCGTAGCCGACAGCTGACGTCAGGGAACTGCGGAGTGTCTCTTCAGCCGTGGAGCTGGTTCCACGGGGGCTGCTTAGGAGTTTCTCTTCCTCCTGACGCTGCCTGCTTGCGCTCTCAGGCCCCGGAGCTGGAAGTCCCGAGGGCTCCCCCGCGCTGTGTACTGTGTGACTCACGTATTAGGATAGATTTATAAATTTTAAAATTAATATTATTTTAAAAGCGTTAAACATTCTTAAACTTACAGAAAAGTTGCAAGTACAGCAAAAAGAACTTTTTTTCCCCTGAACCATTTGAAAGTAAGTTGCTGACCTAGTGCCCCTTCACCTTGGAGCACCTGGGCATTTCCCACATGCCAGGACATTTTCTACACAACCACAGTTCACCAGTCAGAGCGAGGACACCGATAGTACACGTTATGACCATCTAGTCTGCAGAGCCCATTCAGGGTCTCCATGATGTCCTTTATATATACAATTAAATAATCTCTCCGAACGGGAATTATAACCAACTCTATCTTTACTTCACAACACTTTAAAATATCGGTTTGTTTGTTTACTGCCTTGGTCAACGAGCTCTTTTTAAAAAGACAGTCTCAGGTACAGGAAATTTTTTTCTGTGTTATAGGTCCTTTAGAATAGAGTACAAAAAAGAATTCTAATTGGTTTTATTAAGTATTTATTGAGCTTCTATTATGTTTTAGGCTTATAGTCAGAGAATCATGGTAATGTGTCCTTAAATATCTTGATAGTAAAAACTTCACCCAATGTTTTATAGTATTAATGATATCAAGACTGTGCTTCAACCAAAGTATAAATAAGGAAAGAGTAAAATCATTTATTTACATACTTCATTTACATACCATGAACTCAGGTTTTCCTTTAAGTAATAGTTTCTCTTTGATGTACGAAGGTAAGAGAATGGTTGTAGGAAGTAAGGTAAAGGAAGAGCATTTCCTGAGAAAATCCATTTTATGCCTTCATTATGTAGGAGTTTAGACTAAGATCAGATTGACTCTTTTGTTTTAATAAAAATGCCCAAGAAGCAGCGAGCCAAGAGGGTGCTGCACGGTTTGGGGGCACTGCAGTCAGTGCGTCTGAGAAGAGACATATTTCTGTCCCCTCTCCCTGGTGTCTTTCACTTAGAGGTGCTTCCTTTTGGGTCAGGATTACAGTCTGCAGCATTCACTCCTGGTTTATTCTTTCTAGAGCTTCAGAGGCTCAGGAATTGGCCTGGGATGTTCCTGGACAAGTGGCTTCTCACAGGAAGGGGCCTGGGCTACATCACTGCGTGGCGTCTTGCTTGGCATTCACGCTGGGCTGTACCGTGAGCTTGTGCGCCGGGCAGTCCCTCCCTGTGCGTCGTGCACTGGTGCCTCCTCCTCACACCTTGCACTGCCTGCTCCGTGGGAGCCGCCGGGCCGGGCACATGGGAAGGTGGCTGAGGGGCTAGTGTAGGAAACAAGGACATGCAGTGATACTGCGTTGTAGATGGGGTGGTTCAATTGTGTATGTGTAGAGGAGAGGCCACGGGTCCAAATCTAACAAAGGGCCTTGTAGAGGACACTGAAAAGCCTTTGTTTTCATGAAAACGTAGCAGAGGTTTTGAGGAGAGGGTAAGGGCAGGACATCTGATTAGTGACAACTAATCCTTTATAAATGTAGGACCTGGTAGTAGCCTAGCTTGACACCTGTCAGCCCACTAGTCACCAGTGTTGACTGGAACTACCTTGCTAGTTAGAAAGAGTTCCTTTCTTGGCCTGGCCAGGTAGGTCAGTTGGTTAGAACATCATCCTGATACACCAAGGTTGAGGGTTCGATCCCCAGCCAGGGCACATAAGGAATCAACCAATGGATGCATAAATAAGTTGAACAACAGATCGATGTTTTTCCCTCTCTCTCGCTAAAGAATTATTAAAAAATAAAAAAGATTTCCTTCATTTCTTGTTCTGTATACATCCTTCGTCTCATGCAATCTTCCCAATGAACCTGCTTTCTGGTGAAGAGGGAAAAAGCGGATATCCCTAGAGACAGTAAAGGAAAAGTGCATTGGGAGCCAGCCACGATCTGGTCCCAGTTCTCCCACTGATGAGCTGTGTAACCTTGGGCGGGTCCCTTAACCTTTATGAGGCAGGTTCTTCAAGTGCCACGTGAGAGTGAGGATGCTCCCTGGGCCGCCCAGTAGCATGGGCGGGAGGGACAAGGGAGACAGTGCATGATCTGTTCTGGTTCACAGCGCGCGCTCATGTGTGAACAGTCTTCCTTTTTTTTGTTAACTTCTTTCTTTAAAGTGCATTTAGATGTATGTAATTTGATACATGTAAAACAGGTAAAACTAGGCAGCTATCTAATTAGTTATCTAATTGTACAAATTCCTTTCTCACTGCCTGCATTATAGCCATATCAGTTATTTTTTTCATTATATGAACATAATTGATATTTAAAAAAACCTGTAGAATCTAATTTCTATTTCACCATCTAGAAAAATTATTATTCACATGATTTCTTAAAGGGATATTCTTTAGTTTGCCTTCAGTTGAATTAGGAATTATGTACTTATTTTTCAACTTTGTCTTTATAGGATCTTCAATGACTTGTTGCTGTGGGAACCAACAGCTCCTTCACCAGTGGAGACTTTTGAAAATATTTCCTATGGTGTTGGGCTTTCGGTAGCCAGTCAACTGATCAATACCTTCAACAAAGATAGCTTTAGTCCATTTAAATCTACAGTTCACTATGGTAATATATTTTAAATTTGTTCTGATGTCAGTGCCTGGTTTATCAATAAAGTAGTAGCCTTTTTAATTGATGGTATTTTTCATTTATATTTTATAATACTTTGTAGTAATTTACATTTCCGCACTTGTATCTGTATATTGAGAATATTGATATTAGTTAAATATGTTCTCTTTATAGTGATAATTATATACATTGTCTGAAGTTCAGTGGTGAAGTGAAAAAAATATAGCAAGTACATTTTTATTGTCATACCAGATTCTTTATAAAAATAAACAGGTTGTAAAATAAATATTCTTGTGCTAATGTTCAAGTTGCTATTTATTTAAATAAGCTGTCAGACCCATGTAATTGGGATGCTTATTTCTCATAGACGAGGAAAGTGGATCTGAGGAGGAGACTTTGCAGTATTTTTCTACTCTTGATCCCAACTATCGTTCCCGTAGGAAAAAAAAACTCGACTCTCAGAACAAACACTCGCAGAGTTTTCTCTCAGTTCTTCTGACTATTAATCATGGATTAGTGGCAGTGTTCACAGATGTTAAGGTAAGGATTTACACACCTAAAGTGGTTTTTCAAGTGCATCCTCTTGTAAATCTCCCGTGAGAGCAGGTCCAGTCACTGAGGGAGTTTGGAGTTGTTTCGGGGGCCGAGGAAGATCAGTTTGCCGAGGCACCTCGTGACGACAGGCAGCATCTTTGGAAATTTACCTTTCATTGCAGACCCAAAGACAAACATTACATACACCTTCTTTCGGAGAACACGTGTGGTTCCGCTCCTGAGATGATAACTAGCGATTTGTCCGTTGTAAAGGAGGATGAAGGACAGGGATTCGTTGGATAGAAGAGATCACTTCTTCTACTTCCACTTCAGGACTCAGTTTTAGCACCACTATGTCGGACGGGTCAAGCGTCAGAGCGCTCGGCCGCGACTCGAGGGGTTCTGTCGCAGGGCCTCTGCCTCTCAGCAGCGACGCCCCTGTTTTCTGATCTTTCCGTTAGCAAGATGATGGCGATCTGGTGGGAGACAAGCACGGTGAATTCTGGTTAGAGTTCAGCAGCGGTTCGTTGTTCTGTGTGACAAAATATGAAGGGTTTGAGGACAAGCACTACATCTGCCTTCATTCCAGCAGCTTCAGTCTATACCACAAAGGTAGGGCAGGTATTAAATGTATGTGTTTTGTTCACTTCTGTTTAGACATGTTTAAATTTTGTTTAATAAAATCTATTGAGAACAGAACTCTGATATAAGCAGTTGTTTTCTGTGGGGTTTTCTGATTCCACTGGCAAAGGAATACTTGTTGTTAAGTAGAAGTTGACTGTTCTTTTTTTTGCAATATGATATAATTCAATGGTATAGAGTCTACCATTTAAAAATCTACATTTCTGTAGTTTTTAGTATTTCACAGAGTTGTGTAACCATGATCACAGGCAACTTTAGAACATTTTCATCACCCCCAAAAGAAACTGCATCCTTTAGCTAGAGTGCCTCCCTCCCCAAGCCCTTCCGTCCCCTCAGCCCTAAGCAATCACTAAAGTACTCTATGTCTCTGTGGATTTAGTAATCCTGATGTTTCCTATGGATTGAATCGCACAATATATATGGCCTTTTGCTCCTGGCATTATGTGTTCAAGGTTATTGAAGTGTATTAGTATTTCATTCCTTTTTATTGCCAAATATTCCATTTTATGGAGATACCATATGTTATTATCTATTGATCAGTTGATGGGACTTTACATTCTTTATTCTCAAGCAATATTTCATTTTGGTACCAGACACAGACTTTGCCATTCTTTGAGCACATTTCCTGTGTTACCTTGTAAATAGACTTGAGATACTTGCACATTCTTAATGTTTACCAGATTTTCATACTTAAATTTAATTATCCTAACATTTTAATTTTTTTGAGTTTGGGACTGCCAATCATACCAACATTAGTAGAGAGGGATGGATTGTTAATGCCAACTCAGTTCTTGCTCATTTTGCCTCCAGAATCGTGTTGTATTCAGTGGAAGGACGTGGATTTCTGTTTTCAGTTCCAGAAGTCCATGAACTAGTTTCAAGTAACCATTTTGTTATATTTTCTCCTCGACGTGGACGTAGGCCTGGTGGACGGAGTGATTGTCCCCGCAGAAGTGCGGCTGCCTGGCTCAACCCGCCCGCATTGGCTGGAGCCCACGATTTATTCCTCCGAAGAAAATGGCCTCAGTAGAGCTTCTTCCGATGGTGTTGGAGGAGACCCTTCGAATATGCTCTCCGTTGCAGTGAAGATACTGTCTGATAAGTCAGAGTCCAATACAAAGGTTTGCATTTTAAACTTTTATACCGTTATTTCCTTGCTGTTGGTTTGATTACTAGCTAAAATGATTGCATAAAAGGCAGCACATTGACCTGGTTTGGGAAGCTTCAGGTTTTGCATGGGAGGGGTGCGCAGGCGGTGAGAGAGAGTCTTTGTGTCGCCTTGCACAGGAATTCCTCGTCGCCGTGGGGCTGAAAGGAGCCACTCTCCAGCACAGGGTGCTCCCTTCCGGGCTGAGCTGGCACGAGCAGGTAAGACAGCCACGTGTGATTGTCAGTCCTCTTAATTGTACATGGGCAGAGTCACACTGAAAGGTTTAGAGACCCCGAGTGGTCGGCTCAGGGCATTATCACGAGGCAAACGCTCCTGTGTAACCACCTTTTAGGCTGGGGAGTAGACCAGTATCAGCACTCCAGAATGTGATTGATTTTTTTTACCTAGAAGCCCGGTCCCCAAACATTTCAAAGACAGAGTTACCCTGTTTGTCATCAAAGGGAAGGATTCGGTGTCCCAGGCCCTGCGGAGAGCCTGGCCCGGGGGAGCAGTAAACGGTGTGTTGACTCACACTTCATGGGCCATGATTTCAGAATGACCCCCTAAGCCAGTCATGGGGTTTGAGGCAGTTAGAAGGGTTTCTGTAATCAATTTCCAGTTTAATAGCTATATATGGTAAATGAAATATAATTGTTTATTTTTCGGAGGATACTTTGGATAAGAAGTTCACTCTTCTTTATGTGAGAATGAAAACTAGCACATTGATTCTTGTTCATTTTCCTTAGAAAGGAGCGCTTTTTGTGTGCCAGGAAAATAATTATTTTAAATTTGAATGCTTCCAGAAAGCTTTTTCCATAAAAGCACGTAGAACACCAGAGATACTCTGTGTATCTACCTCCCTTCCTGTCTACGGAACCGTGAGGAGAGCGTCCTTATATCCACATCTGCGAAGAGGGGAGAGAAGCGGTCGGGGTGAACCCTGGCCTGGCCGCAGGGGAGAGCCTCGGCCCCACCCCCCTGTCCGCTTGGGTTGGAGACATGCGGGAGCGGGGTCGGGGGGAGGGCCTGGCTTTCAGACTGAGCTGGGGTAAGCGAGGGGCAAAGAGCTCCCGACACTGGATTATTTAGAAAACCAGATGGGTAGTTTTAAGCAATCTTTAGGAAAATTCGTTTCTTTCCAGAACTGTTTCAAGGAAAATAATATGAAAGCATATTATACATACTTTGTTAGTTTCATAAGATAGGATTTTTCTAAGGTTTCTGTAGCAATGCAGTTGTTAGATGGGCCTTTTTATTTCAAGTTCTAGTTTTGTAAATGCTTTTTGAAATGAATTTCTTTAAAATGATTATTTTTTCCTTTTAGTGTTTTGATTTTCCAATAAATGGTTGCTTTCTGTACGAGGCATTTCATTTTACATTGGTATTAATGATGTCCTACCAACACTTTTTTTCTTCTAAAGCAGGACATTTTATATTTTTGTGATTATAGATTTTATACTTCTTGAATATTGCTGATGAGCCTGTTTTGGGATATAATCCTCCAACTTCATTTACAACTTTTCATGTTCATCTCTGGAGCTGTGCACTTGATTACAGGTTAGTTCACAAATGGGACAAAATAAAATTTTATTATTGAAAATATCTACTAAGTTTTAAAAAGAACATATAATTCAGTCGCGTTAAGGTGCCAAGTGCTTTCTAAAGAGGACTGACGTTCTGATGTTTCTCTTTGGTGTCAGGCCTCTCTATTTGCCGATCCGGTCTCTCCTCACGGTCGAAACTTTCAGCGTGTCAAGTAGCGTCGCCTTGGATAAGTCGTCCTCTACTCTCAGGTGCCTGCGTGAGCCTCATCGTGCGCCCGGCGCGGCTGCCAGGACGTGCCGGCCGCTTTCTAAACCCGTCTGTCACATCCTCAGCCATTTGTTAAAATCGACATTCTCTAACTAACAGCCACGTCCCTCTATCCCAGTTTTCGATTTTCCTTTCAAAGATGATTCAACTGATCTGTTTTATTCATTACTGGATTTCATTTTTAGGGAGGAAATAATTCCCAAGATTGTTTATTTTTATGTGTGTGTGTGTGTGTGTGTGTGTGTCTCCCCCATAACACCTGGTACACTTTATTTTCATAATTAAAACCTTGTGAATTTGGGGATTTATTAAAAAGATGCTGAAAATTTAGCATTAATTTGAGCAGATGATTTAATCTCATTCTTTACAGCCCTGGCTGGCACTTGTCAGCAGTGAGTTTTAAAAAGATGTTACATGACATTTATAAGTTAGAAGCTGCATATGACTTTGATAATATCATGTCAGAAAGAATGACACAACTAAGTATATAGGGATCAAGTGGTATATAGTTGAGGTTTGTTTTTTAGATGTTGATTTTATCTTTTTTAATTTTCCTCAGAATAATCTTGGATGAAGCTGCTTTACATCTGTCTGACAAGTGTAATACTGTCACTATAAATTTGAATAGAGGTAAGAGTTTAAAAAGACCATAATTAGGTATAGATGAATGCTTTTTAATTGTTTTTGTGTGAATATCTTAAAGCATTTAACTCTCGAATAGTGAACTAAGGATTTTATGAAATGTTAGTTTGAAGTCGTAATGACCTTAAGTACATCAAATTATATATAATCTATTCACTGTAAGACAAATTTTGTTTCTAATGAAGTAAATTGTAGGATTTTTATAGGATGAAATTATATTTATGTTGCATATAAATATTTGTAGCACTGCCTATCATGAATTGCAGAGAGGTGCTAGTTTTATTAGGTGTTGGATAAACATTTTTTGAAAGCTATACTCAAATCCTGTATTAATTTTTAATATTTTAGATTATGTCCGGGTGATGGATATGGGGCTTTTGGAATTAACCATAACTGCAGTGAAATCTGATTCTGATGGAGAGCAAGTAAGTTACTAAAATAAATGGAAATTTTTAGTCGTCTTATTTTTTACTGGAGAGACTAAAAATGTATTGATTTTAAAATTATTTTTCCACTTATCTAGTTTTGGTCAAAAGTAGAGAAAATATTTTAAAATTAAGATTGAGTTATTATAAACACACATTTCCTGCGACAAATCAGATAGTCACGTGATACCTTATTTAATGTAAATGTATAAAACAAGGAAGTCTCTGTCTCGCTTGGAAGCCATTGCACCCTCTGCTCTGTGTCGTGTCCAGACGGGCTCGCGCTTTGAGCTGCACTGTTCCAGTGACATTGTGCACATCAGGACGTGCTCAGACTCCTGCGCCGCGCTCATGAATCTCATCCAGTACATCGCGAGCTACGGGGACCTGCAGGCGGCCAGCAAGGCGGAGGCGAAGCCGGGAGCCCCGCAAAGGAAGACCACGGTACAGTTGGCAGCGCCGTTAGCGCACACTCACCCCCTGCCCCGCTCCAGCGGCGTGAGTGACAGGTTTACATCAGCGCGGTCTTCATGTCGGTCATAAGGTAGAAGAGGAACGGAAGAATCACCTGTCTGCTCCTTACCTTCAGGGCGACGGGGTCTGGGAGGGTGGTTCCATGGGCCTTTTTGGAAGATCATTTTGCTGTTTGATATTCTTTGTTTCAGAACATTCAGTCATCTCAACCAACAGAATACTTTTTTTAGACTTAAGTTTTATTTCCATCTGTCCTGAGGAAATAAAGAAAATACTTGTCATGTAAGAGCTTGTTACATGCAAGTGGTATGTAAACATCCTTTGAGAAAGTAGATGGCAGGTGTTGCTATTACCAGAAGACTGAGTTATGTAACAGTATTTCCGTGTTTATCTGCAATACCCTCCAGTTTTCAGTGCACTTTCTGTGCTGCCCTTTTGCCCAGGGTGATACTGAGGTGAACAATGATTATCTGTGTCACAGAGGAAGGAGCTGAAATCTGAGAATTTATGTGATTTGCCGCAGTTAGTAACAGAAACAGCAACGAAACCCAGATATTTTGATTCCTGATTCAGTGGTTTCTTACACCTCCAAGAGCCACCTCCCTGCCCTCTTATGTCCAGATCGAACAGTGTCCTGTTTGCTCAGCACCTGACCATCTGTTGGCGTTTTTCTCTCTCCCCCAGGCCTCCCCTGGCAGCGGGGTGCTCCAGGCCCTCAGGCGTGGAGCCCCCCCCACCTGCCCCGCCCCCGCCCCGTGGGCCTGGCTGGCCTCTCACCGCTCTTTCAGGGTGACCTCACCCTTGGTTTTGAGGGACTTGTCTGCTTCTGGTCTCACTGCCGCGCTGGTCCCACCGGTAACGGGGGGACGTGTGACATGTCCCCTGCTGCTTATTCTCTGGAGACGTTCTCCAGTTCATTGAAAGTTATTTTAAATTATCCTTTTCAAAATGGATCTTTCCATCTTATTATATTATTTATATTTTGATTATTTTTTACTTTTTTATTGAATTCACTGGGGGAACATTGGTTAATAGAATTATATAGGTTTCAGGTGTATAATGAACACATCATCTGTATATTGTATTGTGTGTTCACCACCCAAAGTCACATCTCCTTCTATCCCCATTTATCCCCCCTTTACCCGCTTCTACCTCTCCCCACCCCTTCCCTCTGGTCTTTCCATTTGAGAGTCCTACGCACATTTAAAAGCATGGTCTGGATTGAATGAATCCACAGTTCACTAACCGGAATGGTTGAGCATCAGGGTTGGAATTGAACCCCATGAAGCACCATTTGGTAGATTTTCCCTCTTTGTGTGCCCCCACTGTCGCGCGGTATCTGTTTGTCCCAAGAGATGAGGCCGTGAGCTGCAGTGACTCGGTCTCAAAGGCCGGGAAGTCCGCGTCGCTGCAGGTGTGAGCAAGTTGGACTCTGCGGAGCAAGATCCTCTCTCCCCCAGCTTCATGGCCCCGTTTTTCACCTTCTCTCCCTTCTAATGTGTTGCCTCTTTGAGATCCCAGTTCCCTGGGATGACATTAATTTTATGCGGCAGCAGTTGTGAGGGTGCCCAAGATACTAAAACTCACGCTGAAAACGTCACAGCTGCTGGGCAGAATATAAAAACATGAAGGTGCTCCCGTGCCTGGTGCTTTTGTAAAGTGGCGTGTGTTTCTGGGACGACGTGCTGTTAACTAGTTTGCTGCTTAGAGCAGTTGCGGCTCTCTTTAATTGGTCCTTTTGACTGTAGGTAGACTCCGGCGGCCCGGCCTCCTCCCGCGGCCCGGTGCTCCCCGAAGCAGATCAGCAGATGCTACGAGATCTGATGAGTGACGCAATGGAGGAGGTCGACGTGCACCAAGCCGGCCACTCTGTGAAGCCGCAGGCGAACGGTGAGGCAGAGCGGGCTTCTCTCTGCGAGTGCTGCTGTTGTAGTCGAGGCTCGCGTTATTCCTGTCCTTCCCAGGTCTTCAGTGGGTGACTTGGTAAAGAAGGAACGAGTCTGAGTTTTGGCAGATACTTACTAGTCACTCAGCTTGTGTTCACTGAGTGTGTAGTAGTTAAGTAACACTGAACTGCTAAAGAAACCGACACTAAACCAGACTTGGAATCATTCAGAAGTGATAAAACAGGAAATACTTCAGAGTTATATATTGTAACTACTGTTCGGAAAGGATTGGAATCGGTGCTTTAGACTTTAGTGAAAGTGTGGTAAGTTGGCTTTTAAAAAGTGGATAGGACTGTCCTGACTGGCGTGGCTCAGTTGGTTGAGCGCTGTCCTGCAAAGCAAAAGGTCGCCTGTTTGATTCTGGTCAGGGCATGTGCCTGGGTTGTGGACCAGTTCCCAGTTGGGGCATGTGTAAGAGGCAAACGATTAACGTTTCTTTCACACATCAATTTTCTCACCCTCTCTTTCTCCCCACCTTCCCTTCTCTCTAAAAATAAATAAATAACATCTTTAAAAAAAAGTGGATAGGGCTTAGGTATGTAGAGGGGAGAGAGAAGTTATCTTGACAAGGTCATTAACATCAAGGACAAGGACAAAGGCATGTGGGGGCCCTGATTACCTAGCAGATCAGGCTATTCCCTTCTTATAGAAAAGAAAAAATAGACAATAAGGTTGGATAGACAGGGAGGAACCAGATGGGAAGCATCTAAGTATTTTGAAACATTTATCTGAAAAATACTTTTTTTCTAATTGGATGAATTTAGCTATTTCTATATGTGGTGAACTCTTTAATTATTAAAACCACTTTATGGTGTTATAAGACTTTAGCGTTAAATGTTGCATTCATTCTAAATTAGAACTAAGGCAGCAAATGGGAACCGTCAGGTTTCTATGTTCCACATGATTTATAATACACATTAGCAGCTAACCTACTATGTGGGGAAGACTATTTAATGACTATTTACTGAGCAGCTTCAATAGGCAAGATTCTGTACGAGGCCCTGGGCACTTAGCAAGGATGAGTAAGCTCAAGGTGCTGCCGCAGAAGGACGTAGAACCCGGCGTGTGGGCCTCTGGAAGCAAAGTGTCACTTTCATTCATCTACTGCTCTCAGTCCACATTAAGTGTTTGGTTTCAATGACTGAATAGAGAAGGACTTGGTGGGTGTCATATGAAATAAAATGTATACAAATATACGTTTACGTAGAGATTTTGGTGCAAATGCCCTCTTTTGTGAACTTCATATCTAAAGAGCTATCTGAGAACAGGTGTCCCATGTGGCTCAGAGTCGCCTGGAGAGGTGCTCAGCGCCTGCTGCCCTGCCCCTCCCTGCGCAGAGATTTCCTGTAGTTTTGGGTGAGGCTTGGCTGGGCACCGCCGGTTTCCGCGGCTCTTGTAATGCTGTCCGAGACGTCCCCTCCAGAGCTGTACTCACAGGCCAGAGCTGTTGGTGTGCCACTCTGGCTGGAACCAAGCTCCAATCCACGCTGGCCAGCTGCTGCCAAATTCCCGAGCCTCTCTAATGCCAAATAGCGAAGAGGAGACTGTCACTCCGGGAGACCATCATTTACTCTTTTCTTAGAGAACTTCAAACTTATTTTAGTCTTTTTATTCGTAGTCAGAGGATAATTGTAAGAAAACAACAGGGTTTTGCAGATGAAAGCTCTCAATGTAACGTGTCCCTGACACACGGTTCAGGTGCTCCCTCAGCATCGTTGTCGATGTTTCCGGACGTGCCAGAGCTGAGTGCTGTGGTCTTTCTCCTAGGCATTTTGGATGAAAAGTCTCCCGTTCAGGAGCCGTGTTGTTCAGACCTCTTCCTGTTTCCGGATGAGAGTGGGAATGCGTCCCAGGAGCCCGGCCCCACGTACGCCTCCTTCACCCACCACCTGATTAGTGACGCAATGACTGGTGTGCCTACTGAAAACGACGACTTTTGCATTCTTTTCGCACCAAGGGCAACCATTCAGGTAATAAATCGATAACATAATTGAGGCCTTATGATAGCGTTACAAATTGAATTGACCAAAGGCCTAAAAAGATGCTTTAGATTTTAACTCTTCATAGCTCAGAATTACTTTCTTTTATAATTTACTGCCGATGCTTTCTAAATGTTGGTTATGCACCACTATTCCTATGACAGATGACAGATCTCTTGAAGACTCAAAGAAGAATGACCTATACTTGTAGAATTTCCTTCATGGGTCATTGAGCTACGAATGTCGTGTGTAGTAAGGTTGCTGTTGAGGGCGGGGAGTTTCATGGCAGAAAGGGGTGCTGCATCGATTTGCTAGTCCCAGGACTAGGAAAGCGAGGATGTGGTTCGTGTGAAGGCTGAGGGCCAACCGATTTATACAATTTCTGTTTTAGAGTCATGCTCATGTTTGAAAAGCGCGGTCTGCTTTTAATGAGTCCCCAGTTCACTAACCAGAGTGGCTAAGCGTTGGTGCTAGAGCTTAGCCACTCCCATTCAAAATGAATCGCCATTTAGTGTGTATGTGTTTTAAACTGCCCAGTAGTAACTTAGTGGGTGAGCACACTTATTTGACTAAGTTCTGGGGAATTAAAAACATAAAAGCTACCACATTCAAGATGAACTCATTATTAGGAACATGGGAATTGGTCAGGATGTTGAAGGATGTCAGATTTGGAAGCCAGTATTGACTTTGAATTAAAGAGCTGTGCACAGATACACATGTGCATACATACACTTCAACACACACGCTAAGACTGTGCCTTTTTATCGTCAATTGCATAGTAAGAGCCACATTTCAGATTATAAAAAACCCTTATGAAGTGGTTTGCCTAGAAGAGAGCATCTCCTTTATGGTTAATAATGCAGAGTATCTTATGTGATGGTAAGTGTCAGTACTTACCCTGTTTTGTGTATTGAAACTGTGGAAAGAATGCAGAATCCAGAAGTGTCTGTGAGACCGGTGGCATCATCAGGGACTTTCACTGAGATAAGACAGCCTGCGCTGCCTGTTTCTTCCTTTTAGGAGAAGGAGGAAGAGCCCGTGGTGAAAATCATGGTGGATGACACAATCGTGATACGCGACAACTACTTCGGCCTGCCCGCTGGGAAGGCTGACGCGAGCAGGGCGCCCCTGCACTTCCCGCGGCCCGTGGTGCGGTATGTTGTCAAGGAGGTCTCTCTCGTCTGGCACCTTTATGGGGGCAAGGATTTCAGAACAGCTCCCCCGACTTCTCCGGCGAAAAGTTACATGTAAGTTAAATGAATTTCTGCATAAGTGTACTTGGCAGGGCAACATATTCTTTTTGTAGAAAAATACCTAGCATTTCTCATTTTAACAATTGTTAATAGGTGGAGACAAATGTATGTGAATAATAAAAAAAAGAATTAATAATAAAGTAGTATTAAAAAGCTATAATTTAAGTGTTACTCTTTACACATTAGTGTTAGAGTTTTCCTTTGTGTAAACTTGTTTGCATTTTTACTGAAATGTGGTGACTTAAGTGATTTCCATTCAGCAAAATTTTTTGGGTGCCTCTATGTGCCAGAGGCTGTGTAAGAGACATAGCCACCAACATGAATGTGTCCCGGACCCTGCCCTGCGTGCAAAAGGGAGAGACAGGAGTGTGAGCAGAGGGGGCGGGGACGTGTGCGCATCCGGAGGCTGGACCGTGCCTGCCCCCGAGTCACCAGCATCCAGCTGGGTACCAAGCAGAGTCCATGCTCCCGGAGTCTGTGGCAAATGGGGGTGTCACTCAGCGGGGCTGGGAGAGAACTCCATAGCGGGCCTGGGGGCAGGCCCGGCATTCTCGGTGGGGCAGGGAGCAGCAGGGAAGGCTTCCTGGGGTGGTAACCTTTGCCGCAACAGCATAGTGGCATTTTCAGTTTAAAGGTGATTTTTTAGATGCTGAGTTGACTGTAATTCTTTTCTGTATTCATTGGGATTTCTAGGACTTGTACTCTGACTGTAATGGGTTTCTGAACAAAGTAACAAGGAACAAAGTCCCATTTCCAGTCTGCCCTGAGCTGCGAACACCCACGTCACGGGTGGGGTTTCCTTCCGGCAGCCGGCTGACGGCCGCCTTCGTGAGGGCTGTGATGACACTCGCGGCCTCAGTGTCTCCAAGTGTCAGCGCTGTGGTTCGGATGCGTGGTCATGCAGCTCTGTGATCTTACTCTCTTTTCTTCATCTTGTTATTTTCCTGAGGTCAGTCATCACCTCTCTTTGAATATTTTTTTGACCAAAGTTTGTTTGTTGTTTTTCCGTTACAGCAGCCCCCACAGTTCGCCCTCTCACGCGCCCACCAGACATGGACGTAATACAGTCTGTGGGGGGAAAGGGAGGAACCATGACTTCTTAATGGAGATACAGTTAAGCAAGGTGAGACGGCGTTGTGAAAGGACAGCTCCGCTGAAGCAGGCGCGTCGGTGAGGGCTCAGCAGTGTGCCGCCCCCGCCCCTGCGTGCAGGCGTCGGCGCGCCCCTGGGGCCTGTTCCCGCTGAGGGTGCCGGGCCCCGGAGTTGCTGATTGGGCAGATCGGAGGCAGGGCCCACGCGTGGGCATTTTGAACGAGTTCCCTGGTGCGTCTGATAGTGCTTTTCCCAGGACTGTGCTTGGAGAGCCACTGCCTGGGGACTGGTCTGGGAAGGCCTGCTGTTGGCCGGCACGCATGTCTGGTCCTTTGGGAACGTCAAGGGACCAGTAGGGCCCGGTTCCCAGTGACATCGCGTGCATTCAATTCTGTCAGCTCGTCTGGGATGGTGCTAAGTGTCCTCTGGTAGCGTGTTTAACGTGGAAATAGGATGGTGAAGTCGGTTCCGTGTACCCAAGTGTATCCTTGCTTGCTTTGGAACCTGAACCCTGCTTTCATTGATTCATTTTCAAGCAGTGTCATAGGTATGCAAGATGATAGTTTCATGTCTTATTCCTTCTGAGGGTTTTGCTTGAAAAGAATAGGGGTTTTACCAAGGCCAGACAAGGTCAGGCAGTCAAGCTTGTCCTTGCGCGGCAGTGTGCACCCAGATCAGTCAGTAAGGGAGCAAATGAAGGGATGTCACCTTCTCTGAAAGTGGAATTGAAAGCTGAGAATTCAAAGACTGTGATGAGGGATGTTTTGCGCTGCAAAGAGGAAAGCCCGGTTGAAATAAAATGTCAAAATCGCCCTGTGCTCCTCTTCCTGTCCCCAAAGGTGAAGTTCCAGCATGAGGTCTACCCGCCGTGCACGCCGGACTGTGACCCGGGCCTGCTGGAGCACCCAGCCTCCCGGCAGGTGTTCGTCGTGCAGGACCTCGAGATCCGAGACCGCCTGGCGACCTCGCAGATGAACAAGTTCTTGTACCTGTACTGTAGTAAAGAAATGCCTCGGAAAGCCCATTCCAATATGGTGAGATTTTAGACTTTCTATTTCTTGTCATAGGAGTTTTAGAAAAGGGCTTTGTTATATCTAACTGCACAAGATTTAGACGGGAAAATTACTGGATAATTTTTCGCAGTTTAATATGAAAGTCTCTTTTAAAGATGCTGCTTAGAGTTTTATGGCTTAGAAATTATTTTGCTTGTCACTTCTAGGGTTAAAATTGTCCATATACTGATAATCTGAGGAAAACCAGAACTCCATAGCGATCTGCACAAAATCTTTAGTATTGCTGGAAGTGTTCCGATTTCTCGGGCTTTAAAAATTTTAGTGGAATAGCAGTGACCAGCTGAGGGCGTGCCCCCTGGGAATGTAGGTCGGTGGGTCAGCTTCAGGGGCTCAGCCGCCTCTAGGGGGCTGAGCGGACACTCTGTGCGTTTTCCCTCCGAAGAGAATCCCTGTCTTTCCTCAGGTCCCGGAGGGAGCGTGTGACCCAAAACAGTTGGATTCAGGTGTCTAAGGAAGGAGGGCGAACAGTTCCACTTTTTGTTCTAACATAGGGAATGGAAATGTCATGTTTTTTGTTCTTTTTAAAATGAGAACAAAGTCAAAGTATCATTGGGGGAAAAACGTCCTTCCCTTTTTTGTCTTGCAGTTGACCGTGAAAGCGTTGCACGTGCGCCCGGAGTCGGGCCGGTCCCCGCAGGAGTGTTGCTTAAGGGTGTCACTCATGCCGCTCCGCCTCAACATTGACCAGGTGCGTGCGGCAGGCCTCCTCCAGGGAATTAGCATGAAACACCTGCCCCTCATTCTGAAGGAGAGGCTTAATTCAGTAGCAGGAAATGCTTATTTAACTTCTATGGAAGTTGCATAGTTAGCACAGACTTCTGCTGGTGAAGAACAGGGCAAGTTTACTAGGCTTTTGGAATCTGAACTTCTGGTGAGTAAACATTCTTAGGTGTTATCCCCAGTCTCCCATTCGTTGTCTGCACGGTACTGCTCTTGAACCTGCTTCTCGTTGTATCTCTCACGTGTAGATATGCAGGGTTTTCAGAGCCTGAAAGGAATCCCTGCTATGTGACTGAAAGATAAAAAGGATTGTGGCTTAATCACACCTGGAAGACAATTCTTTCTGCCCTGGTAAAATGACAGATTAGTAAATTGGCACCTAAACAGGTCACAAAGAGCGGGGATTTATGGAAAGACATAAAGAAATCCACTTCCCTATATTCTAACAAGCATCTTATCAAATTATTCTGGGCTTTGCTTTGAGCCAGATTGCTGTTCAAAGTATAGCTGGAGCGTCTTCTGCGAACTTTATCCAAGATTGTGAACGTAAGCTGCTTCGTAGAGAGTGGTGCGAGGTGGTGGCGGAGAGCAGTGATTTGGAGTCAGGCCTGGGTGTGAATCTCAATTTCCTTTTTCTATTGGTGTGTTGGGGTAAGCTACTTAACTTCTCCAGCCTCACTTCTTCATAGATAAAACTCAAGAAATAGTAATACGTGTGGTATCACTCTTTTAAAAGAGGATTACAGGAGACTATGTAAAATGTTTAGCTTGGTGCCTGGCACAGAGTGTTAAGGATCACAGACGTTAAAACAGAAGCACATGACAACTGAGGAAAGTAAACGGGGTTTGGAAATGCTCTGCTTCGGAGATAAGGAGACCTCCGTCCCATCATGCGTGGGTGTGCACTCAGGACTTGGGAATGGTGTGTGTGTGGGGTGGTGGCATTATTTGTTCACCTAATATTGACTGGATAATGTTGCTTTGTTATTTAAATAAGTGACAGACATTTCAGGAATGATCTTAAATAATATTTATATCGTAAACAAAATATAGGCATGTCTCAGGGAACGTGTATTGAAACAGAACGTAGCACAGCCTGACGTTGCCGTTGGTGGTGTCTGAGCTGGGCCCGCCTCACCGGGTGCACTTTCGATCTGTGTCTTCTCGTTGTGCGAATATCTTTTGATGCCCAGGTTGTAATTTATCCACACACTGGCCTCGTAGGAACCGGGTGAAATGTTTATGGGAAATTTCATCTGTGGAAACCACATGTGAGCAAGAATTTGAGCAACGTACATCTTTATGGCCTGACTTCACCAGGCTTAGCAAACCCACTTTTCTTTAATAGACTTTTTTCTTTAATAGGAGCCTTGATTTCTTCTTTAGAACTATAAAGCATTGTGATTTTAAAATGGGGAACTATCAGTCTTAGGGAGAACAGAGAAGTGACGGTTATGGCGGCACTGGGGAGCAATGAGATGGTGCCCCAGGGTGCACGCGCAAGCCGCCAGCCGGTCAGTCTCGGGGAGGCGTGTCACCCGGACAGAGTCTCCCTGGTCTGCGTCTTCTAAGAGCGACACACTGTGTTTTGAGGAAGCAAATGGTCATCTGAATAGAAAACCAAATATTTGTGTTCTTCCCTTTTTGTTTTGAAAACCAATCGGTGGATGAATAATAATGCTCGGAGTAATATTTTTTCTTACCAAGCACACCTCTGTTTATCTTCATTGGCCCATAGGCAGTAAGTCTGAAAGCAACACATTGTTTTCTCTTTAAAAAGCTGCATTGCTGTTGAATTTCAGTGCAGTTGTTCCCAAAGCTCAGTTGTGCCCACAGGGTAGGCAGGAAACTGGGCAGAGGGAGTGATCTCCTAAGAAGATGATGGAGGTCATAGAGCCAGGCAGTTTGGATTCAAATTAGGAAGGGGGCAGGTTTCCTGACTCTCCTAGTCTAGTGTTCACTTTAGAATCGCACTGCCTGGAAATCCGTGTGGGGAAGATGTGCTAATTCATTCCAAATCCTTTGCCGAATGCTGGCCTCATCCCAGTTCTGTACTTGGGTGCTGGGCATATAAAGATGAATAAACACCTTATCCTCGAAGGCCTCTGTGTGTCGGGGGAGGGCTTCACACCCGTGGGAAGTACGAACGATAGAGGCAGGCTCAGGGTGCGAAGCCCCACCAGGAGAGGGCTCCCGAGCCAGGCCCGGGCTTTGAAAGAGTGAGCGGTCGTCAGGAAAGGCCTTCAGGAGGACGTGACGCTCAGGTGGGTCGTAAGGGAGGCAGTGGGTTGAGCCACGTCACAGCCTTTGTGAAAGCACGAGGGCCTAATTCAGGTCACAGATGAGATGTGCGGCCGTTCGGGTAGGATGGTAAGTAAGCGCTCAGCTGAGGCTGGAAACCACGAATATGTAGCAGGACCAGTTTGCACATTTGTGGGTTTTCAGCATCATTGCTTAACTGCCAGAGTATGAGACTGAAAGTAATGCTGTTAACACTTTGTCATATCGTACTGTTAATATCCTCTATCATAGGAACTTATAAAGCTAGGCAGAAGTATTCTATAGTCCAAGTTTAGCATAAATAATAAACCAAGTTTCTAAGTTCCACCACTGCGCTCATTCCCACCACCATAGGTCAGCTCTTACCACCGCACGGCTTCGTGTAAATGGGATCGTGACAGCGTCCTTGGCCTCGTGCGCGTGGGAGTCCTCTCCGCTGCCGCTCGCACTGGCAGCCTCTTCACTTTTACCGCTGGGCGGTATTTCGTTTTCTGGGCGCGCCACGGTTTGTGTGTTCACTTACTTACTGATTTGCACTTAGGTGATTTTCTTGTGCCTGGCTTTGATGAATAAAGCTGTTGGAAATTTGCGTACAAGTCTCGTTACGGACACATGGCTTCATTTTTATTGGGTATTACACGCAGAATTTCCGGGCCGTAGTGTAGATGAGTGTTTAACTACCATGAGGAACAGACAAACCGTTTTCCGAAGCGGTCGCTCCGCTGTACGTCCCTGCCGAGGAGCATGAGAGCTGCCGCTCCTTCACACTCCGCACGAGCCTGGGGTTGTCTTTGTAATTTTAGCTGTTGTCCTTGGTCCTCGTGCCGGCTGTACTTTGGGGTTCCCTGATGACTAATGATGCTGAGCGTCTTTTCACGTGCTTATTTGTCATTTGTTTATCTTCTTTTGTGAGGTATCTCTCTGTTGCTAGTTTTAAATTTAGGTAATTTCTCTTATGACTTGTAAGGAGTTTAACATAAATACCAAGATCTAAAATTTTAAGGACATTTTGAAAAGCTTATGATTAGTATCCCTTTGTCTGTTGTTCTGTGCATTTGTAGCAAAAATGGGTAAACCACTTCTTCAATCTTCCTTTTTTTTTTAAAAAGTACATTTATACCTGGAATTTTCTCTCAGTTTTTTGAAGGCAGTCATGGAAAAAGCATAGCATTAAAATATCACCATCTAGTGGCCAAAGTATAACATTTTATATATTATTAACTTTGTTAACAACTAATATTTGAGAGATATATACATATACATATATAGCAATATATAATGAATACATGTAAATATATAAAATATATAAATATACATGTGTAAAGCATAATGAATAATCCATGAATCCTTTACCCTACTGCAGAACCAGAGTATTTCCAATACTCTTGAAACTACCTGCTTGTTCTTCAGTCCCATCTGCCACGCTACCTAGAAAGATACCTTTCTAACCTTTATTATTTATACGTCTGATAAATGTGATCAGTAGTCAGTCAGATTCTTTGGAATTGCCAGTCAGATATTTGTGTGCAACCAAACATTGTGACCCTGTACTTTACCTTCACATTGCATTTTGTTTCAATGTTCATGTCCTATATTCACTTAGAATTTTTTAAGTGGAAGGGAAGGGTAGAGAAGAACAGGCTCAGGCATTTCATTTTCATATTCTTTAAAATGTATTTGTCAGTTTGGGTGAGGTAGACAAACTGAGGCCGCTGATAATGGGCAAGTACGGCTTGCACCTACAACCTCAAGAGATCCGAGCCCGCTAAGGACCATGTGTTAAGGCGGCCTAACACACGTGGGAACGGGCCAGGCGCCTGTCAGTACCCAGGACATGCCAGCTGCTCTTGCTGTCGGTAGCATCACACCGACAACGCGGGCTGAGAACCGAGGCCGAATGACAGTGAAAATGCTGCGTGTCCAAGAAAAGGAAGATGGGTTTTGATTTAGAACTTCTCTGTGTCTTAATTTTCACACACATAAGTTAATTTTCTCCTAGGCAGCGCCTGTAAATGTCCGTGTGCGGGGGGCCCTGGAGAGAGAGGGGCGGGGAGAGTGGGAGCGTCCGGCGCGCAGTAAGGGCTCCATAAATTACAGCTCTCTGTGGATCGGTAGTTAAAATACGGACTTTAGGGTACTTTGTTTCCAAAATTTAGAAATAGATGTACCTTTTTCCCTCCTTTTACTTATAATTACATCTCTTAATTTTAGGACGCCTTGTTCTTCCTGAAGGATTTCTTCACAAGTCTCTCTACAGAAGTAGAGCTTCTAATGGCTCCCGATCCAGAAGGTACTAAACATGTAGTTGAAAAAGTCTGTAACAAGGACTTGGATTTGGTTATGAGGCCTTTTGAGAATGTACTTATATATAGTCTTCATTTTCATTTATATAAATGTGTTCTGTGTTTATTATTTTTGTTAAATTATGCAAATGTAGTTTATGTAGAAGTAATCATTTAAAAGGTGAAAGTCAATTTTCTCTGTAGCAGTTGATTGTGTTTATTAAATGAAATGTAGCAAAACAAGCTCCATCTCGACTGATTTTAATGGCTACTCCAAGGAAGCAAGCATACCCAAGTTTTCAAGTGTGCACATTACCTTTTCAGTTAAAAAGTCTCCCGGGTCCGACGTCACCTGCAGTTTGCCAAGGCACTTAAGCACCTCGAAGGAGCCGAGTCTAGTTCTTTCTTTCCCTGGGCCAAAGCAACCTTCCCGGAACGAGAGTGCCAGTTCCGCGGAAGCGGTGAACGGGGAGGAAGAGAAGGGCTTCTCGGCGGAAGAGGCGTCGTTTAGTGACCAGCCTGTGTTTTTTAGGTAAGTCCTTTGAATTTGATCAAGTGAAGCTCTTCCAGAGTTTTGAAGATTGCTCTTTCCCGTGTCTGCCTACGGTGGCCAGGAGGGCACGTCGGCTTCGCTTTGCGCTGCCGAGCAGTCCGCCGGGGCTCCGTGTTTGTTCACGGGGGTGCCACCGAACGTCCCGCTCTCGTTTTGCACGCCGTGACCCTGGTTGAGGATTCACCTCTCTGCTGGTCCTGTCGCAGCAGTTTCCGTGTCCTCCGAGCTGCTGCTCTCTCCCCTCTTCTGGTCCTGCTCTTGCCAGTCGCGCAGTGGCCCCTGTGAGCCGCCTCCAGCGCTGCCGTCCTCCTCCTGTCCTTCACCCACCCCAACGCCCACGTTCTCCCGTTTTTCTTCTGGGCGTTTCCCGTCTAGCTTTCCCAGTCCGTCCTCCCCCATCGCAGCCGGGTCCTTCCCGACCCCTCCCTCCGTGGATAAGCTGGCGCTGCCGGGGAGCCCAGGCTGCTGCGGCCAGCCCCGGCTGCCCTCCCGCCCTGGAGCGTGCCCTCCTTTGCTGGGCGGCTTCCCTGGTCTTCTGTGCTCCTCTCCCATCGACCTCAGTGGTCCCCAAAGTCTCTCTTTGCCTCTAAGTTCTGAGCTCAGACTTTGGCCCAAAGTGAGCACTATAGCTATTTTTAAAAATGTATTGATTTGAGAGACAGAGAGAGGAAGAGGGTGGCGGGGGGTCGGGGAGAGAAAGAGACAGAGAAACGTTGCTTTGTTGTTCCACTTATTAATGTCTTCACTGGTTGCCTCTTGCATGTGCCCTGACCAGGGATCAAACCCACAGCTTTGGTGTATTGGGATGAAGCTGTAGGCCACTGAGCTACAAGGGCAGGGCTGCAGTATAGCTAGTTTTTAAGTGTTTTTGTTTGTGTTTTAATATGTTGGGTGCTGATGAAAAAGCCCCAGCGTGTGACCGTTGGAGAGGCCCGGGCACAGACGACAGCTGGTGGTTCCCAGCCTTCCCGCCGTGAAGGACGGGCCTCTCTTACTCCTGTCCCGCCTCGGCCGTTTTCCTTTTAAACACTTTTTCCACCAAAAAAATTGTGTATTCTAAGTTTGCATTTCCATTTTATACTAATCACATATAAACCACCAATTTGGTTTTTGTAAATACTGGAAAACCGGTACAAAAGAAATGGAAATGTTGAAGAAAGGGCCCCGCCCTGTCCTTGTTGAACACTGAGCATATGCACGCCACAGTTTATTCTAGGCACAGCGAACAAAGTAGAGAAAAATCCCTATTTAACTGGACCTGAAAATAATGAAAACACAGGCGTTGTCCTGTGCCGTGCTGTGGGGGAAGAGGAGTGAGGGAGGAGGAGGCGGGCAGCCAGGGCTGCTGCTCGCAGGACCCGGCGGGGACCCGTGTTCGGGCGGCGAGAGGCGGCCCCGGGTCAGGCTTCTCGTGCCGACGGACGTGAATACAGCGTTTGCTTTGTACTGTAGGTTCAGTCCTCTTTGAGGGATGGTTTAGGAGATAATCACCAACCTTAATTCTGTAGGAAAAGTGTGTTTCAGGTTCCAGTTTACACTCCAGCGTTGGAAGCCAGCTGCTTCTGCCTGACGTGCGCCATCACTGTATGCAATGCCATTTTCAAAACTCCCAGTATTTTGATTTGATAGCCTGTATACAAGCTTTAATCTCAAGAATGCTCACTAAGCCCTGGCTGGGTTGGTCAGTGGGTTGGAGTGTTGTCCCGGTGGACACCAAAAGGTTGCAGGTTTGATCCCCAGTCCGGGCACAGGCAGGAGGCAACTCGTCGATGTTTCTCTCTCTCCCTTTCTCTCTTTGTCTCTCTGAAATTAGTAAATATATCCTAGGGTGAGGATTAAGAAAAAAAGAATGCTCACTAAAGCTCACCAATGTAGGTGGCATTTAAAAAATTTATTGACAAAGACATTCAGGCTCACCGGTGTTAAATGCCACGTCCATGACGGCTTCCTGCGTGGCTGAGAGAACTGGGGCCCAAGTCCACTCCTCCTGGCTCCTTCTGCTTCATAATGGAGCCGAGAACAGATTCCTCACCTCCTTTCTTTTTACTTTTTGGTAATGATTATATTATTTGGTTTAATCTTAAAGGTTGCTTTTATTAATTTGCTGTCTCTATGAATCGAGAATATCTGCCAGAATAAAATTTTTCTAAGATGAACATCATTTAGTAAACTAGAAAAAGGTTTTTATGAGAAATTTTAAATATAATAAAATACATATGACTTATAAGATGATCAACATTGATTTAGCTGTTATATTACCTTAAGAAAATGTAAAGCCAAAAGACATTCTCTTTTATTTATTCTTGGTTTTGTTTTTATTCTCCAGTTGAACAAATTAATTTATACCTAATTAACTATTAGTAATTTGAATACCAATAACTCCCCTCCTTTCTTTATCTTCAGAGAATTTAGATTCACATCAGAAGTTCCTATTCGACTTGATTATCATGGCAAACATGTATCAATGGATCAGGTTTGGAAACTTTGTATAAATATACTCTACAAAATTATCTCATTTGTTTTTCTAACAGACTCAGTTAAAACAATTAAAAACAATTAAAAAATTGTTTTTTTCTGTCATAGTTTTATATATGAAATAAAGTACAAGGTTTTTAAAAATTTAATTCTTTTTTTAAACTAAATTAAATACCATTTGCTTAAGAACCCAGGGTAATATTTGATATAAATTGGGTCATACCTATTATAAAATATGTATTGTTTTGCTGTAAATATTTTAAGTGTTTTAGCTTCATTAATAAATATTACTTTGATTGCAAGCAACACTCTGTGGCAGATGATCAAAACTGTCTGACACAATTTGAGCTTGCTATAGTAACAGAGTCTGACCTATTCCGGCACTCTCTCTTCTATGAGACAAGCCGTTATATAGACTTAGACAGTGCTCCAGGGAGAAAAAAAAAATATTACTTTGACTTTCTCATATAATAACTATTTTAAATGTTGAGTCTCTCAATTTACAGATTAATGTGGCCTCTTTCTTTGCATTTTCAAGGGCACATTAGCTGGGATTTTGATCGGCCTGGCCCAGTTAAACTGCTCGGAGCTGAAGCTGAAGAGGCTCTTCTATCGGCATGGGTGAGCTGCTTCATCATGCGGGGCTTGGGGGTGTAGTTGCTAAAGTCAGTTTACAACGAGGAAAAAAGGAGTTTTCTGAGCAAGCATATGTAACAGTTTACAGCACCGTTTGCAGAGAGCTTGTTTTTAGAGGATCCTTACTGAGATTTAGCCTAAGAGTAGAAGTAATTTGAGCAGAGTAGTCTTTTTCAAAAACAGCTATAGTTATATTTGAAGTAATATCCAAAGATTGTAAGTCAGCTTATTTAGTGAAAAGACTGAAGTTCACAAGGGGATGGGTCATAGCAGGTAAGAACTGCACGGTGGTTTAGAGATGTTGAGTTGGTCCTGGGCTGGGGTTTTGGATGTTCAAGAAATAAGAACAGTAGTAAAGTGCACTTAATGTGTTGCCTGCACCTTTCAGAAATTATTAATGTCACAACTGGGCCATATATGTGTGTGCATTTATTAATATGTATGTATATATTCAGATTGAGCATCTATAATACTGTGTCCTTGTAAACATAAATTTTCTTCTGTGTTAAGTAAAAATATCCCCCAGGCTTATCTAGAGCTATAAATTTCTTTCTTCTTCCTATATACTAATAGTCCTTTGCTCTAGTTTGCTAGGTGTTGACAAATTATTCTCCTATGCAATCACTGAATGGCTTACTGACATTAAGAAGAACCAGCTGCCAGGAATCCTGGGAGGTGTTGGGCCCATGCACTCCCTAGTCCAGTTAGGTGAGCTTTCTTTTTTTATCAAAAGGTAAGTTATTTTACTTAATCTGTGAAAGGTAATCTTTTCGGGTCATGCGTACCTTTAAGAGTCTGTGTGAGGCGCATCTTTCTAGAAAACCTGCCTTTGTAGTCCTCACGAAACTCCGCTTCCCCTTTCGGGGGTTGAACGCCCCGGGCTGACACGCGCGCGGAGAGCCGCGCTCCAGCCCTGCCCTTGACCGCTGCACATCGACTGTCGTCCTAGTGCAAGGCCTGAAGGACTTGGTCTGGCTGCCCATTGAGCAGTACCGGAAGGACGGCCGCATCGTCAGGGGGTTCCAGAGAGGCGCCGCCTCCTTTGGCACCTCGACAGCCATGGCTGCCCTGGAACTCACCAACAGGATGGTCCAAACCATACAGGTACCTCTCCACGGGCACCTGATTCCACGCAGAGGGGAACCGCAAAACAGTTCCCTCATTTTGTTTTTAAAACGATACTGTGAACATATACAGAATGTTGAGAATAGATATTTTATTTGCAATGATTTAATATCATGCTTTTTAAATTGGTTATCCAGTGTTGAAAAGTTAGTAGAATTAGTGGAATATAGTGTCAAATTTGTTTGCCTATTTCTGGTAAATTATAACCATTAAGTTACCAAGGATTTATTTCACCACACTAAATGAAAAGATCATAGCTAAACGGAAAGAAGGCATTACGGTACAAAGCGTACTTGTGTGAAGCTTTGTCATGTTAAGTATTAAGCCCCAGCTGGCCCTGCGCAGACTGTGCACCCCTGCCTGGTAACAGGGGACCTGTCCTTCGAGGACAGAGCGGGGACGCACAAATCAGCTCGACCGAGTGAGTGTTGAATGAACACTTAATGTTCCTACTACAAAAGCAGTACATTCTTGGGAAGAGTTCACACACGGCAGAGGTGCCCTGGGAGGGCGCGGGAGCCCCTCTGTCCCTCCCTGTCGCTGTGGGAAGTGAACGCTCGGGCCATCCTGCCAGATTCTCCCGAGTCATTTCTTACTTCCTATAAAACACCCTAGGCCGCGGCCGAGACTGCTTATGACATGGTGTCTCCTGGCACCCTTTCCATCGAGCCCAAGAAGATGAGACGGTTTCCTCATCACCGCCTAGCCCACCAGCCGGTGGACCTGCGGGAAGGTGTGGCCAAGGCCTACAGTGTTGTGAAAGAGGTAGGTGACACTTGAGTGGGACAGGCCGGAACTAGCTTCCTTGCCTCTCCAGACAGCGGTCAGCGCTGGTGTTCATCCCAAAGAGCCCCTGGCAGTGGGTTCGGAAGCCCCCCAGCGGTGGGGCAGACGTGTGGGGCAGAGGCCTGCCTGTAACTGCGGGTGCAGGTTTTCCCCCCACCACGTGCTGGCCGGCAGGAGTGCCTCGGGCAGCCGTTGAGCTGAGAGAAGTAGCCTCTGGGGCCCCAGCGCGGCGGGGGGCAGGAACCTTACTGAGGCAGGGCCCCCAAGAAATGTGGGGTGGACAAGTAAAGGCAAGACCATGGGTCTCTTTTTTTGGAAAGGGAGTCAGTCGGGAGAATAGAGAGGTGATTAGCAGTCAGACCTGTTCCTGCAGGGGCGGGATCGGGCGTTCCCAGGGGACATGTTAGAAATCAGGTGTGTGGACGTGGCCTGGGGCTCCGGCGGAGCAAGGTGGGGGCAGCGCGTTCCCATCTGCAAGGTGCTTGCTTGATTTCATCTGCATGCATCTTAGAATCCATATTTGCCTGCTTATTTGGTGCCAGGTGGTTTTCCTCGCTCCGAGACGGGGAGGCAGGCACCGCAGGCATGGCCGCCCCTGCGGCCCGCGGTGGCAGGGGCGGGCAGGACAGGACCTGGGGGTTGGGCCTCAAGTGCGTTAGTTCTCTGTCTCTAAAGCTGCCAGCGGGAAGGTGGAGGGGGGAGCAGGGAGCAGGGCGGGGCTGGCAGGGTGTGCTTGATGGGGCTGAGTCTGAATTCTGTATTAAAAACCTTTTTAAATAGAGGTTCCTAAATGGTGGTAAATTATGTTAATATTAGGCAGTTACAAGAGAGATGAAAAATGCTACCAAAGCTTCATTCCTAATTATTAAACATGCTCCTGCTTTATGTTCTCAGAATTTCCTCCGTTTAATTCAATAAAATGTTCTGTTTAGCCTTTTATCTTAATTGAATGTTCCACAGTTATCTTCGTAGTGCATAGTCAGTAATTTAAAACAAATTAAATAATATCCTGGAGCTTCGTAGAGTCAGGTTTTCTTGTTCCAGTTGGATCAGAGGAACTATCACCATATTCCTGCAGTGATTATGTTTGATCCAGAAGCTTCGTTGCTGTTTGACTTAAACCGGGGGTGGGAGGGTGGGGTGGGGGGGGATTGGTGGGGCCGGCAGACCTGCCCTTGGACCCTTCAGCACCTCCCTAGCCCTCCCCCTGCGCGACTGAGGGTTAGCGGCGTTTCCTGCACTCAGTTGTCACAACAAAACACTCAGTCATACTGATTCCCTCTTACCCCTCCTTATAATTAGAATTTTGCCATAAAAGTAATTACCCTGGGTTATCTCCAAAGCAGTTGTTTTGGTCTACTTATCAAAGTGTTGAGTAAATCCACAGAAGTGTGTGTTCTGGGATAACGTGGAGTTTTCCGACCGGTGACGGACTCCCCTCTCTGCCGCCCCCTTCAGGGCATCGCGGACACGGCTCACACCATTTACGAGACCGCGGCCCGCGAGCACGAGAGCCGAGGGGTCACGGGGGCCGTGGGCGAGGTCCTGCGCCAGATCCCGCCGGCGGTGGTGAAACCTCTGATCGTTGCCACGGAGGCCACATCCAACGTGTTAGGAGGCATGAGAAACCAGATGAGACCGGACGTCCGGCAAGACGAGTCCCAGAAGTGGCGCCACGGGGAAGACTGACGCTTCCGATGCGACTCCCGGCAAGGACGAGGGTGGAGCCAAGGAGCTGAGCGTCCCAGGGGCAGCTTTAGAGGGAACCCACGTGATTTCATTGTGCTCATCTCAGGAACAAAGGCATGTCTTAGTTAAGTAACTTAATGTCCCCAAAACGTGCAACCAACACTTCTGCCATTTTAGGGCTAGTTTGGTACTTGCCTGTAGAAACGTTTGATGGCTGGTGTCAAAAGTCCTTAGAACATTGCTGCCAAGTTAGTGGAATGCTTGCTTTATTAAAATGACTCGACCTCTCCCAGCTGCAGGCGCGCTCTCATTGGAGACCCCCTTCTTGGCACAGAGTGCTCAGAAATAGTCGGGCCCTTGGAACGCGCTGCTTAGGCTGCTCCGAGGAGGTGCTTTTTCTCAAGGTTTGAAAAGAATCACAGCTTCGAAACGTCCGTGGAGAATGAGAGCGCCACAGGCAGAGCCGAGCTAAGAGGGTTTTCCATGTGAGAGTCAGTGAGGGATGAATAGCCGAGCCTGTCGGGTGCCGTGTTCATGCCCTGAGAACACACTGCGTCCCATGCTCAGACCGTCCCCCGGGGAGGGGGGCGGCAGCGCCGGACGTGCTCCGTAGTGCTGCACTTTATCCTGTGTGTGTGTTTCTAGAGTCGTACGAATCATGTGCTGTCTGTCTCCTTTATGTACTTCCACAAGGGATACACCAAATACAGAAAGAGTCAGTCTAAAAGTTTTTGGCCAAGGAAGGAAACTCAAGTGTAATAATTCTCATTTATTTGAAGTGTAACTGAAAATGCATTCTCTGATGAGCTGGGGCCCACACAGTTGTTTATATGTTCAGTTTTAAGCAGTCATAGTGCTTGTTGGGAATGTGTGGAAAGGGAGAGTGGAAGTGTTTTTACGCTTTTAAATTAACCAAAAATCCTCCAAATTTGCCCTAGTCAGCTATTTCGAAGTACCATTTTTACCTGGTTAACAATGTACATTTTGATAACCTGTCAGGAATGAATAAAGTATTTTTATTTAAAGGTAAAATTGTTTTATGCTTCCATGAATATTTTGCTTTTCTTAGAGCATATTCATAGATGCAATACTCTGATTTATCCCGAGATACTTGGGAACACTTTCTCAAAGTTGATTTTGGTTAATAGCAAGTAAATCATTCCCTAGGAGTGAGAGGGAAATTGTTCTCAAGTACTCAGCCTCCGACTTGAGGTTGATCTAGCGGGAAGGAAGGGCAGGACTTTGCATTCATCCACTGTGGAAGGTTGCACAATGACATTTTCTGCAGTGGGGGGGATATCATCGAGGCGAACTTAGATTTCAGAACCACATTTCAGTTTGGGGTTTGGAAAATGATGTTGAATCAGTTTCATTCTCTAAATATTGTAAACAAGACAGTGTAAACCAAAAATCTGAACACTTAGAATTTTTAAAAATTGTGCTAAATAACGCTTATTATTATTTTGTTTCCTTTTTACTGCTGAAAAGCTTACAAGGGCAGTGCTCAGAGGAACGCCCTGTGTGAGTATCACGGGTGCCTGTACGGCTCTGTCCCCGTCCAGGGAGCCTGTGCAGACGTGGTCCCAGGGAACACGGCCTCCTGCCTGTGGGGGCCCCTCGACTGCCCTGCCCCTCACCCCCGGGGCCCCGCCTCCCTCACAGCGGAGCACCCCGGGCGTGCTCTCCCCAATGCTGACTCACACTGACAAGCCCTGGGTCACACTGGAAAACGTGAAATCTCTTTAACTTTTAAATAGATTCCCCACAGTCACAGGAACTGCTTAAGTTGAAAGAGATAGAGGGTAGGGAGAAAGAATCTTCTTTGTACTATGAGCTGCACATGGACCATCTTTTGACAAACTAGGCTTATACACCACCCCCCCAAAACCCACCGTTGTGGCGCAGTCCCCACGTTTGCTCTGCTCTGCCTCCCGCGCCAGCCGCTGATGGAACCTGGGTTTGGGACCGAAGCCTGCGTCTCCAATTCAGCGTCAGGGGCCTGTTCATGGCCGTTGAACCAAGACGCTCATTAATGGAGGCGTTGACGTGTCTGTATTTGCACACTTCCACTGTCAATTATCCTTAATTTTTTTTCTTTTTCAAAAGTGCCTCATCAGACTGTTACGTTGTGATGACACAGTAAAAAGGGTGCTGGGTGGGATCTCAGGTGGCCAGATCTGTGACTTACCACACGGACGGCTTGGCCAAGACATGTAATTTCTCTAAAGCTTGGTGTCCCTTCTCTGTAAACAAAGGGGTTCCTGAGAGCAAAGCCCAACAGATTTTCAGATGATGAGGGTGTGTGCGCATGTGTCTAAATGGTGGCACAGGCGTGATGCTCAGTAGAGTGCCCCAGCCCTGTGACACCTCAGACGGGCGCACAGTCCCGCGAGAGCACTGGTTACATGGCGTACAATAGCCAGGGGCGCCTTCAGATCTCGGCTCGTTGAGAGTGTTGCATCTCCGAGCAGCCGCACTGCCCGCGAGGCTGCTCTTGGTGTGGTGCAGGCGGCGTGTGCCTGCTTGTGGCTGCGCAGAGGCTGTGTGGGCGTCTCCCCGAGGAGTGCGGGTAAGGGAGCCGGCCCAGGGCCCTCGGGGAGCATCAGCACCCGAGGGCGCTCAGCGCTCGGGTGGGACCGCCTTCCGTCACAGCGGCGGCCGGGGCCGGGGCCGTGTCTGCTCCTAAACAGGGCTGGTGTGGGTCTCCCTTGTCCCTTCAGTCTGTCCCTAGATTCCTGTTATTTACAGGTAGAATGTCCACGCAACATTTGCCCTTTAAGATAGATAGGACACAGTGGTTCTTCTACACGTCATTGCAGTGGACTTTCATTTTAATAAAGTTTGGTTCCAACTGGGATTCCCACTTAAGCACATATTTAACATCAACATTTTTATAATGCAAAACTCTCTTAAAGAAAAAAAAACAACTTCCCAAGTAACAGAGTGTCTACAATAGCAAAAGCACTAAAAACCAGTGTTTCCTCCCTCCTGATATGTGTCAGTTTTAAATGCTATTAAAATATGTCCTGGCTGGTATGGCTCTGTGGATCGAGTGCCGGCCTGCAAACTGAGAGGCTGCTGGTTCAATTCCCAGTCAGGGCACATGCCGGGGTTGTGGGCCAGGTCCCCAGCAGGGGATATGTGAGGCAACCGATGGAGGTATCTCTTGGCGCATCAATGTTTCTCTCCCTTCCTGCTTCCCTCCCCCATCTGTAAAAATAAATAAATAAAAATTTAGAAAAACAAAATAGTTCCAGCTTTTAAGGGACTTAAAAAGTTTATTTTTATTTTTATTAAAAGTAAAAAGTTATTACTCTTTAGCCATCTCCTTTAATAAGGGGGTCCCGTAGGTCCGCCGCCTTTGTTCAGCGGCAGGACAGCCCAGCAGCCCCGCCCCTGCTGTCTGGCTGGCCCGGGGCGCCGTGTGCCCCCACCGGAGCGCAGCGAGAGCAGGCAGTGTTGAGGTTAAGCTCTTCAAGACAGGGAACTGACACTTGGCACCAAGTGGGTTCAGGGTTCATAATTCCCTGTGAGCATTTATTTCAGTGTTGTATATGTACAAAGCTGGGGACTGGGCCCGAGTGAAGTCCCTTAACTTGGTGTCGGTTTTCTTACACATGCGTTGGATAGAGTTCCTGTGAATTGTGGGGAGCGTGGCAGGGTCTGCGGGCTAAGCTGAGCAGTCTCACTCCCTGTTTTCCTCTTGACCTGCTTAAGACTTTGGAGAGAATGTCTATGAAGCTGAAGTTTCTTGAAAGTAAGGCACTAAGCAAACATGAAGTGATACTCTTACACCTGCAAGTGCCTCAACTTGGATGTACCAGCTGATATCAAACAGAAAAAAATCAAATATACATTTGTGAGTCTTAGTTTAAAAAGGAAGGTTATTTGTATCGTGTATCGATAATGAAGGTGAAAACAAAGATTTGTTTCCATTACCAAAAAATCTTATTTCTGTTTATGGGAAAATAGTCGTTTTATATAAGAATAATTGAGTGCTTTAATGCTAATGTACTTGTATCTGACTATTTTCAGGATCATGCTAGGCACCCTGATCCCTTTCATAGGTTATATGTGCACAGTTGCCAGTCAGCCAGTTTTAACCAGAAGTATTTTCCTTTCATTGTACTTTCTGCAAATCAGAGGTAGAAAATGTCGCCTAGCACATGACCTTGATGGGCTTCTCTTGGGATGAGGAATTCAAGCGAGTTTCAACAGTTCATAATTTGAAATATCAGCAATTTTTAAGAACAGAGGTGTTCAATATTTTCACCTCCTGTAGCTACTGGGGGCCCCTGGGTTTCAAGCCTGTTGCTTCACAGGAAGCACCAGGGATTCCCAGAGATGGCGAAGGCGATGCGGTCCCACCCCGTGGCATCTCCGATGCTTGGCGCGGGGGACATAGCAGCCCCTCTCTTTAAAACAATGTTTACTTCGCTGTTTCCCATGTCGTTTGTGTGTATGAAGCGGCAGCCTCCGATTTCCAGTTGCATTTGTCTTACATTGTAAACCTTGCCAGTTACACGGGACTTCGTTTGCAGAATTTGGCAGGGGCGCCATGCTCAGCCCTTACGTTAACCCACCCGCACTTGTCTCGGGCGTTGCCTCAACCCCACCACACGTGAACAACACGCTGTGTATGTTGGCTGTCATTGCTACGCTTCCTGATTAATTACAGATGTGACTACTTTAAAAGTACCGATGCTGTACAAGTATTTTTGTGGAAAATGTAACTTGTGACTATTGAAAATATGAAATTAAGAATACTCTTGAAGAGAATTAAAATATTTACTCTTTGGAGTTTGCTTTAAACTCTATTGTCTTTTGCCAAGAACCGTTCCCAAAGCCTGTACCTGATGCTTTTGTCGGGGAGGGGGGAGGGGGAGGCCTGAGCTAGACACGGCTGCAGGGAAACGGTGTCCCCACAGTCCTGCTACTGCCGACGGCAAACGTATCTACTTGCCGCCCACTTCTGAGACCCATAAGGCATGTGCAGTTAAAATTGGCCACTCTAAGCCCCTTTTAGATATGAGTCACCGTTTTAGCTTTCCTACAATATAGACTTGTGGCCAACGAACTCATCCTGTAGGTTTGCTCATAGGGACCTACATAAATGCTTGATAAATGTGTTTTATTTGGAGGAATATTTTTACTTATAAAAGGAACATTTAAAAGAAATACTTACCTCTTTAAAAAAAAGTTTTTATGAGTTTATCTGAGCCAAACTGATGACATAGGCCAGGGAGCTAGATCTCAAGTGCTTTGGAGAAATCCTTATTTTTAAAGACAGCACTTTAAAAGAGGTTTTGATGTGGCACATGTCACAATACAATCGTCCACTTCTGAGCAGTCAGGGAAAAGTCACGTCGCGCCTCCCACGCGGCTCTCGGGAAGTGCTGCTTGCGTGCCAGGCATTGTGTGCTCTTTATACACCCTCCGGGCCCCTCCAGGAGCAGCTGGAGAGTCCGTGTTCCTTGGGGACGGGGGAGGAGACCCGCTCCGAGACGTCAAGGTGCTTGCTTGCAGTCACATGGTCACTTGGTTTGACTCCCAGGCCCATGCTCATCCAAGGGGTTCATTTCGGAGGAACTTGCACGGTCTCACTCATTTCCTTCACTGGTGAGGAAACTAAGGAGGGGCTTTTGCTGGAAGATTGGGACGAAGGGCTCTCGGGCGCCTTGGGCCAGAATCAGAATGAAGCTGCTCATCCACCTCCGCCCCCGCGTCCGGTCCGGCCCCTCTTCCCCGGCCACACGCCAGCTGCTCTGGTCGGCCAGTTCTGGCGCATCCCTGTAAGGGGCATTAGAGCCACCTGGAGAATATTTTTTAATGCTGAAGGTCAGGCCCCACTCAACACCAACAAAATAAAAGTCTCGGAATGGGGCTAAATCAGGTCTCTCCACCATAGCAAACTTGCCCTGTGGCGCCAGAGTCACCTTTGTTGTGGGCCAGTCCTGTGCACGGTATGATGTTTCGCAGCCTGTTTGGCCTCTACCCACAAGATGCAAGTAGCATCCCCTCCCTAACTGTAAAACCCAAAGTGCCATCGGAAGCACAGATGTCCCCCTGGGCGGCAAAGTGCCCCCGGTGCAAATCAGTGGGCTAAAAGCTCCCCGGCACGCCCTGACCGGTGTGGCTTGGTTGGGCGTTGTCCTGCAAGGCCAAGGGCCGTTGGTTCGATTCCCGGTCAGAGGGCTTGCCTGGGTTTCGGTTCCAGCCCCCATCAGGGCGCCTACAAGAGGCAGCCGATGGCTGTTTCTCGCATCTGTGTTCCTCTCTCTCCCTTCCTTCCCCCTCTCTAAAAATAAATGAAATCTTAAAAAAAAAAAAGGCTCCCCTGGTGAAAATGACCAGGGGATGAGTGCTTAAGGCCCTTCTCGCCTTCCCCTCTAGAATGTTCTTTCATCTTATCTGGGCCTAAGGGTTGCCGTTTCAGACAGGCCCGAACGCCCGGCCGACCTCTTCGTCCTCCACGATAATACACGCTCGTTAACAGAGGCCCCTGGGGCCCTTCTCTCGTGTTAT